TTCACGCCTTTGGCTCTCAGTAGGTCACCTGTTTCCTCGAGAATAGTGCAGCGGCTCTCTGGGTGGCGCTGGAGGCCTTTGTTTCCGATTTTCTTTACTTCCATTTGATATTTCATGTATTTAGGCGTGGATTTCGGAGCCGGGTTCGACCTTTTTGAGTTTTGTTGGCGCTGTTGTTGATGGGCTCCGACATGAGTTTGGGTGTTCCTTTGGTTAGGTTTCTTTGATTGGTCATGGTGGGGCAAATTGTTGGAGCGCCGTTTTGGCGTTACGATTTTCCAGTCATTGTCTGCGTCAACGGCCGCGTGTTGCGATTTCGTAGCGCCTTTTTCATTTTGATTTTCATCTCGAGTCTGATTGGGGGTTTCAGAAGGGAGCTGCATTTGTGTGCCTGATACTCGCGCCACTGGAGTTTCAGAGCATGACCGATGGTGGTGCTGTTTCGGGGGCGTGTCACCTCCGAGAGACACGAGGGATGGGATTTCAGGTTCAGGTGGTCTTGATTTTGTTGGCAACATTGGAAAACCTTTAGATTGAAAACTTTTTTCATTTTGGGCAAAAATTTCCATTTCCATTTCAAAAACACGCTGTTTGAGGTACTCGATTTGGTAGTTGCAGTTTGCATGGAAACCGTACGGGTCCGGTTGTCTGGTAAAATGGCTATGGGAAGGCCCCTCCATGGTCCTCGGAGTTACCTGGTCCCTATAGCCCCGCATCATTGTTGAATTTGGCGTGCACCCTGAGCCGGTCCCAGGGCACGGAAACTTGTTGCTTACGTGAATTTTGAGGCCGGTGACTCTTCGTTGTGAAGTATGCCCATTAAGAAGTCACTGGGTCTGGTTTTTCCACCTAAAATCTGTCAAAAAGTGGCCCGGGCCACATACCTTGCTGTTGTTTTGGTCGGCGCTACCAACATTGCATAATAATAATATATGCAACTTCCCGCTACACACACGAGTTTTTTTTTTATTAATATAGAGGCGCTTGGCTTGGGGCAAGTTTCCACTGACTCTTTGTCTTTTTATTCTTGCAATAAACAAAAAAGGCTTACGCAAATGAGGGAGGCAAACGCGATATTGATTTTCCTCGTCGGTCTGATGCGAATGCACAGCTCGCAGGAAAGCGCAACAACCTTTCGCAAGCGACGTGAATGTTTATTAAATTTAAAGGCTGCTCGTTCGTATATAACGCGCATTCGCTTCTGCTCCTTTGTCTTGGATGCCAAGTGTACAAGGAAAAACTAACTTATTTTTCCTGATCAACAAGAAAGGTAACAAGAAAATAATTATATTCTTTTCTATTATTTGTTATTATATGAGAGGAGCTTTAACAAAGTTTGAATTTTTTTCACAAATAAAGATTACACTAAAATGGAGAAAAAAATAGTTTTCTCAATGGAAAATGATATTATCTTTAATAATATAAGAAACCACCTATTTCCAGCCACAAGCAAGAAAAATTTCACCATTTCAGCCAAAATCTAAAAGCTTTATTTTCCTTTAAAAAATAATAATACTTTTGGAATGCTTGAAATTGATAATTTTCTTCCTCTGCTCCAACTGCTTCCTGTTGATTAAAATGAGGTCAAAAAATTATTGTATTTTCCTTGTTTGTAACTGGCAGTCAACAAAACGGTTGGTTTAAAAAAAAAAAATGTATTATAAAACAAAGAAAAATCAGCCAGAATTTCAATTCTTGAATGGGTTTCCTCCAGAATAGCAAACAAAAATAAAGCTACATGAAAAATTAAAACCTTGTTGCAAAGACAAAATTAAAAAAAAAATCCTAATTAGAACATGACAATAAAATTTTGTTGTGACCCACAACGCTTTTTGACGTGCAACTTTTATTAAATATTTTCTTCAATTTCAATGAATTTGATTAAAAAATTTAGAGGATTGAATAAAGTTATTAAGTTATTACTATTATTTAAAAGTCAGCATATAGCAGGCTATGCTGTCTCTCTATTTCAGGCTTATATCTCTGACGGAAAGCAAGCACGAAAAAATGGCTTTTGCAGAGCAGGATGGGGTGTAAAACGACTCGCAGCCACTTTGGCGTTAAAGAGGGAGGAAAAGCAGAGGGAACCTTCAAAGACGAGTTGCATTATGAAAGGCAGTTTTTGGGCCGCTTTCAATTTCCCTTTTGCGTCGGTGAGCAAAGAAAGAAAGAAAACCACGTGTGTTTTATTTTATTCAGAATTTCATCCGCCGCTCGCTGCGAATGTCTTTCATATAATATTCACGTGGCGTGCCCTTTGCATTTATCCAAAGGTCGTTTGATCTCGGCGCTGAATGGAAATTGAGCGCCAAAGGGATTTTCCTCCGAGTCAGCGCTTTGCCTCTGCTGATGCATACAAGGAGTGAAGAAAAAATTAGAGGGGTTGCTTGATTGGCATGTCCATTATATGCACGAGGCAATTAGCCAGCCGTGCACCACCCGCCAATTATTATATTTTTATTCTGCAACGGACACGAACGTCGCTTTTTATTGGTCTCTTCTTATTTTCGGCGCATGTATAAAAAAACAGGGACCTTTTGGCACCAGTCGCCGCAACGTTGGCGTGCACGCTAATTAAGCTCATTTTTGTTAAACAGGGCTGATCGATGGCCTCTTGAAACCGGTCCAAAATAAATCGACACGTGCTTGATCGCAGCAGGCCATTGTGTAGAATTTGTCAATCAATATAGGAACGTCAGTGGTTTGGAAAATTTATTTTGTGCATGAGTGCAAGTTTGACTAGAAATATTTTATATTCACACGTTTGCTATAGTTTCTTTAGAGTTCAAAGGAATAATTTTTAAAAATTGATGATCATTTGTTTAAAAATATAACTTTTAGATATAGATAATTTTTTAATGAAGCAAAATGTGCTTTGTTCTCAATGAAGAATTTTTTTAACTAAGCTTGGTATCTAAACAGAATATTCCATATGGACAAGAATATCTTTAGGACATTGGAATCTAATGAAGATAAATCATATAAGAAAAAATATAAATTTCAATGTTTTTAAGGAAGAAAATATTCAAAATATTGTAATATGACCCTGAGAAATCGATTTGACACCAAAAAGCTCTCACGTCACTGCTTATTGTCAGTACTAAAATGTACACAAAGGAAACTAATTCAGTGACTATTGATGTTCTTGATTAATTCCTTGTAATTTCTAGTGGCAAAATATAATTCTAATGACAAATTATTAGTTAATTCGTACAAAAAAAGTATAAAATTTTTCCTAGCCCTATGCTCTATACAATCGATATTCAAGAAGTGTGCTAACATTTGGTTTTTAGGACTGTTTAGCTAACAAAGCACGTTTAAAAAACAAAAAGTACATCACACCGCATAAACTTTAAACCCGACTTTAAGCCAAAAGATCAAACCAGCGATAAAGTGGGAAAATGTTTATTCCCATGATATATTCTTGTCCAAGAGTTTACTAAAAAAAATGGGTTCTAAGGAAACCTCCAACTGTCCGATTTTTGCGCATTCTGTTTTATCAAAGGGAAGCTGAAAGGGAGATGGACTCTCATGTTTTCGCAAAATCACGCAGTAAAGAGCTCTTTTTATTTACAAAATGTACGGCTTCGGGTGCGCAACTCAAAGTTTATGGCTGCAAACAGGACATGAATTGGTGCAGAAAGAGCGTAAAGAATAATAAATATTGATCCAAGGCTTGAATAAAAACGAACTCAACAAGCCGACGGAGAAAGAAAGTGAAGCCTAAGTATGCTAAAAGTAAGTTCACATGTTTGTAAAATAAAAAACGCGTGCGTAAAATAAATGCGTGGAAACATATAGCACTGTCGGTGCTTGTATAGTTCTTTCTTTTAAAAGTACATAGTGAGCTGTCTTGCACAACGCAAATAGGCTGTTCCTCGACGTTTTTATCGCTCTTTCGCTAAAAAGTTAAAAACTTCAGAAATTTGGAATTATGTATAACTGAATGAGTAACTGATGACCATACCTCTCATCAAACATCAGTAGAAACTAACTGTTTCAAAGGTTTTTTTTAGAGAGCATACACACAATTTAGTAAATTATTTACTGATGAATTTACTGATGATATATTGGCAAACTTAAAACTTTTAAATAAGTGATTCAAAGCTTCCAATTAAAAAATATAATTTATATAGAGTATTTCATGACACGTGCATTAAAAATGTAAGAACATTGTTGTTAAAATTTGTATTCTCCTATAAATTCCTAGGTAAACAGTCCTCTCAGTAGGACGAAAACCTTAAAATTTATTATTCACATTAAAATTTGCGAGTCAAACATAAAAAAGAAGATGAAATTTAAAAAGTATCAACATCTATTCAATTCAGATGATCAAAATAAAAAAAAAAACTATTAAGTATTTTTTTCAGCTTGCTTTACAGTTTGCAAAAAATTTTAAATTATATTTTTGAGATAGAAAGAAGTAAAAAACGAAACAAGAAAAACGTAATTGTTCTAGTAAAATTTTACGAAATCTTCTTGTTAATCTATTGTCACGTTTTTTTAATTTTAAATAATAAGTAGAAGTACAAAATTCTTGAACCGTCTGTAGTGTAATATTTTCATTTGGAAAACCAAAGGAAAGAGGTCTGTAGAAACAGCCTTTTCCTTCTTCTTTAACCACAAAAATAATCATGTTCATAGAAAAGTCAGACCGTCTTAATTAAATCAGAATCGAGAATTTATAAGCAGATGTGATAAGATTGGTCTGCACAGAACTTTTAGCTCTTTATGAAAATTAAAACGCCATTTAAATCACGAGTTTTTAACATCGAAAACGAGTTTCATTCAAGGTTATATTGTGTGAGAAGCTTGAGAGAGATCAAGCTATGTTGAATTTTCTCGGGTAATAAGAAGTGCCGCGGCAGCAATTTGCCGGAGCACAAAAGCTTGTCTTGATGCAGAACCCCCGAGGGCGCGAGGAAAGTGTCTGTTCTCAATCACAGACTGATTTTTAATCGCATTGTCAGTGCATGCATAGAGCACGTGGATATACTCACTCATTTCTGGCAGCTCTGACTTGACCTCAAATTTTGGCAGACGAGCCGCCGCGACTGCAATCCGCAGGGACCTCATCGCTGCTGTCACCTTAAAACACAGCATTCACATTGGAATTTTAAATTGATCTGAATTTTAAATCAGAGATGATATTTGACCTTGGTAAAAACTAATACTCACTGAATGCTACTATTTTTAAATCCATTATTTTATTTCAAATCTTTTTTTACGACTTTTATTATTATTAATTGTACTTTCTTACCCTCACAAAATCATACATCATGATGTTGTGTTATTTTTATTTTTCAATTAGAAATTTGGCAAACAAGGTCAAGATCGTCTTCGAAGTTAATCTAGATCCGATTGACTAAATTGACTACTTTTATGGACGATGGGCGCATTAGAAAGTGGTTCTCATTCGGAAGGAAGAAAGTTGCGGTAGGACCTAATGAGCACTTTTTATGAACGGCGGGGCTGCCTTTTAGGTTGGCTTTAGTAAGACAAATTTGGCACATCGCAGATAAAAAAGAAGTGAACTAGAAACTGTTTTAACCTATTTTAAACACCCCCTTTTGCTTGAAGATTATTTAAATTAGATCATTTTCCTTTTATAATAAACCATCTAAATAACATAAACATTTTAAAACAAAAAAAATAGTTTTTTGCACAATGTATCAAAATTTTTCATCTCTGTTGTGTTATGACAAATTTGACTCAAAAGACCAGGAATCATCCCTTAAAAAGGGGGCGTTTCCTTTCAGCACAAAAGGGTTGTTTTCGTAGGATTAAATAAAAGAACAGCTTTCGGTTGTAAATTTTTTGATATCGCAAAAAAATAAAAACCAAAAGCACGAATACGATAATTTGCATTATATCGTACGTCACTTTTCTCAGTGAGACAAAAACCGCAAGGGTGAGTGAAGAATTTGCGAGATCAATTTTCATCCCCTCAAGGAAAGTGGCGACTTGAAGTCAAAACACACACATTTTCACTCACCATCGGCAAATTGGGCGGCTCAAAATCAGCGAGCTTGCGGATCCGACATCGCCTCAGCCGAGACGCGAGTTTCTTCCTCGGCCCAAGTCAGCTTCTGCCTCGGCACGGGTGAAATTAAATCTGAAGAAATTTCCCTTCGCGCATATTTACTCCTGAGCGAACTTTTGCAAGTCGTCGTTCCGCCACCAGATGCCTGCACCAGCCTGACCTGCCCGCGCAATTCTAGCGAATGGCACCCCATCTGTGCTTCGCATCTCACAGAAGCGGGCCGGCGCCTGCACTGCCAGCTTGGTGAGGCCACTGAGGTCCCAAGGATCTTTCATTTTAAAAGATCCTTGCTAGAGTATTTTATAACTCGTGGCTTGGCCTGGTCACTCCTGAAAAGTAGAAGTAGGACCATATTCAGCTTGATTCAGCTAGCTGACGATTTTTCATTGGCTTATTTCCTATTTGGCTAGAACTATGGTAATATCTGAAAATTATAATACTCAACATTTAAATTAAAAAAAAGCTTAGTCTGCTGTGAATGAACGCGCAAATTGCATGAGTAATGTGGATTAATGCTTGTGAAAATATAAAAACTTAATTTTTTTCAGCTATAAAGAGGCTTGCTTGTGCCATCGCCATCTGATCAGGGTATGTTATTACTATTTTTTGCTGTTTATTGTTATATTATTTTATTAACAAAGAAAGTGTGCTTTTATTATCTATGGTAGCATACAGTAACGGGGAAAAACTTCTGAAGTCTCTCTGTGCAGTTTTTTGGTACAGTTTGCCAAAATTTTATTATTCAACCGTAAATTTTTAACAGCAGAATTTTCTTTGCCTTTTGTTTGAAAAATATTGTACAATACACTCGATATCCATGAACTATTTACCCACTGAGTAAATTTTTTTTCATTTCAGTGTTCCCATGATTTCCAAGTCCATGATTTTTTAAATGAAACATATTTCTGACGCGCTGTTTCTCGAACGCGCACAATAAGTGTCTTTTTTTTACAAAAATTGGATACATCCTACTTGGATTTCTATGTGCACACTTCTCAGATATATTCCTGACCTCCTGCAAGATTGACAAAAGTAGAAATTAAAATTGAATATCCCATGAAAAAATTAAACCTTCCCTCTAGCACCAATGATTTCAGCCGTATTTAAAAGAAATTCATTTTCTGCGTGGCTTTGTTGAGAAAATTGCTAAAGCCACCAAGAGAATTATAATAGAATGTTTGACCGTCTCAAGGTCAATCGCTTAAGAAACACGTTCGCTGAAGACTTTTATATGTACATTCACTTGACGAGAACAAACAGGTTTTTAGTTTTGGCATCTTCTATCTTTTATCATTGAGAGAGGTATTATGACAATAAACCAAAAAATTAAGGAAATTGACCAAAAATTAGTAAAACAAAAATAAAATGCAATAGCATCTGATGCTATAAATGTATATATATATTTTAAGGTTTTGCACATATTGGGGGAGATTCAATAGACACCTTAGCTCTCCCAGGATAAAAGATATCCTACGATGAATCCAAAGGGATAAAATTTAAACCACTTAACCGGGTTAAATATTTTTTCATCCCGCCTTCAATTTTTTGTCCCCAAATCTTTGGGGATAACTTTTCTTAGCCCCCTCAACGGGACAAACATTTGACCAGCGCTAAAATCAAATCAGCTTGGTTTTTAAATGATCGTCAACATGCTCGCGAACTTTTTAATTTTTGGACAATTGCAACGAACAAAAAACTTTTTCAAATCTGAATTTTGTGATGATCATGGAGATGAGGGCAAAAATGAAATCTTAAGATAACAAAAAAATCTGTATCCAACCAATTGCTTATTTATTTTGCTCCGAAACATTTAAAGATGTCTTCATCAAAGCGAAAATAGACACGCAGCACGCACCAAGCTCGCACGCAGCTTTTGGGGACAAAAAATTGAAAGCGGGATAATAAATATTTAACCTGGGACAGATGTTTAAGTTTTATCCCTTTGGATTTATCCCGGGAGAGCTAAGTCTATTGAATCTCCCCCAATATTTTTATGCGTTAGGTGAAATTAAATAAAAAAGAGAAATCGCTAATAATCAGTTTCAATATGTTTACCACAATAATTAAAACTTTTATATGGTAAGCGGTAAGCGTCGCAGCTAAAGATTGAAGTTACTAATTGCAGCAAAAAAGAAAATAAACGCGGATATGTGTTAATTGTAAATTTGGACAGAGGAGTTTTGCATTAAATTAATTGTAAGTTGACTGTTTCAGAATTTCAGCAACATAAAAAATTACTAAAACTACATATGCATGAACACTTAAATGAAAATAATAAATTTTATTCTATCCTTTTTTTACAGAAGGCCCTTCCTACTAATTCAATATTGGTCAATTTGATAACACGACTGTAATGCAATGGAGGAAAATAATTTGAAACCCATCTTGCAACCACCTGATAATAAGCAAGGTTTGTGGATTCAAGGTTTACTCGTTCATTGATTTTGAATTTTAATATTTCTCATTTCACTTGTTTTATTAAAAAAATATTTATTTGAATTAAATTCACATTAGTGACCTCCGAGCTTTCAAACTTCAGGAAAGCTAATCTGGGCTTCTTTGAGGCAGAGGGCCTGAAGAAAAATGCAGACAAGTATTAATTTTTATTCATTCATTAAATCGGGCAACTGATCCTTATTTGTTTTCAAGCGTATTCGTGCTTGTTGTACATTATCCTTTTGAGGCAGGAAATGATGTGTATCCACAACGTTTAGGCGATGATAAAGACGTAGAAAATCTAAGAAAAACATTTCAAGCAAAAAGGAAGTGTGAATTTTACCAGCTTCAGTCACCTAGAAAGGATTTCTTGCTGGAAATGCTGAAAAGTGAAGATGAAATCAAGAGATGTTTTAAATCAGAAGGTATTATAAAAGGGAATAAAAAAATAATTAGAAATTTTATTTAAGTTGGTAATTAATTACTCTGCTTTTTAAATGATCAACAGATATGGAGCCATCAGTTTTCTTCCTATACATATTATCTCATGGTTTCAAGGGCGGTGTTATTTTTACCGACACTCTTCTTCAGAATGAACCAGTAACTTATGAAAATTTCACTACAAATGAGGTCTTTGAATCTGTGGTGAATACATTTCCAAATTGCCTGAAGTTCTTAATTCTGGGGGTAGGTTTTTTTTATCAAAATTGTAATGAATCATAATTAATATGAGCTCTTGCGTTCTTTTTAGCCTTGCCGAGGGCAGTTGCGTGATAGCGTACATGGAAATGTGGATGATGCACAGTTAGTGTACAATCAAGATAGCTGCAAAATTACATACGAGCCAAACATACGTAACTTAGTCATCCTGTATGCAACAGTTGAAAGTATGCATCATCTTATATTCACTAATATTAATATAATTTTATTATTATGCACGATCTTATTTATATGAGAACATAATCTTAATTTGTAATAATTCTCATTATGCATTATTTGTATTTTTGTTTCCATATCAAGCCACGACAGCTAGAAGAGATGATCTCACTGGTACTTGGATTGTGAGATATTTTTGCGAAGAGCTGAATCAAATGAAGGAATCTAAAAGTGTTTTACACTTTCTGACGTCTGTTCAACATAGAATTCATGAAAGGTCTACGACATTTAGCAACGACGGTCAAACACCAGAATTAAAAGTTTTCCCAGCGGACACAAGTTTTGCTTTTGCTCCTCTTGACATGTATAAGCGCATGTATTGTGTTCTTAAATATATATTCATTTAATTGCTCAAAGGTCTGATATTGAGAATGAAGAAAATTTAAGTGAGGGAAAAGATGCTGTAGGCCATCTACCATCTGAAGAAGAAATTTTATACTTGTTGAAGAAGGATAAAAACATTGACTTCAGTTGGAGGAATCCCATGTCTGAAGCCATTATCAGAAGGAGACGTGCCATTATTTTTTATCAAGGCAATGCAGAAATGGATGAAATAGAGAATCTTGATTTAGCAATAACAAGAAATCTGGGGTTTGAAACAATCCGAGTGAAAATAAGCACGGATTCGCTCTCGCATTATTTTAAACAATCTGGTAAATATTAAAAATTTCAACTTTATCTAACTTATTATGATATGATCTATATTTTAGAAGAAGATTTGTGGCATAAATACGGCTGTTTTATGGCTTTTATTTTTGCTGAAATTAGTGATCAGGATGATGGAAAAATCTGTATAAAGGTGAATGGCGCGATCCAAAAGCCAGCTGGAGAAATAATTCATGGTCTATTAGGGCCTAACAACAAGGATTGGATTGGGAAACCAAAGCTATTTTTCTTCATAGATACAGAAAATACTGATCACGACAGCGTCAGCATTGGAAAAGTATAATCTACGTATATAGATTTATCATTAAATTATATTTCAGTAAATTGAATTCTTAACAACTCTTAAAATTATTTTCTAGGCAAGTCCATTGACCGAATTGACAAATCTTGCAAAAATAAGGGCCACTAATCACAGTTCCTGGCTTGCATTTATACTTAGAAAAAAAGGTATGCCATTCACAAAAAATTTAATTTTATGATCAAATTAGGATTACATTATTATATTTTAAAAATAGCACCATGGTCCTATAGGACATAAATATAAAAAAAAAAATATGTATAAGTATAAAAAATGAGACCGGCCTCATTGAAAAACTATTAAATTAAAAAGCAACTGACCCTTTAAAGGTGACGGACATGCTGTCTGCCGCTATTGCGTTAAACACAGAGATTCTCCTGCGCAGCAATTAAAATTTCTGTAATTTAAAAATTCCAAAATTTTGGTTTAATTATTATAATTCCTCCCCTTAATATTTTACATCATAGAAAATTCATAACGATATAATATAATATTCAACATTAATGAATTGCTGATTGCAAAATTCATTTATATGTATAATATTTAAACCTTTATTGCAGATGATAATGTGCGTCGAGAATTATTCAAAATCTTCGCATGCTCAAAGCTGAGAAATGACGAAAGCTTGCAAGAACTACTGGGCAAGTTTTTTTGCTCTGTGAACTTGCGCAGAAATGAAAATCAGCAAGAAACTATAGGCGCAATACTTGTGTCGACGTTGCCACACTTGCTGAAATTCCCTGATTTGGAGAGAAATTTCGTCAAACCCCACTTCACTGGAAAATTTGGCTCCGTCAACATAGACACAATAGATTATCATGAACTTCTTGTTCGTGCAACATTGATGAATACATATAACTTGTGGCTTTTATCCTCGTTACCTGGGTCAGGAAAGTCGACAGTGATGCGTGAGATAGCATACGAATTGCAAAGTAGATTTATTGGTGTAATGAATGTGTTTTTCGTTGCTCTTATAGACATATACAAGTTTGTCTCATCCAAAAAGAAATGTCCGTCCATTTCTGCTGTTTTAGCCCACGCGACCGGAAATCACGAGGTTGACATTATAAATATGATTTTCAAGAGAAAGCTGATAGTGTTTTTTGATGGATTTGATGAAATGTGCCCAAAGCAACGTAAGAAAATGTTAGAGATATTTGTAAAAGCTGTAAACAAAGAAGTACCTATGTGGATATCAACGCGGCCTCATGAAGAATCTGAAATCCGTCGCAAGTTTCTAGGAAAAAGTGTAAAAACTTATGTAAATGTAAAAGTGATTCAAATATTGCCGTTGGACAAATTTAAACAAATTGAAATGATGAGAAAAATTTCAAATAGAGACGAAAAAGATTCTTTGCAACAGATAGAGGTTTTCGAAAAAGCAGGGCACAGTGATATTTTAGGTAACCCTCTTCACCTGAAATTGATTGCTGAAATATTAGATTCTTCAAATCTTCAAAACGGGTTGAATTTGTTCGAAATATACCAGACAATAATTTACACGAAAGTTCGCGAAGTGATGAAAAAAACTCACAAAGAAGATGAAGCCCATTTTGATGAAAATGTTAATGAACATGTCGACGAACTGAAAGATTTAGCGGACAAATACTTAAAAAAAACTGTTTTAGTGGATGCAAATTACGAGAACTTCAAAAATACTTTTACTGGTATTGTTACATTTAGAGGCGGACAATTCCGTTTTGTTCACCAAACGTTTGCTGAATTTCTCGCAGCGAAAAGTTACATCGATTGTTGGGAAAATGAAAATTTGGTGTCCTTTGATGACATTTTTTGTGATGGTTACAGACAGGTTAGAATGTTCATAAATATGTATTTTGCCTCAGAATCTGGTGAAAATTTGCTCCCGACGTTTTCCAAATTATTAAGCAGAAGCAGATCAATTTATATTGCTCTAAATATAATAATTGTAGAAAATCTCTTTGCAATTTTTAGTTTAGTTAAAAATCAAATTAAATTTGATAAAAAGTTCAAGAATGTAAAAGGCAAAATGTATTTTCGTTGTAGCGATGAATTGTTTGAAAAAGCATTGAATGGGAAAGAAATTTTGATGCAGCTATTTGAAATTGGCGCTTTAAAAAAGCTAAAAGATTGCGAGATAGCAGTCAAAATATTTACCTCGAAGCTGAAGGAAAAGAATGTAGAATTTTTAAGAAAAATGACTCAATGGAGTGAAGACTCAGATATGAACTTACTTCAACATGTAGTTCGATCATGCCAATTAAGAGAGCTTATCAAGAACGTTGCTGTAACCTCTGCTTTCGAGAATCACCATGCTATGCTATCGTTTATACTAGACATGGCTCTGCTCGATGATAATGTAGCTAAAAGTGAAGCTCTAGAGGTAGCCATAAAAAATAACAGTGCCACGTGTGCAGAATATCTGATACGTTTTGGTGCCTGCATAGAGACTCATCATCTAACAAACATTCCACCTTTAAACTTGGACACTGTTGAAGCTCTTTGGCCTGCCACGATAAATAATAGCATCACCAAAGAAATGCAGAAGCTGATTTTTGAAGTGGCTCTTGAAGACGGAAATATAGATGTTCTTAAGTTTTTAGTTGGTCGAAATCAAAACCTTCTGCATCAAACACGTGAATCTGGGAAGAACGATTTGCATTTTGTCGCAGGTTCCAAGTCTAATGCATCAAATCTAGCAGCAGTTTGTCGATGGCTGATAGAAGAAGTTGGCATCAACGCTGATAGCATAGATTTTGAGGGTCGTAATGCTTTGCACTATGCTGCAGAAGCAGGAAATCTTCCAGTGATTAAAACCGTTTTAGAAATCGCTCCCGAGCTCCTACATTCAGTTACTTTCAATAGTGAGAATGCCTTGCACTTCATATCTGCGAAGCCATGCCCTCTGAGCTACATTGAAGACGAGAGTGTTAAAATTGCTACATTCCTGCACGACAGGGATGCATCCCTCATAAGGCAAGTAGCATTGACAAACGAAACGGCTCTTCACATGGCAGCAAATGCAGCAAATGTAAAAATGTGTAAATGGTTGGTGCGGAACAGAGTGGATTTATTAGCCGAGAATGATAATGGGTGGAATGCTTTTCACTGCTTGATGACACGATCTTCTGATGCAGCAGTTCAAATAGCAGATTTCTTGCTTCGAAAAGAGCCTAGTTTTCTTCAAGTGATGACGAGAGATGGGAGAACAGTCCTCCACCTTGCTGTCGGAGAAGCACATTATGAAATGTGCCGATTATTGCTTACATTTGAAGAACTACAAGTTGACGCCAGAGACAATAACGGCTGGAACGCTCTGCATTACGCTGCTGCGATGAGCAATGCTAAAATAGCGGATTTGTTGCATAAAAAGAATTCAGGACTCTTGGACCAAAAAACCAATAGGGATGAAACTGTGTTGCATATTGCAACCAAATACAAAAATAAAGAAGTCTTCCATTGGCTTGTTAATGATCAACAAGTGGACACTTTAGTGCAAGATGTCGATGGAAAAATTGCTGCAGATTATTATGAAACTAACGAATCAAACTCTTATAGTTTTGATTCGGATATTGATATGGACGATGATGATGATGATTTCGGACTTGGTTTCAGGTGGAGAACATACGAAGAGGATTCTTCGAGTTACATTACTCTTTCAACAAATCGTGAAAATTCTTGCATATTTTCAGTCTTTCAGAGTTGTTTCAGCGTTTGCCGAAAATGATGTGTATTTTTAATGAGAATAGTGAAAAAGTGCGAAAAATTTTACGCCTATGCTCCAATAAAGTCGAGTGTGTTTAAAATTACCTTTCTTTTATTTGCTGCGCGTTGAAATAAAATTTTAACCCATTTTATTTTTCAATTTGCAGTTCACTTGGCCACTGCAGAGCTCAGATTTACAAAGTCCTCACAAACGAGGATTATTCGAAAATTCCAGCCGGTAAATTAATAATAACTCGGCAAAAAAATGCGACCTTTTATTTTTATTTTATTATTTGTTTTTCTCCGATTCCTCTTTGAGGATGTTTTTTGTTTTGTCATTTAAAATTTATTAAGATTTTTTAATGTAGTTCCTCAATTTAATTTTAGAAATATTTATATTGAACCGGTTTGTTCTTATTTTTAGAGCAAATCAATAAAATATTTACGGTAATAAGAAGAAGGTGTAAAAATTTACATTTTCCAGACAAAAAATTTCAGCGCCGTTTTTGCCATTGGCTACACTTTCCTATGAAAGCTAGGTTTTTGTTTCTTTTAAGGATCTTTTTGTTTCTACAAACATCACCCTAAAAATCGATGAAGTATTTCTTTTATAGCAAACCCATTTATATATCTGGTGTCCACGCGAAATTATTATATATTTTCCTACAATTGATCGGCATGAGGTTTCTGCGTATCAATAATTTTAAATTTGAGATTACTACAAATTAAAAATCTGATATTTGAAAAGTATAGTATACGCAAACGTTGCAAGCGATGAATGAAGCACTCAGGTCGTTTCTTCAGAATGCCAAAAACGTGTGGATTTTTTGCAATTTGCTGTTACCCTAGCATGTATTTTCAGCATTGTACAAATTTTTTTTCGGACTCCTGTATTTTTGGCATTTTTTTTTTGTATGTTTGTACTTTTGTATGACGATGATTCCGCTTTTTTTGTACAGCGTACTTTTTTACGTTGTAAGTACCATGAATGGAGAATAAATAAATAAATAAATGAAAATCTATGGAGGTAAAAATATAAAAATACAATTGCTCGGAGATATCTAACACGTGGGAGCGCCAGCCAAGCGAATTTTGATAACTTATAAAGGATTTTTTTCTTTGTTTCCATCAAAGGTTTGATTACTTCATGAAAAATTATTGTTTTTGAGGAAGCTCCAAAGAAGTCAAAATATTGACCCAAACAAAATTTTTAAATCCCTCCGTAGACACTAAAAGTGAGTATTGAAAAATTTTCTTGCTATATTATGTCTGAAAATGCTGAGATCTAACATCTAACCCTCCAGAAATTTTCTTAAGTTGTTGTGCAATCAGTCCAACCCAGCTTCTAGATTTTTTTTAAATATTTCTCGCAAATTTTTCATTTTGCGTAAAATGATATCGTCAACTTGAGTAAAAATGGCCCCCAAGTTAAACAAATTTAGACTATTCTTTGTGTTAATTAACATTTTTTTGATACTCAAGATAAAATCAACAATCCAATGGCAAACACCCAAACTTCCTTTTATTATATTATAACTCAATATTCGATAGTGTCAAGTGATCGCCTCACATAAAAAAGAAAGAGGCGCGTCTCCACTTTTTTTACATGATTTCCAAAGAAATGGAAAGAGCACACAAGTGCACTCTTTTTCCACGTTCTTTTAAGAAAAAGCTCGCTTTAGCCATGTCAAAAAATGACGCTTGAGCTCTGCTCGAGAGCGATCCTCAACCTTGAATATGTGCTAAAGTTTAATGAAAAAATATAAAAAGCGGACGATCGATTATCATCTACATTTTAAATATCCAGAAGAAACTGTGACATCTATGATATCCAAATTTTACTATGAAATCTGATAATATTCAAGCAGATAAAAAAAATTTATAATTTGTATGTACACTACAACATTTTTGAACATTATGTACACATAACTGCGATATGCACATATAATTGAATTTAGGCAACCGAAAATATCTGACACTCTAGGCTAAGAAAAACAAAAAACTCACCAATTTACTTTACAAAAACCACACGCCTTAAAATTGATTAAGAAAATTAGTGGATCGTTTGAAGGGCAATTAGACAATTTTTGCATGATTTAATCTGGTTCAAAGTCAAAAAGCCGAAACTGGTGTGAGGCATAATGAGGCATGAACTATTTATGTTGTGGTTTTTATAAGCCAATGTGAAATCAGAGTACGATCCAATATTAAAATTTTGGTGGAAAGCATATACGTAACATATGCAAAAAGCTTTATCAATAAAATTAAAATATAGATAATGATCCTAATTATTTACGTAATATGTTTCTTATAAAATATTTAAAAGTGCTGGGACCGTTCATGAATGATTGACCGCGAATTGGCCTAAATTTTTGGTTCACAATGCCATTCTGTAATCAAAGTATGTTGTTCGGGTTGATAAGAGGGTCCTCTGACTAAAATTTGAAATCAAAATTTTGAATACTTTTTTTTGGAATTCGGGTTTTTTGAAAAAGTCAAAATTGCAAATATCTTTGCTTCTAGTGGGAATTTTGATCTGCTCTCTTCTCTTTCTAGCGTAACTTTTTATTCTGAACAACTTTTTTGTTGACCATTTTTGTGTAGGTCAAAGGTCAAGGTCACTAAAATTTAAATTTAATTTTTAAGTCGATTTTTCTCAAAAAAGTGTATTTTTGATATTTTTTGTGTAAATGCAAAAAATGTAGCTCATGAAATTCTGCTTCTGGTGGGTGATTTTCAGAATGGCATTATTTTTAGTTTTTCTGCAATTCTTGTCCGAAGATCGAAAAACGCGTTTTTTTCGATACTCGGCATTGGCGAACTTTGGTATTTTAGCGATATTAAGAAATATTTCTGACAATTTATGGTCTATGAGGTTTCTCCTAGTATTTTATTCACAGATTTTGAAAATATTCCCAAATATACCAAAGTTTGCCAATGCCAAGTATCGAAAAAAACGCGTTTTTAGATCTTCGGACAAGAATTGCAGGAAAACTAAAAACAATGCCGTTCTGAAAATCACCCACCAGAAGCAGAATTTCATGAGCTACATTTTTTGCTTTTACTCAAAAAATATCAAAAATATACTTTTTTTGAGAAAAATCGACTTAAAAATTAAATTTAAATTTTAGTGACCTTGACCTTTGACCTACACAAAAATGGTCAACAAAAAAGTTGTTCAGAATAAAAAGTTACGCCAGGAAGTGAAGAGAGCAGATCAAAATTCCCACTAGAAGCAAAGATATTTGCAATTTTGACTTTTTCAAAAAACCCGAATTCCAAAAAAAGTATTCAAAATTTTGATTTCAAATTTTAGTCAGAGGACCCTCTTATCAACCCGAACAACATACTTTGATTACAGAATGGCATTGTGAACCAAAAATTTAGGCCAATTCGCGGTCAATCATTCATGAACGGTCCCGCTAGCAATGATTTAATTATGTATTTTTACTCCTTTGGACGTTCAGACCAGTTCAGAACAGACTAATCAATTATGATTCAATGTTCTTTTTAATTAATTAGAAAAAAAATAATTTGTGTAGATTTGTGTTGTGTTTAATTGTGAGGATATTTACTGAGAATAATGGTGAATTTATAATTGGAAAAATCCACCGTCCCTGTAGCCAATCTTAGAACAAGAAAGGGCGCTAAGGAACTGCAGAAAACTACTACGATTCTGCACCTTTTCATTGTATCTAAAGAAAATTAAATCAAGTGTCTCCACTAATAACATATTTTTAAAGGATACAGTGAATGATTAAGAATTCAGATTTTACAAATTTAAAACAACCGTTATAACTTCATTTACGTTCACTTTGGTTCACTTAAGCCTTGAAAATAATTTCTGACCTTACATATTCTCCATATTCATTCGTCATCATCTACGTCAGGCTCCCACTCTTCATCAGACTCTTCACATTCTTCCTCCTCCTCTTCTTCGTCGTCAATGAAGTCACTTTCGTAATCATCATCATCATTCTTTTGATCTATGAAAGAATTAATTAAAATTAATTTCTGAAAACACAAAAAGTAAATGCACCAACCATTTTTCTTTTGATTTCTAAGCCTCTTCTTTTTAGGCGAATCTTGCTTTGGAGGCATCGAATGATCAAAGTCTTGTTTATGCTGTGGATTTTTCCTATAACATGATGTACCGTACTGGCATCGCGGTTTAGCACTGCCAACCTGAGAAGGGCCAGCCACTGTAGTGTAGTCAGGGTCTCCAGGGTGGCTGAAGTCCGCCTTGTGTTGGGGATTTTGTCTAAATCATAAGTTAAAACATTTAAACTCAAAATAAAAGGAAAAAGAAATTATCCACCTGTAGCACGAGGCTCCGTAAGTGCAAGCCGCCCTTCTTGGTGGTCCGCTGTCATCTTTCTCCTCATCTTCATCTGCTGAGGCCTCATCCTCTGGTTCGGTGACCACAGGCTCCTCTGCAGAACCATCCTGCTCCTGATCATTTTCATTGGCAGGTAATTCGGTGACGGAAGTAATGTTACTGTCATTTGACAAGGCAGCTGCTGGTTCTTTGGTTTCATCCTCATTATTATTTTCACCAATTCTATTTTGACATTGGATTGTTGTAGGAGTCTGCGGAGGAGATGAGCTGTCCCGCAAAGCCTTTTTCCTCTGGCTCTCGTAATAATCATCATCGTCTGAGCTCACTTCGTCCAAAAATTGCACCGGGCGCTTTTTGCTTGCCATGATATTTTCCTTCTGCTTGCTAAACCTACTGCAAATTAAATATATATGATAATATATGTTAATAAATGCTAAAAATCAATAAGAACAATTAGTAGTTAAAATTATTTGAATATTCTTAAAAACTAAGAAAACTTGTGACATCATCTGCAGAAAATAAAAATATATGAATCCTTGCATGCATATAATCATGAATAAAATTGGCATTTTTAAATTTATACCATCAAAATAAACTCTTAGTTGAACTAGTAGCACAATTCCGTCATTAAATAATGCTGTGAGCGTTCATAATTTCTAAAAGTTAAGAACAAAAATCTGCGAATCAGCAGGTTTGTCGACTTTGTGGCGCGCAAAATCTGGAATTTGTAAACAAGGGGGTGTGCCGGTCGGATAAAATCTGCCACACTTGATTGGTCAACTCGACGCAAAGGCCGAGTATTCGTCCAATCAAATGACTCCATTTCGCATTTGAGAACGCTAGGCAGGGCTCAGCAGATGATGGTGACGTGAGCCGGAATATTTGTCAAAATATTTTCCGAAAACGGATTTCTGGACGTTTGCAGCTAGTTTAAGGATTCGTTTTGAAATTTTTGCTATTTCAAACCGTGAGAAGCGAGATGGGTCTCTGCAAGTGCCCGAAAAAACGCGTGACGAACCAGTTCTGCTTTGACCACCGTGTCAATGTTTGCGAACACTGCATGGTGACAAATCACCCAAAGGTATGCTCCTAATTGTTTAATTTTCAACTCTTTTTAATTTGCGCTTCCGATGTTAGTGCATAGTGCAGTCATACCTGCAATGGCTCCAGGACAGCGACTACAATCCGGCCTGCGAACTCTGCTCTCGAGAACTGGAGTTGGAGGACTGTGTGAGGCTTGTGTGTTATCGTAAGCCAACTCCTCTCCAAAGTCAAAGACACATTTTATCTATGCAATTGGAAATTTACAGATGTCTACCACTGGGCCTGCCTTGATCAATATGCCAGGCAACTCCCAGCAACCACAGCGCCTGCTGGCTACTGCTGCCCTTCTTGTAAAAAATGCCTTTTCCCTGCCAGCAACCTTGTGTCTCCAGTCGGAGACGCTCTGAGGGAAGTTTTGGCCGGAGTCAATTGGGCGAGGGCTGGTCTTGATCTACCCTTGGTAATTAATTTATGCATGCATTCAAAATAATATATCAATGAAAACAAAAATAAATCAATTTAGTTGAGTGAAGACAAGGAGCAGAAACCTGCTGGCGAGCGCCGAGTGCTGATAAATGAAACTCCCGTAGTGGTAAATCATATAAATGGAGAAGCTCAGTCCGTTTCTGCTCAGGGCAGAGCAAGCACTCCCAAAAGGCCAACAGCCACTGTTTCGAGCAACGTCCACTCTGTAGTCCACATGGACAGCACAACAGACTCTCCTACACCATTTAGTAGGAGTGATAGCTCAAGTATGTAATTTTTTATTTTTTTAATTTAATATATTATTTACACGGTAATTTGAATTCAGGTCAGCCAGGAAGGAAAGTCTTTCAAGCAGTGGACGAAATTCGATCGGTTCCATTTGATCACGACGAGGACAAATACAAAAGGCGATCTGCAATTGAGTGGCTACTAAGGTGGTGGAAGTAAGTTTTTTATGCATTTAAAAGTTTCTTGCTTAGCAAAGTTTGTAATAAATAATCACAATTGATTGTCATATTAATTATTTTTTTTTTTAATTTTTAGATCAACTACTCGTCCCACTAGCAATCGGAGAATTGTGGGTGGAATCTATCGTCGTTATGTTATGCTGGCTGTTCTATTCTTCATTGGGTTCTTGACCGTGATTGTCATTTTCTCTTGGCTGGGTCGCATGGCCACTGAAAATGACCCAAACTTGGACATCAATCAAAACCCAATGTTGCACGTGAAAAGATCGTGAGACTGCATCCTATCCCTGGGACTGCGAGAGGCTTTCCTGTTTGGCACTTTAAGTAATCTAATATTTTACCTGATTTAGTTTATTTTTTTGTGACGCATTCCGAGTTCCCACGACTTCCAATAATTAGAGTATTTGGCTCTACCTCTTAATTTATTTTGGAGATGCAAAAAAAAAGCAAGTTCTGGATTTTATGATTTATTGCATGTTTTAAATGTTTATAAAGTTGGACTACATTAAAGCACTCATAAACTAAAACATGCAATGTTTACAATAAATCAATTTTCCTCGTCACTGCCAATCATGCGCTCGTCAGGTTGAGCCAGCAGAATTTCTGGTTTGCTATCTGCCCTTGCCTTTTGCTTCCACTCGGGCATCTGCACAAATCTTGTCACCAGCCAGTCCCTAACTTTGGTGGGCGTTATTTTAAACAGTGTGTGGTAAATCGTGTACCGCAGCGGTGACACAATGTAGTTGACCCGGGGACAGGTCGAGAGCAAAGCGTGGTTGAATTTGCGGTAGAGCAACTTGTCCGACAACACCACTGGTCCTCTGTCTACAAAGAGTGAACTCAGATAATTGTGGTACCGCTCAAAGTACTCTCCGTAGAGCTCCTTGTCCTCTGGAGACATGTATAGCTCCATTTCTTTTGCATGAAGACCCTGACATGCGAAAATGTTACTCTGCGTTGAAAAAGAACCTTTAAATAATAAATATTACAAATAATTTCTCATTTAAAATTTTTCAAACGGAAGAAATAACCTGGAATGATTGTTATCACAGGCATGCTGAACTTGGCCAGTTCCAATCTGAGTCCGTCACTCCACGCTCTTAAAGCCGTTTTTGTTGCGCCGTAAACTGACAGGCCGGGAAGGGTTTCCAACGCACAGTGGCTGCTAACAGTGATAATGCGACCTGAAAATTAGCATTGCAGCATTTTTTCTCTAAAAATTTATTTTATTAAAATTACCATGATGATCACGCAGAAGGGATATAAAGGCTCTGGTCAGTCTCATTGTACCAAGTAAATTTACTTCAATCTGGTATTTCATGAGCCGCTCGGTCATCCAGTCAAACTCGCCAAAAACCATAACGCCAGCATTATTCACCAAGGCTGTGAGCTCTAACAAAAAATATTAATTTAAATTGATCACATTTCTTTATTGAAACAAACCTAGGCTCTTTGCATGAATGAGATTGTACACTGTTTTCTTGGCCTTTTCGACGCTGTCTGTTTTTGTTATGTCCAGGGGAACAATGTGCATTCTGTTGGAGCCACGTTGACTCAATCTGAATGCGCCTTCTCCCTCTGGCTTCAGACATCCAGCAAAAACAGTCAGGCCTAATTTATCGTGGCAATGAACGGCCAAAGAATATCCAAGTCCCGAATCGCAGCCTGATATAAAAACTGCCAGATGCCGCAATTTTTCTCTGAAAATTTTTAATTGACTTTTAACTTTTAAATATTGGTAATATTTTTAAATTTTGTTATTCAATTTTTAAATGTAATCAAAATATTTCCACAATGCACAAATCATCAATTATCCATCCCATTTCTCATATTCAAAATTAAAATTTAGCAAATAAAAATATATAATAATTAAATTTGTCTCTTAAATATCCAGTTTTATCTTTTAAATTTTTAAAATTTAAAAATTTTATTGTCGTCACTTTGAATTAGTTGATTCTAATATGAATAGCATAATTAATTGAAATTTATATTAGAGTTTTGACCTTTTAATGTTTTATGAATCATTTTTTGATACAATAAGATAAAATAAAATTTAATTTGCAAAGTATATAAATTTTGAAATTGAAGTAAATACAGAGGAATCAAATCAAGTTACTTGAGGTGCCTGTAGTCGCCCTTGTGCATTTGTAGCCACCTGATGCACAGCACGGCGGCCACGGCCGCACCTGACACTGCGGCCACTATGATCTGGCCGGTGGTGTCAATGCCTCGGCCTCCGCTGAAGGGCACCCACTCGAGATAAGTCCGGTAAAGGGCAACGACGGTGGTGCTCTTGCTGACCGCGTCGAGCACTTCATTGTAGGCCCACGAAAAGATGTTGACGCTGTTGGCGGTCGGCATGATGGCCAGCACCTTCGGCGGCTTCGGTTGCGAAGTAAACAAAGCAGACCACATTAATTACACAAACGATACAATCGGTTGACCAACGAAAGTGAAACTGACGGTGCTCAGACGGAAGTACGTACCTACCTCTCAACCAACTGCGTTTTTGCAGCCCCAAATTAATTGCGTTATAAATAAACAACAGCAAATCGGGCGCGCACGAGGGCTCGTCTGGTGCTGCGCTATTTTTCAATAATCATCTGTGTTCAAGGCCAGACGCCGTCAGAATGAATACAACCAACGCTTTGGTTCTTCTCTCTCCACTGCGCTTACCCTTTCCTTATACGTTTTTTATAATAGGATGTTGATAACAAAATACCACAAAGTTTGTATTCAGACTCATTCAAGGAATTTTTTTATTTTTAGATTGCATCTGCGCTCTGCGCTTTAATTGAACTTTGACTTTTGCTCTAAATCATACTTTAAGCGCAATTAAAATTAGCTAATTAAATTTCCGTTTAATTCTTTCTTAAATTTATTCAATGGAAAAGGGGTTAATAATTTTGCAGTTTCAAAATGAGAGCTTTTAAGTGACGCGCTTCAAAGGCAACCGTCTTCTGTCCCCAGTTTATGCTCCCGTCCTCCATCGGTTGATCTGCAATAGTTTTCACATTTTCTCCGTACGCTGAAATTTTAAAATCTTGATTAGTGAAGTTAAATATTAACAAATTTTTCACCACCTTCGCACTGCTCTAAAAACTGGATGCACTCTTCAAGAAACGAGTCCTTGGCCACAATAATCTGCTTTGCCAAATTCTCGATCAAAGATAAAAAGCATCGCTTTGCGTAAAACCTTTCAAATTTTAATTAATCGAAATTAAAATTTTATATATAAGTAAGAGTACCAAGTGTCCACGCCAAGTTTTTTGTGGAACGGCTCCAAACTGCGAATAATTCTCGAAATACCAAACTCGTAGTTTCCTTTTGCGCAGTACAGTGTTCTGAGAAATATCAAATTTAAAATTAATCAATTTAATTATTTCTTATTTTAAAATTTATACCCAATCACGAGATTAACAATGCAGAGGTGGAAAACCTTCTTGTCTGGGTCCTCGTACGCGAGCTGTTCCTCTTCTTTCTCAATCTTCCTCATCAATTCTTCAGCCTCCTCATTTTGAGAGGTCATGATGTAGGAGACGCACAAATTTGCAAGTACGATCGCGCTGACGTTCAAAATCTGTAAAAACAGATCGCTTTTGAATCCTCTTTCCACTGCCCATTTCAACCAATTTATTCACCTTGTCATAATGCTTTTTTACAATGGGTTCGTAAAACCCAGTGGCCTCTTTAAATTTGCTCTCTTGCATGAACAAAACGTGCGCCACATTCAACTTCCACGTGTCATTGTCGTTGCAAAACTCAACGGATTTCCTGAATATTTTCTCCACTTGCTGGTAGTTTTCCATGTCCCAGTAAATTTTCGCCTGGGCCATCAAAACCGGGACGTACCTGAAGATAAATTTATTTTATTTTTCAATGAAACCAAAATTGTGTACCTTTCAAGCACCTCCTCATAATCAGTGACCGCCTTTTTGACCATTTCGTCGTCTTGGCTTTGCCGTGCCTCTTGCACTTGTTTGGTTAGCTTTCGCAAAGTCTCGGTATGTTTTGAGGCGAGCTCGTCGAATTTGTTGTACGCGTCCTCAGGAGATGTTTGCTGCATAATCAGCGCGTCCAGAAAATCAAATAAGTACTAATAAAAATTAATTAAAAACTCTGTTTAAAAAAAAAAATAAAATGCGATATTTACTGGCGTTAGATATTTGTAAGTCAAGTGAGCGTTTTCCGCAAGCACGTCCGCGGCCAGATCAAAGTACTCATACTTGCAGTACAAGAGCAGCAAGTTGCCGAACGTCTCAGGTGGGAACGGATTTTGCTGCAACAAAAACTGCAGTTTCTCAAAGCCCTCCGTCGTTTTTGTGTCAATGTTCATAAGGGCCTGGTTGTGCAGGGTGACCGCGTCCAACTCTTCCTCTGAACGCGGTGGCATGTCCGTAAGCGCCTCTTGGGCAGCTTCGACTGTTTCAATTTATCAGAAAAACAGAAAATGTTAAATATAATAAATGTAATAAATTACAATTTTTCAGCTGATATTCGATGGCTGCTTTCAAATTGAATGCCTCGACTAGGGCGGTGTCGTGAAGGGTCAGGGTGTTCCCCACACTTCGCACTTCTATCCCTTCTGTGGCCATTCCAACGCTCAATTCAGGGTGGTCCTTGATTCCTCTTTCAATAATGTTTGCTGAGAATTATTTAAAATAATTTTAAATTTTTTTTCTCCTACTATGTTCATTGAGCTTAATTTACCAATATACTTTTGCGCAGCTGTGTGTTCTTTGAGTTTAAAATGACATAAAGCAGCGTTGTACGAAAGGTGCGGATCAAAACCAATAACTTGCAGTGCCTGTGTGAATTTTTGCAAGGCATCCTCGTAACGTCCTTCCTGAATGAAGTAATTTTTTAATTTGGCAGGTTTTTTCAATATGATGCAAAATAAGGGTAGATTTTTCTTATCTTTAATAAACTATAAAATTCTTAAAATAATTTGACCATTTTACTTATTTAAATTATAGCCCGTTTTTATTGATTTCTTAGCTATTCAGAATTTATCAATATTTTAATTAGTTTAAAAAATTTAAAACTGATGAGGCACCTTATATAGCAAGCATCCAAGGTTAATTTCCGTGTCTGGATCATCAGCAGGGCAGCTATCAACCAGACCCTTTGCCCCGGCCAAATCTTCTTCGCCGTATTTGATCGCCGCCCTGAGTTTCGTCACCTGCCCCTGCAATTCTGGTTTGTCGATCTGCGAAGTGACCCTGAGGGCGTCTTCGTACATGCACGCCTGGTAAAGGGCCTGCGCGTGGTGCACCTTGTACTGCGCGTCGTCAGGGCAGATTTGCGTCAGGGTGTCGTAGTAATGCGCCGAACTGGCAAAGTCCTGCGTTGCATAGTGGCAGTAGGCCAGCAGGGACAGCGCTGCCCTGGACTACAAAAATAAAAACATTCAAAATATAAATTTTTATTTTTTTGAACACTTTAAATTTCATTATATACGTACATTTGGGTGAGATATTATTATTCTGTTTAGCACCTGAATTGCCTCGGGATAACGTTGCTCCTTTATCTGGAAAAGCGGAAATAAAATTAAAGAAAAAGCAAAAATGACAAATGACAATTAAATTTTTACCATTGTGTAAATTGTCTGCGTGTACTCTCCATCCTTGATGTTGTGGATTCCAAAATTCGTTTGAAACATTTTCTTGTCCAAAAAAATCTTGCTGTGGAATTCAACCAGGGGCCTATAATGTTTGTTGTGGAAATAAGGGGCGAAAGGGTTGCCTAGGCAACAAGCAATTTGACTTTCTAATGCATACTATTGCATACAATTGATCTATTTCTTAAAATTTATTATATTTTTTTATTCCTTGAGCATTTTTTAACTTTATAAAATTTGTTTTCGTAATGGTGAAAGATAGTAAAACTTTTTGATGCAAAAATTATTACCCCTCCCAATAATAAGTCTTTTATTTTAACACTTGCGTGTACATGCGCTGCTGCCCTATCGTACCTACAAATTCCCGCCACATTCTGCCTAGCGGTGAATTGTGGAACTAAAGTTATAAACTTCAAAGAAAATAACAAGCGCGGATAAACACGCTGCTTATTGTAAGAATTCAGGTTATTTTAGATTTATGACAAGATTCTTCGCACTGAGACAGTTGCTCGAAGAATTCCAACAATGGACATCAGCACGAAGTCGCTGAACATCTCCAACTTGTCGCATCTCGGCGGCAAAACGCCGCGCAGTGCTGCGCGGAGGTCCGTGCTTGGCCTCCCCTCGGCCAACCGGTCAACGTACGTACAATTTTTAGTCGGTGAAGTCATGCGAAAGCACAAAGTCAATGTCGATTCTGCCCTTAGCCGAGGCAGCGTGTCCGGCAGGTCCACGCAGTCGGCGATGGTCATCTGCAGGACGCCGTACCATGTCGTTGAGAGCTTTGGTTCGTCCCTGCCGGTCATGGTTACAGAAGCCATCGCCTACGCCGACAGTAAACAATGTGAATTATCTCTAGATATTTTTATTTAAAAAATACATAGGATCTACCGTGGTCAGCGTGGAGTTGAGCAAGTCAGGCTGGGCCTGGTTGGTGAGCGGTCGAAGACTTCTCGTCTGGCAGTACAGACAGGACGGCCAATCCAAATGGACCTCCGTAAGTCAGTGCAGAGAACTGACCCTGCCGCCCAGTGACCTTGCCCACAGGGCCCAGTTGGTCACAGTTTTCTCGCACAAAAAAGCCTCCGTCCCTTCCTGCATCGCCGTCTCTCCCGAGGGCGCTGTCCGTTACTGGGCGAGTGTCGCCCATGAAGGCTCTTGGATTGAAGAAAACGCAGATCTGCTGGTTGATATTTGTTTCTTCTTTTAAATAATAGTTTATATTTCATTGAATTAATCCAGGGTCAGGAGTGTGACTCTCTGAGCGGAATTACTCCAGTTGGCTGCGTGTTGGCCACCACAACCTCGACTTTATGCCTCTTGTCCCCTGTCGTCGTAAATGGGCGTCATCAGATTGTCTGCAAAACTCTCCGTTCCTCTCAAGGATGGCTTGGAGGCATCAGTCGACGCATGTCTTCAATTATTTGGGGTTCCATGCCAGCAGCCCAGACTTCCGAGACGGTAAAATTTAATTATAATTATTTGTGTTGTAATATTTTAAATTTTGGAAATTTAGCGTCTTGTGAAAGTCATGACTCAAAGTGGAACTTCCGCCGGAGACACAGAATGCAAGCTTTTGGTGCTGGCCGGTCTCACTCTGCAGAAGTGGGTTCTCAGCAACAAGGACATAGAAAAGCTCGTTTTTGAATTTGACATGAGCCGCCTTTTGAAGAGCAGCTTTTCTAATGACTTTTGGGTAAAAAAATTCAAAGTACTTAAAAGTTAAAATTAATTTTGGCTATTTTCCAGGAACAGAGTAACACGAGTGCACAGGATTTAAGCATTTGGCTACTCGACATGGAAAAAATGGAAAACGGAGTGCTAATTTTGGCAGCTGCGGCTAATTTGAATGTTTCCCCTCAAATTCACTATGCAGCTGGTAAGTAAATATTATCAAAACATTTGTTGGATCTAATTCAGTGGTTGCTAGTACTGGTTGCGTCTGAAAATGACAAGGCGCCAGAGTCTTTCCAAATGTTCTGCCCATTCCTGAAGTTCAATGGGTTTCACCAAGGAGAAGATTCTGAATGTGAAGATCTTAACTACAGATTTGTCGTATTTGGCAGTTCGGCCTTCATTTACAACAAGAAAGTCATCATGGCTGTCCCTGGTGATTTTTCTTGCTCATTTTAAATAAATAGCTTTGAATTTCTGCCTGTTTTTTTCAGTCACAATTAATGATCCTGGTGCTGATGTGGATAGACTAGATTTCCCAAGTGCTCCTGGTGATGCAATTTTAACCGGAAACGTGTACAGAACCACTCCAGTTTTCTTCTCAAGAATTCACGGGGTCATTTCAGTAACAGAAACTGATGTGTCACCACTTGATGTGATGAATTCGTATGGCTCAATTTTTCTCTTTTTTTATCTTGTTTAAATTTTATTCTATGTTAGATCCATTTATAGTGAATCTATAGCTTCTGAGAGGGCACCATTCACATCTCACACTTCTTTGGCGCAATCCTCATTTCAACCTTTTGAGTCATTCAGGGAATGCAACTTTTCTGATGGCTCTAATAATAGTGGCCCATCCGCAGAAGAGTTAACACCCCAGGCAGTATGCATAAGCAAGTTGAAAAAAGCTTTTGTATTGTACAACAGACGAGAGTTGGTCAGTAAAATAAAAACCGAAATTTGTAATCATTGTAATTAATACAATAAATATTACTTAAAGGCTGCCTGCAAAGATATTCTGGACACAATTGTACCAAACACAGTGGCAGAGAGGGGAGTGGAGGTCAATGCACCCCTTGACCTTGTGATTGTTCATGTGAGCAAAGACATCATCAATGACATGCCAGCTTCTGATCCTAGGTGGTCCGAAACACATAGTTCTGGTAGGTTTCCATTTTTTTCACAAGGATGGACAAAATTGCAAAAGCGATCTGCGATCGTAGTCGCACCATTTTTTTGAAAAGATGAATGCAATTGCAAAAGATGGTCGATCGCATACCATCTTTTTGTGATCGCAGAAAGCAATTTTAATGCTTAATCTGGGAGAATTTAATGCTAAAACTGGAAGAAAAACTTAATTTCAGTTAATTTAATAGAAAAATTTCTTAAACAAAGACTTTTCATTTACAAATTCATTTTTTCAGGACTCCTCGTTCTGAAACCAGAAGTGATAAAAAATGTTCAGAAATGTCTTTTTTTTTTCAAGAATATAAATATAATTGATCGCAAAAATCACCACATTTTGAGATTGTGATCGCAATCGCACAATTTTTCTATTCCAAAATCGCCATTGCAATCGCAAAATATAAGATCGCGCCCACCCTTGATATTTCAATATTTTGATAGAGTTTCTTTAATCAATTACAAACTTAGCAGCAACATTTGGAACATCCAGCTCTCTTCAAGTGCAACAGCAACTACAAGGAAAACAACAGACTTTGGAGCTCTATGTTAATTTCCTCAAGGCTGTTGATATATGGAACAAGGTAAAATCTCAACCTAAATTGAAACCTAAATATCAAATGCAATTTTTACCTTTTCTCTTTTATTTATAGCTGTCGGCCATAACCGCTAGAGGTGTCGTGATCGCCACTTCCTTGGCACTGCAAGAACATGCAGAGAAAGTTGCAGCAGCCCTGACTTTGCGATCTCTACACGCCTCCCATGCAGACTTGCTTGACAAAGCCATTAAAGCAACTCTGAAGCCCAAAAATTCTCGAGCAGTCCCTGCTGCCTTGACCCACATTGATTTATTCTTCCGAGAAGTAATTTACTACTATTCTTAAATTCAAATTGATCCTAAATTATTACTGTTTTAAGGTGTCTGAGGTGCACCAAGTCCTGATTACCCTAGGCATGTGGAGCCAAGAAATTGTTCACAGCAACAAGTCACCAGCAGAAGTTGTTGCTTCTCTGCAGGAAGTGAATCACATTGTCCTTGTAAGAATAAGTGGAGAAAGTTCTGGACAGCGAATGAGAGTCTAAAAAATATTTTTCTTTAGGAAACCCTACAGGAAATTGCCGACTTCCGGAAACACCACCGAAGCATGTTTGGTTCTGAATCTGTTTTTGCCTCGGACCTTATTGAATATTTGCCCTGGACAGCATCGTCCCATGATGAGGGTCTTAGAAATGTTCTGAGTGACCTGGTGAGTTACAAAACCTGTTCATTTTTTTTTCATTCAAAGTAATTCATAAAATTCATTATTATCTCAGCTTTCACGCAACTTCCAATATGCGGCCAGACAGTGTTCTGGTGACCAGATGACATACTCTACACTCTGTGTCGAACTCATGAACTTGGCTGACCTTCTGCTTGAGGGCTACAGCTCCCATTTAGAAAGCCTGAAAGGCAGTGAGAAATTTGACTTGCTCGTCCACCAGTATGAACTCCAAAGGCGCAAAATCATTCAGCCATTTGGTAATTGAGTATGATCAAAATTTTTCCTAGAGGTAAATTTCTTCTTCAGTGGACGAATCTATGATTGAGCAAGCCATGAAGTTGGCCGAGAAATACCATGATTTCAACACTCTGGTTCAAATTTGCGAGTCAGCGCACAATCAAGAGAGACTCGAGAGCTACATCCAGAAATTTGCTGATGAAGTTTGTTCATAAATTATTTCAAAATCACTTACTAAGCTCATTTTTAGGGCTTTTCCGAGTATCTATTTGGCTGGTATATGAAGGAGGACAAACAGGATAAACTGATGAATTTGTTCGGAGGAAATGTGCGACCAATGCAGCACCAGCAAGCACTGGTCAGTTTTCTTTCGCAACACCCTCAGTTGGCTTGGCTGCAGGCCATCAGAACTGGAAACTACTCTTCAGCGAGCGGGACTCTTTACCAGTTGGCAGAGGAGCAAACTGAGAAATTGGCCAGAAAAAAGGTGCAGCCAAAAACTTAGTATTTGCATTTAGACTAACCAATATTATTTTAAGACCATGCTTTCGCTCGCTAAACTGACCGCTTTAGCTTCGGACGAACCAGAGCACAAGATGATTGAGCATGTCAGAGATGTTGACATGCTGCTTGATCTCTGCAGCTACCAAGAGAGTTTACCACAGAGTTTGGTTGACTTTTTGAATCAAGATTTGGACAACATGGCTGTCTTGACTCCTATCAATTTGATCAAGGTAACTTTGTAAATTAAATTTTTATCCAAATTTTAATGAAAATAATACTTCAGCTGTACATAAGTGAGGAAAATAAAGAGGCCAATGCGTTTGACTACAAGAAAGCACTAGACCTGCTTGCATTTGTGCCAAACGACTCCGACAAAGAGGACTTGTGCGAAAGTATCTGGTGCCAAGCAATCCTGAGAAACGATTGGGAAAGTGTCAACCTTGATTATCCAATGGAAACCTGCAAGAACCTTATTTTTTGCCAACTCTTTGACCTGCTCAATATTTCAGGTATTTTTTTTCAGATCAATTTTACAAAATATCTCATTTATTTCATTAGGGCAAATGGACCTGGTTCTACCTGCAGAGCAACTGCTATCCAGCAGTAAACTGGGGTCCCTTGTTGAGAGCAAGCCCTTCAAATACATCATTAAGTATTTCTACGAGCATGTTGCAACATCAACTGAATGTTAACTCAGTAGCTTAAGAATCGTATGTAATAAATCTTCATCATCAACCACTTAAATAAAAAAGTTTATTTTAAATTTTAATATAGTTAAAACTTTTATTTACTTCGAATTATGCTTACTAAAGGTAGCATTTAAAAATAAAGAGATCATTCAAATTCACAACATTTTTCTGTAGCTTTTACATTTGATGGTAAATTAGCATTTCCTTTTTAAATTTATAATTTTGAATGAGAGGTCATTCAGAAACCTATTGTTAAATTCTGGCATCAATCGAATTCTGAGAGCGGCAAATGAGAGCACCTTGAAGAGTAATAAAAATGCCGCCAGAATGGTGATCTGCAGTGCCAAGTTATCTCCAGTCATTCCCATAAGTTTTACCAACTCTGACGGGCGTCTGAAGTGGCAGTAAATCTCTTTGCAGGGCAGGACGTTTCTTCCAGGGCCGTACATGGTCATTGCGTAGCCAGAGAGAACGTAGCGGACATAGGAGAAGGATTGGAAAATTTTCCAGAAGGGTTCCATCATGGGGCCGAAACCTATTCCATACATGGCCAACATCAGAAACGCGCCCGAAACTGCAGGCGCTATCACTGACCCATACTGAAAACAAAATTGTTTATCATAAGATTAATAAATAGCAGAAATTAGCAAGCTTAGATTATTTCAAATTTTTTTTAATACTGTATAATAAATCAATACTTTCATTCTCATTAGAATTTAATAAAAAAAGATCAATATTAAATTTGCAAAAAATCATTTTAGGCAACACGCATGCCATGCAAGATGAGCGAGATGCCTATCTGCCCCTACTCGCAGGGGTACAAGGGGCGTGGCAGACTTAGACTTACTGTTATCGAAAACAGAGAGCCGATCAGGAGTCCCAGGCTTTCCGAGGTCGCAGCGTTTAGAAGACTGATGGTGGCGAAGGACGCAAATCTGGACGTGACCAGTGGCTGGCCTGTCATGTAGTACGACACCAGGATGAACATGCTTCCGAAGGTAAGCTGCAGATTTTGCATATTTTTAGTTCTGCAATCATTTTGACAACATAATTTGATTGTGCCTTACTTGCACAGGCAGTCTTGAAACCGTCAGCGCGAAAAAGTAGGGCTTTAGTCCGTACCACCGATTAAAATACTCTCGCCGCAATAATTTCACCTCCAGAGGAACTGAATTAAAAAATTAATTTTATTTATTCAAATTTTTTTAAATTAAAACACGTACAAACAATAACTGCAGCCATCATGTAGGCGTATAAGAAAAAGACAATCATGCAGATGAAAAATTTTATATTTTGATAGGCCATTCCGGCGTCGTCTCCAATGTCGTAGAACATTCCTCCGAGTAAAAGTGCCGACACCAGGTGATGAGTAAAGAGTAATCTCAGCATTGCCTTTGAGCAAAATTATGATTATTGATTCAGTGAATTGAAATTATTTCATAATAAGAAACAAGTCAAACCAGAAATAATTATTTTTCCTTTTCCAAGTAATTAACTTATATTATTTTTTCTGTATCATGTGCAATTTCAATCCTTTTATTGCATGACCATTGCATATGTGCGCATTTCGCTCGTTCAGGTCGCCGGGAAAAAGAATAACAAAATCATTATGAGTGTGCACTTTGTACCTTGCTTCTGCTGGTCTGAAGCAGCATCCTGCACAACAGTACCATGAACTGGTACCGCGCCGAGGTGGGAAATTCCGAAAACCTGTCGGACAGGTCGCCGCCGCCTATTGCGCATCCTAAGTGCGAAACGACAGCGTTGCTGCCCATGGTGATCTTGCCGTTTTGGATGGCGTTGCTCAAGATGCGAACATTTGCCACCGACGCGTGTGATAATTCTACCACTGTCGACGTAATTTTTGCATAAATAATACGATTTAAATCTGAATCAAAACCTATCAAATACAAAACTTTAATTGCAATACGTAAAAAATTGAAACAGAAGGTAATGTTAAAAGTTTAATGAAATTGAATCTTTTAATTATTTTCCCCTTTTTTCTCATGAAATTTTATGTCCCTTAAAAGCTGCTTTCTGTGGTAAAAATGAAATTAGTTATGGGGGAAATTGGCATTTTTCCTTATTATTATTTCTTTTGTATTGAAAATCACTTTTTATTACTTTATTTTGCTTTATTTGAAAAAAAAAATTGAATTTGAATCAAATCATTTGATAAATTGTTCATGTTTTAAATAATTAATATAACTGGAAAAAATGCACAAAATTGATATATTAAATTATTTTTGATCACCTTACCGTGGTCTGCTGGGTTGCTGTACTGTGGGCAGGGTAGACCTGCGGAGGTGAGGAATCGGATCACATGCTCAGTGTCTCCTTGGTAAACGCAGCAACCCTCGGCCAGGAAGTAAACGTGCTGGAAGAGGCTGAAAATGGAGGCGCTGGGCTGGTGAATCGTGCAGACAATGGTGCGGCCCTGAGCGGCCAACGAGCTCAGGTGCCTCATGCACTGCGTCGCTGCAACCACGTCCAAACCCCTAAACTCGCCCTTTTATAGTTTTTTTTAATAATTATTGATATAATTACGTTGTTGGTTCGTCTAGAAAGAGAACAGGCGGATTGCTAATTAGCTCCAAAGCGATGCTCAATCTCTTTTTCTGGCCGCCGCTCAATTTGTCCGTCTTGGTTTTTTGACACTCGGTCAAACCCAGGGTAGACAAAATATCAGAAATCTATAAATGTCCTAAAATTTAGCTTAAAAATAGACACGTTTTTGGTGTGTTACCACATTGTTTCTCTTCTCCTTGGTGACCGACGGGCCGAGTTTGAGACAGGCGGCCACGCTCATGGCCTCCTCGACGCACAGGTGCGGCTGCACAAGTTCTTCCTGCTGGATGAAGCAGGAAATTTTGTGAAAATGCCGAAGGTCTCTTGATCTGCCGTTTGTCAATATGCTGCCGGATACGCCAGACGTCCTTAATATTTTTTCTATTTATAAGAAAAATTTAAACGATGGGAAAATATTTTACTTGTATCCAATTAGGATGTTCATGAGTGAACTCTTTCCCGCTCCGGAGGGGCCGAGAATCCCCGAGATTTGACCCGATTTGAAAAACCCATTGAGATTGCGTAGAATCGTTTTATTTCCTGTAAAAGGAAGCTATAATTAGAATTAATTTGGTTGGGGTTTCAAGTTTTAAAAACTCGAAAGTATTTTATCTAAGTTGCATAAAAAAGGAATAGTACATAAAAAAAACTAAAACAAGGTGCGAGTTAAATGGAATTGAAACGGTTTAATCGTTGAAATGGTGCTTATTACGGAATGAATAGCTTGACCATAATAATTAAAAGGGAGAAAATCAGAAAGGCTAAAGAAAGACTGGTTCTCTTGAATAAACTGCCGCTACTAACTTATTATTATTCTACTATTCTAGAAAACCTGGGGAATTAAAATAAATTAATCACAATGTTTCTAACGGAAAGAAAAAGTTAAAAAGTGTTGTGAAAATATTTTAATATATATGTTAATTTGATTATGAAATTGACGCATCCTAGACAATAATTGTGAGTTAAAGGTCAATTGCGTTGAGCCATGAGTTTATCACTTGATCATTACTTCACTAGTATTAAAATGGTATTAATAATAATAATGCTAAGTAGAGCTATTGTAATCTTTTGATCCAAATTCCAAAATGGAATGCCTTATTGTTATTAAACTAAGTGATTTTCATTAAATAATGATGTTATATAGAGTTTTATTTTAAGGATTTCAAATTTAAAAATAAAAAAAACGTATTTCACAAATTTTGGAGAGAAATATTGAAAACTCAATTTCACCAACTGACTATTAGTCATGGATTTTAATGTCAATAGTAAGCGCGGTTGAATCTATGGTTGAATACAAAATATTATAGTGAAAGTTATAAGTCTTCCTATCAGCTGCCATTGCACTTGAGAGTCTGCAGTTGTGTGCAAATGCACCTAGTGAAACTCGTCTAGTTTCTCTAGCTCGGGATACTTTTCACCATAATTAAAATATCACTAATAATTTGATCTATTTATATGGTAAAAAATAATTAAAAAAAAAAACGCTTACCGGCCTCGTACGTCAGATCCTGAAACTCGATGTCCACTTGGGACGACGTTTGCTCTTTCGGATCCGCTTGCATTTTGGCACTGGTGCATTCCGCCTCCTCTCTCTCCTCTCTCACAACCAAAGTGCATCAAATGCGGCGTTGAAAGCGACGAGTTCCACCTCCTGCTTCCCGCAGATCTGCATTTCCCTCCGCCGCGTATTAATGTTGCCTTAGGTCAACGACGACTGATAATTTTCTCGCAGCGCCACGGCCGTGAGTATGCGCAAAAACATGAAGTTCAATGCTACCTTTTCTTGGGCAATGCAACTTTTGTCTCATATTTTTTACTTCAAAAAATCAACACATAATATTGATGAATATAAATGCCAATAAAATGTTTTTCGAAAATTACAAAAATAAAAAGTACAAAAAATATATCAACATTTGTAGATAAAATGCATTGCCTAGATCTAGTTGTTTCAATTATTGAGGGGAAAAAATAATATTTACATCAAATAGCATTAAATTTGGTATAAAATTGAACAACTCTTTCTTAATACCTACTAGACGGAATTGTGCCTAATTTTTTTAATTGAAAACTGGTAATGACGAAATTTCCTAAAATTATTTTCAAATGATCAAAACAAGTTTGCATGATAGTTTTTTTTTCATTTATTTTAATTCTCATGGTTTTCTTTTAAATGAACCAAAAAATAAAATTTCGCCTTCTATATCATTTTTTTCTTCATATTTACAATTCGCATACTGGTCTGTGGCAGTGGATTATGATCATTAATGTGGATTTTCTCTAATTAAAATCAATCAAAAACTTTGGAAATTTTTTCCTTTGTTTTCACTTTTTTTCTTGACAAAATTGCATACAAAATAATAATTATTATCATAAAATAAAACAAATTGTTCAATAAAATGCTTGGAAAGTTTAAATTGAAAGTTATTTACAAATATTTTATCCGGAAATTATTTATGGTGGATCTTATTTCATAAAAGAATTGGTCAGATCCAAAATTCAAGTCACTTTCGTGCTCGGCGTTGGCAAAATCTTACGGAAATAAAAGGAGCAGCTCGTCAAAAGGGCAATGGTAACTACACAACCAGTGCATGTCATGGAAATAAAGTTAGTTAAATAATATCATTTGGTGGCAAGTTTACACTCAACAATGCTCCTCTTGATTTTTTTTATCACAATTGTGTTTGTTTTATGTCCAAGGCACGCGAAGGTGAAAGAGTAGGAAATCACAGTTTGAGACACAAAAAATGTTTAGTTAAGAAAACACACAACAGTCTCGTGCACTCTCACAGAATGGGGAATAAGTTACATGCATATAAAATTAAGGCAGCTCATTTGCAGTTCAAAGAGTTAAGTCGCTTTTTCAGAGCCCAGTATGTCACAATTCTGAGGGCCACCAGAATTCCAATCAGCACACCAAAGTCCAGCCAGTAGTTGTCCGGGTCAATGCTCAGCTCCGTCAAAAGAGCCTTTGGGTATTTGTAGTGGCAGTACTCATCTTCTGGACACTCGAGCGTCTGTCTATCATACCTGAAGGACATAAATAATCACAGATATAAGATAAAATAAGCTGTACATTTGCAATGGGGGTGTTAAGTGACATCATGGAATGTTAAAATCGTTTAAAAATCAAAAAATATTTGGCAGAATTGATTTTTAAATCGTAAATATTTCAGTGCTTATAACTCTCATGAGAAAAAAAAAATGATAGGAAAATTTAATGATATCACAAAAAAAAACGCAAAAAAGTTTGATTTACAAAATTAGCTGGACATTGGAGTATAACTTTGAAGATAAAAACCAATGAAAATATATTTTTTCCTATCCCCATGAAATATATAAAAATTTATTTGGCCTTTGAAGATAAAGTTGTGTGCTCTTATGTACTTAAAAATTTGAAATTGAAACTATGCTGACGAGTTGTTAATTTTTTATAAAACTGCCTAATGAAGAAGAAAAATCATAAAGCCGATTGCATAATATTTTGACGACTGTCAATAACATATTAAGGCCCATTTCTACTGTTTTTTTTTTTTTTTTTTTTTTTTTTTTTAATCAAATTTAGAAATTTGTCAATTTTTGTTAGTTCTCTGCAGAAAAAAAAAATCAATCGCGTTGTAATATATGTTTTTAATTAAAAATATCGTCTTTTCTTGGAAGAATATTAAAGATTCATACCCATATTGAGTGATGGCAAGGGCTTCAAAGCCGTAGTGCAAATAACTGATGTAGTGCATCCAGCGCAGGAACTTTGGAGTGTGGGTGTAGAGCAGGAGAAATCCTGACAGGACGATCCACAGGGCAGTTGAATACGCGCCCGCAAATGTTCCAACCTTTATTGTTAAAAATTAATATTTGAGGCGTAATTTAATAAAAAAAAAAAAACTTGCCTTTGGACTGCAGACCGCTCCTAGGATGAGTCCTATTGTCTCTGCTAGGAGGGAGATGATGAGGCAAATCGTGACAAACATTATCACCCTGAATGGGTCTAATGATTGTGATGACAGGAAGTACGAAACTAGTACGTAACTGGCGCAGAATAAGAGCTGCAATCAAAAGATCAATGTAGACAATCTATACACGTGCTGCGTAAATTGGATTTAATTTCTACCTGCAGAGGGGTGTCCGCAACCGTAAACGCAGCGTAATAAGTCCGTAGGGAGTACCAATTGTTGAATCTCTCTTTTCTAAGTACGTTCATTTCCGTAGGAACTACAATAATTAGAGTCAATTGAATTAATCCTTGTTGATCTAATGAAATTAAATTACATCTGAGAACGGCGGGCATCATCGAAGTGTACGCGAGGTACACAAGGGTCACCAAGAAGAAGCCCATGTTGGCGATGCTGCGAGCGCCGTCCTGGCCGGAGCCTTGGTACAACAGGCCCAGGACGATGCCCACCAACAAGTGCAGGCCCAGTTTGAGATACGTCATTGTCTAATCGCGAATTTCCAATTGAATAAATAAATTATTTAGCGGGTTGGAATTAGTTACCCAGTCTCTTAAAAATTGCTTCGTAATCCTATGAGTCAAAATGCAAAATTTGCTCCACTCAGACACGCCTTGCTTTTGAGCTCGGTGCAATACGCTTGTTGTGTCACCCAATGTTACTATAAAAAATTAATTATAATTAATTTGTTGAAAAATCAGACAATTCTTGAAAAATTTGAATATAATTTTCAAGAAGAAATTACTTGTATTCTGCTGAAATGATCTGTAAGTTTTCCGCCTCCATTTGTCTGTTTTCGAAGCTACGACCATTTGTTGAAGGATCGCTTGGTGCTCTTGTTTGCCGATCAAATTTCCATTTGCGAAAAGCTCACCGCTTGCAACTTCCAACACTAAAATAAGACATTGAAACAAAATGTTAATTTTTTTATTTTTATTTTGCAAAGAAAATCGAGGGAAAAATTAAACTTGTAGAACAAACAATTGTACCATCAATATCTAAGAAAGAATTATTTGTATGAATTTTAATTTGCACAAAAATATTGCAAAAGTTTTACTTTTAATTCCAAATTTTATAGTGATTCTTAAATTAAAAAAAATTTATCCCCCGTGTTTATTTTAATTTTTTTTTTAATTTATAAACATGCAAATTGATGGATATGCATTTTCTTTTTTTATATATCGCGTTGATATTCAAAATTATTTACAAAAAAGTGTGAATTTATTTATATTCACTTTCTTGATTTAATTAAAAATTTAGTATGTATTTTTAATTTTGTGACGTAATACAAATACCCCACGCCAAGTATTCAAAGCTTTATTATTAGAAAAAAGCGGCGAAAAGTGAATTCTGAATCTTACTGAAGTCGGCAGGGTTGTGGTAAAGCGGGCAGGGCAGTCGAAGCGAGGCCAAGAACGAGACCGCCTGGAAACTGTCGCCCTGGTACACGCATTTGCCCTCAGCCAGCACGTACACATGGTCAAACATCTCCCACAAAGAGGCGCTCGGCTGGTGAATTGTGCACACGATGGTGCGTCCTTGAGAGGCGAGACTTCGCAGAAGTTTCACACAACTTGAGCACGACGAGCTGTCCAGACCTCTGAAATTTCAACGGTTGAAATTAAACACCCCAGTAAAATACGGCGTCTGGTAATTTTCCTCACAAAGTACCACGCAATAATCGCTTTAAAAATTACAAACGGGATAAATTAGAAATATATATTCTCGTCTGGGAAAATAAATAAACAGAGGAGACGCTTGACTTACACACACTTTGGAAGCGTCAAATTGAGGGCACTCTCGCGAGGATTTACTTCCCAGAGGTCATAAATTCACTTGAGAGATCGCAGCCCACGAGCAATTGAAATACCGCTCTAATATTCACGGCCGAAACTCACGTGGTAGGCTCGTCGAGAAACATGATCGGCGGGTTGTCCAGCAACTCTAGGCCGATGCTCAGTCTCTTCTGCTGGCCTCCGGACAACTCGGAGGCCCTTGTGTTCGCGCACACTCGCAGGCCCAGCCTGTCCAGCACGTTGTCCACCTTGAAAGGGAAATATAATTTTTAATCATTTCCGAATCGTCAAATTCTCCTAGAATTTGGCAGTCTGTGACCATAATGATTGAAAGACCAGACAGACCAGACAACCTTCAATAAATCATTACCTTGTTTTCTTTTTTATTATTAATTTTTGCTTTGTTTTTGGTACTTCTATCAGTCCATCAGAAATTTTTACTTATATGTTTTTTCTTTCATCGAGTGGTCAATGAACTAATGCAACCGTTTCTATTCCAAAGTTTTCTGGCCTAAATTTATTTATATAATTAATGGTACAAAAAATACGCAACCAGATAAAAAAAAAGAGATTATATCTCAAATTTTTAAATTTTCTAAACTATTTATCTTTTAGTTTAATCTTCAATCAGACTGGTTAACTTTTTACTGTTTTGAAACCCTTTTTGAGATTACTTGTCTGGTCCGTCAACAATTGAATGTAACTAATGTATTTTTTCAGTGTGGACAAATTAACACCAATAATAATGAACTTAAATAATAAAAGGTACCTCAATTTTCCTGGCCTTTCTGCCAACTCCGGGTCCCAGTTTGAGACTGGCTGCCATGTACATAGTCTCCAGGACGGTGAAGTGTGAGTGCAGCTGATCTGACTGCAAAATGTAGCACGAGCTCTTCTTGAAAGTTGAGAGATTGCGTTCCATTCCGTTCACCCTCACGCTGCCTTTCATTCCTTCCGACCTGCAGAAAAATTTAATCTTTAATTCCAAAACTAAAAACGGAAAAGATTTATGGGTACAAATTTTCTTTTGACACTTGCTTAATTAAAGATAGCACAATTGTTCAGAAGTATTCAGTGATAAAATGAATTCATTATTTTCAACTTTGGAATTTAAAATCAATGTTGTGTTCATACTACAAAATAACTAATAAGTGTATTTAACGTTGCAATAACAAAGTTTTTTTTTTAGAAAAATTTAATCAAAAATTAAAATGTTTTACTTGTTTTTGCACTGTTCACTTTTTTAACAATTAACAATTTTTTTGATTAAGAAAATTGGCAAAATATATACTATAGCAGAAAATTTGAAATGCCTGAATTAGTTATAATATAAAACCAAGATTAAGAAGCAGTATTCTGGCGGCAATATTATAGTATTTATATTGCATTAAAACTTAATGAAACGCTATACCTTTTTCCCCGATTTGCCCTTCAGAAACCAGTTATTCATTTACTCTGGCACTTTTTCAGACCGCTTTTGTGAAACGTGTTACAGACTCAGCAATTAAACAAAGGAGGAGAATTTTTAACAAGGCAGAAATTTTCGTTTTACTTTTAATTTCATTTTGTTGTTTTTTCTCCTCTCAAATATGCAGGTTGTTCTGATGAGCGGAAATCCCCAGAAACTAGATTTTCGAGCCAGATGATTATATATTTGGCAGCGTGACTGGCGATGGACGCAGCGCGCATCACCAATTCAGGGGGCGTTAAATATTCATGCTTTTGTGGGTATTGCCGGTGGTGTTGGACTTTGTGATGGAATATTTTCCAAAATATTGCGTGACACGAACCAAACGATTTCCATTTCCACTAACGACGTTTAGCTATATCATATGCAACAGCCATTTTGCCGCGTTGCTGATGACCTCTATTTGTCAACTCGCGCCGGGCTTTGTTGTGATGTGCACACAAGACACAATAGTTTCTACTGCTCTAAGTTTTATTAGTCACTTCGATTGCCTACTTGTTATAACGCAGATTACTATATTTCTGATAAGAGACAGACGTTCAAATGTGGCTGTTTAAAGAAAGCCTCTGCATTTGGGGGAAAAATAATTCAAAAGTCAATTTGTTAACAGTTAAGGAATCAAACAAGCCAAGAAATTTATTTTAGGGCGGGAAAAATATAGCCATCACTAAAATTTTAGTGTTATATCCAGTTTTAATCTTAAAATTGATTTATGATTGATTTTATAAAGGAAGTTTGTTTTACTCAAAGGACTTTTTAGCCATAAATTTTATTATTATATAAATATATTATACATTATCCCCATTATTATCCTTTCCTGCTTCTCATGCTTTGGCTGCACACCCTGTTGTCACAATTAATAAGCTTTGTTTGATTTAATCTTATCTGGAATTTTCATAAAAAATCTTCGTTAGAACACTGTATGTTGAGCGCACCTTTTCCGTCTGCATCAGTTCAAAGAAAACTAACAAAGTATTGTAATAATTTTTAATTAGTTTCCTCTAAATTTCAGCAATGATTTGCCAGTTGGAAAAAGGATTCTCATTAGGGAGTTCTTGAAAAAAATAAGCCTTCCTTGGACTTTCAACGTCAAGGCCACCGCGATCTTTTTTGAGAAAAATAATAAATTTTTAATGATAAAATTTCTCTGATTGGTCTATGGAATTCCCCCTCCACAATAACTTGCTTGCGGCGATTTTTCATGTTGCACAGAAAGGTCGTTTGTTATATAAAACTTTTTTCAGATAAATTAAAAAAAATTGTTTGCATAAAGTAGCAAGCATATCATTTATCATCTCTTAATTAATTTTTTTAACCTTCGTTTGTGATTCACATACATGAAGGAAAGTAACAAGAAGCGTGCTGCGAACGTATAAAAAAGCACGAGAATTCTTCGCAGCAAGATTTATAAGAGTTTATATACCTAGGAACCTGTCGGGCAAGTTCAAGGAAACAAGATTGGCATCGAAAAAAGAGGCCCGACTTGTTTTGTCTTCACCTGGCCTTGACAGTGAAAAAAAGGATATTCACTCGCCTCTTAATTCGCATTTTCGGGTTTCTGTTTGTCTGTCTGTGTGTTGATATTATAAGTTAAGTATACCCGGCCGGTGTTATTAACCACCTGCGGCTAGAATTTATTTATTTCTTGCAGGCAAACAGCGCGACGCATGTTGCAATGTGATAATAACTGACTTACGAGGAGGAAAAACTAAATGCAGTCTGTTTTGGTTTTCAATGCACGCATTTTAAGCATTGATTCAATGACAATGAGCGGTGCGCATTATTTTTTTATATTATCCTTATACAACTGCGCAGAAGCATAATATTAATATTTTTGCTTCAATTTGGCCAAACATTTTTTTACCAATATTTTTTTTCATTCAGTGCGTCATAGTTGGAGGATATGAGAGGAATGTCATTAAATCTGGTGCTGAAAACTTCAAGGAAAAGCGCGAAATAAAACTTCCTGTCTGTTTGCGGTTATTTAATTTCTTAATGAATGAAGTAAAAAGGATTGTGAAATTGACTTTTTAATCCCCGCAGTAATTCTTACTATATTCAGTGGCGGAATGAATAACGTCTTGATTAAATTCTTTTGGAATGAGAGTAAAAAATGAGAAAAGTTTCGGTGCTATAAATTAACATAAAAAAAAATAAATTATCATTATGTGTAAGCTTAAAAAAAATTATAAAAGGATCCGAGTCACAAGTCAGTAGCTAAATGCAACAACATATACACACAAATGAATGCACGTGACTTGATGTGTGCGTCTGGGAGTGCAAATCTCGCTATCAAGGTTCAATTTATTGACGGCAGCATATTTTTGGCGGTGCTCTGATAACAGGCGAATAATCAGCCTCTCTGAAAAACAGCCGCGAGTATCAGCTGGTTGGAGATAACGGAGAAAGAAGCTGCATTATGTTTTATTGACGTACATTTGCATTGTCACACTCTGTGATTAATGTAAACCAAGTAACACATTCGCATAATGCCTTACGTTTATTTTTACAAAAGAAAAAAATTATAAAAAGTACCGAAGATTAAAATTTTAAATTCATATTTTTTGTCAAGTCCGGATCTCTTTCCTTTGATGATATGCCACTGATATTATGAACGTTGGCCCAATTTAATTGATATCACGTGGAGGCAACTTCACGTGACCAGCGAGCGCCTTATAAGAGCTTCAAATTAATCGGCTGCGCTTCTAATTAAACCAAATGCACACATTTATCATCTCATCGTTCCAAAGATCGTTTGCCAAATTTCGTAGGCGTGTTTTTATGTTAATCAGCCACTGAGAATGTTTTCTCTGGCCTTGATTTTCTTTTTCCATGCTGCATAAGCAAGTGAAATGTGGTCTTGCTATGGGTGCAAAAATTCACACTGCTCGATTACGGCCGAGTGAAACTGCCATTGGGACTCATTGTCGCATACAAACTACCACTCAATTTTTCAGGTGCGCCGGAAACAAGACGTCCTTGAATATTTATTTTTATTTGCTTCTTGAATAATCGTTTAGACGCTCAAAGTAGCCCAATGAAATTGCTGGGAGGTATTTTTTTCACAACAGTTTTTATGAGTTAAAAATGTTATCAGCTTATGGGAGTGAAAACCTTTTGTCCATTCATTAAATTTGTCCTCAAAAATTTTGCGTGCCAATTTGAGGGTGAAATAAACTGAAAACTAAAAATACTCACAGGAATCCAGTTAGGACGTTGAGGAGTGACGTTTTTCCTGCGCCGGAGGGTCCCATTATCGCGGTGAGCTCACCCGATTTGAATGTGCCAGAAACTCCTTTCAGGACTTGCTTTGTAACTGAAAATAAAATGTTACTTGTTAGAAAATAGTGCTGTCATTATTCATTAAATCGTACAATGTACGCATGAATAGATGAGTAGTAAAAAATGCGAGAATTTTTGAGGCCAGTGAACTTGGTGCTTTGCTAATATTCGCAAATGAAAGATGCTTTTGTCGGCGCGCGTGAAGTGTTTAGATGGGAGATTAGCACGGAGGAGAAAGATTGGCTGTGAAAATGATTTCTCAGCGGCAGTGATGTTTTTTTTTTTATTTAGCACTTCTTCTTCTTTTTGCACGCGTCTGATGCGCTACGTTTTGTATCTTTCAATATTTCCACGAATAATTTCGCAATTTGAAGATTGCGAGACACGTTTTGGCGATTTAAAGCGGGGCAGACACACGGCCATAAATCGGCCAGTTAAGTCCCTTTTCTGAATGACAGCGCACGCAGTTACAGCGCTGACGTGCCGAGAATTTGCAAGCCGATCCGTTTCTTCTCATAACTGCAGCGAAGGGTTGACCAACGTTTGTTTGTCGCGTATGTGCTCGATGAAGAGACCGACCACTGTTGCACAACCGCGATTATTATGTACCTGCGACGATAATATATTGCTCGCTCTTATTCAAAATGATTGATTTAAATAAATGCAGCGGCCGATTTGATCAAACAAGTGCCTTGAGAAGTGCGTCACACCAATGGTCAAGAACTCGATGCAAGCGACGGGCAAGAAATAATCTGATATTTAGGAAACTGTACTTTTTTACGAATTTGTTGCAGACTGGATCAGCAAAAGATACAATTATTGTTGTCGAATTTATTTTTTATCTTTTTTTCTAGCAAATAATCGGATAATTTACTTAGTCAGTTAAAAAAAGTGGATGGCTTACGAAAATATTGAAGAAAAAATTTAGCCTCTAGCTACCAATAATAATTTATAAATATTTCAACAGACAATTCAATTCAATTAGTTTATTTTGTATATTTCATTCCGTGGCTAATTTAAAAAAAAAAATATTTATAAATCTGTTTGTAGGATAATTTAAATTAAAATAAAGATCCTGTACCATTTGAGTACAACTCATTGTCAGTTGAATGCTTCATAATCATGTTAGATTTTAAGGCAGGGATAGATAATATGCAACACTGTACAGATAACCATCTTTATTAGTTTAATTTGAAAAGAATGATTTAATTTGCATTTATTTAACAATTTGAAATTTTCATAGCTAATGAATTGCGTAAGTTATTAATTAAAAATAATAAAAATTAATAAGATAATAAAATTCTCTATAAATCGAGAGAAAATATCATACTTATTTGAGTCGCTAATTCTTTAGAGAAAAAGACTAACAATAAGTTGCTTAAAGTTATCGCCACCACGTGGCAAATTTGATGGATTTGAACCGAGAATTGTGTTTGAAGTTGTATCCAAGTAAGCTAATCAACACAAAATTATTCGATCATACATTATATTCGGCAAACCGTGAGTGCATTCAGCGGTCGTTTCGGTTCACCAATGACAAAATTTCCCAAGAGAGAAATAATTGGTTGCACCACAGTAAACCAGATTCACTTGAATTATCATAAAATCAGGCCAATAGCCATAAAGCAAAAAGGCAACACGCCTCTATTTAGCGGTGGCAATTAAGCCTTCACACAATTCACCGATTGAATTCGAATCGAATTGCACAAGTGGTTGCAGCGAGCTATGACCTAGGCCACTGCGTGCGCACCGGCGTGTAGGTCATCTGACCTGACTGTGCAGCAGAAGGTCTGCACGTGCGGCGGTGCATTTATTCGTACCCTGCGCTGAATAATGCGCGCTTGAGACGTAATGAGGCTGCGTGCAGGAGAATGCACTGCACTGCACTTCCAAGGCCGGCTGGGAAAAATGCAATTTTATATTCCGCCGACAAACGACGGCCGATTGCGCTTATCCTGAGGGCCGCGTACAATATCTAATTGTTGTCTCCATTGCTGAGCAAGAAAATCTCTTTCCACGCGAGAAAATCACAACGCAAATAATTACGGGGCTAGATTATTCAAAATTTCACTATTGTTTCTGAGTTTTCAATTAAATTTTGATGATTTTTCCACTTCATTACGTTTTTCATAAGAAAATATTTTTTTAATATATTATATATAATTCGATTAATTTATTTGTAACTAATCAATGAATTCATTTAAAAATGCAAAAAACTATCAAAAATCTATTATTATTATTCTATAAAAATAATTACAAAGAATTACTCAGTACTGTTATTATCTTATTTAAGATTTTTTAAATTTTAATATCCAATTGATTTATTGTTATTATTATTTGTTATGTTTGTTTTCTGTTATACAAGTGATACTGACCACTTTTGAAGACTATAATTATATTTAAGCATTCAGCATTCAATAAATGCTCATCTTCCTTCATCAAAAATCGAGGAACTTTACATTCACTTTTAATTGAACTTGTTTGAAAGTCAATGAAGAGCAAACAAGTGTGATATTATTTGTGACCACGTTCGATGAACAACGCACGCAATCTTCATACTAATAAAGTTGTGCCGGCCCTTCTGTTTGAATAAGTCACTCAAGGTGTCATGCATAATTAACAAACAACCGTATCGACCAAACTGTCACATTTTTTATCTGATTATTATTGAGACCCATAAAATCAATAAATTAATTTTCTAAAACTTCGTCGTTACAAAAAAAGTGAACCTTGAGCAGAATTGCATCCTGAGGGTAAAGTGTCTTCATAGACCTTCGTGCCGATTGCTTACAAAGTAATCGCAAAAAGAGAGAAGTGCATTAAAGAGGAATAACGTCACGTTGCTGCGTTTACGACTGCTGCGAAAATGCACAATCGGCAATGATCACATCCTCTCTTTCCCTCCTAGAGCTACAAGAAAAGATCTTTACCACAAGGTTAAAGAAGTGCGCTCTACGGTCTTCCTGATATAGGTGCTACGTGTGAATAGGGTAAGAAGTGACGCAGCAAATGCAAAACCGCACCTATAGCACTGGCGTTGGCATAGGTGTCATTTATTTAGTAATAACCGATGCAAAAAAACTCTTTTGTTTGAACATTTTTATATTTATTGCCTCCCCGTGATTTGATAGGAAATATTTTTTGCAATGTTTTCTTTGTAAGTTAGAGAGAAGAGAATTGCTAACAAAGAAAAAAAATTCATGATGTGGAAGTGTGAAATATTTTTCAAGCACCGTCATTGTGTGAGTTTTGGCGACGTGTGTTTCATTTCCTCAACTTTTGTTGCTTTTTCTAATCGGAACGCGATGAGACAGGACATGATTTAGGATAATCATTAGCACCGGTCATACATAAAGGCTTTTTTGTTACATCTTCAGACTGCTAAAAACCTAGCTGTCATTTATTAGCTGCGTGACCTCGAGTAGTTAAGAAGATGTTCAGATTAGAGGAGTCTAGCCGGAGGTCAGTAGGAACACTTCTTTTTCAATCGCCACCGCCGGAAATGTTTTCAATTCCAGGTGCGCGAATTTTGAGATACGTGAAATATAAAAAATAAATCAAATCAAACGCGGATATCCAAAATAATAAATAGAAAATTAGCGGGCAGGGAGCGGAACATTGGCGTTCGGCGTGGTTTGTTTTTATTCGGAATGGGAGAGGGAAAATTTGCGGTTTCCATGCGAAATTATCATTTTTTATTATTTCAAGACTACGTCGGGATGCACAAAATCTGATAAGATTGTCTTTCAATTGCTTCGTTTGTTTTCAAACGATAGTGAATTTCTGATTACTTTCGCCTTGCCAACGTTCAGAGTTCTCTGAGCAAAAGTTTTAATGATAAATTGGAGTATTATAGACTTTTCAAGTTTAAGCTACTTTGATTTTCAAGTTCAATTGTAAGACGTGAGTATTCTCCATGCAGCTTCGAAGTTAATCTGGTTAATTTCATTTACGTATGGATTCCATTAGAATATTGACATTGAAATTAAAAAAAAACTTTTTAGAGTATAATCCCAGAAAAAAATGAAATCAAATTCTCTGGAATCAATAAGTTTTAAGACCAAACTTGTTTTGAGTAGTAAGAAATAAAATCAAGGCAAAAATAATTTAAAATACAGTTCAATTTTGCGTTTTACGCAGTTGGTTATAGCTTTAAATTTAATTATATTTATTTAAATTGGTTCAATTTTACAAGAGGTGCATTCAAATTATTCCCAATCTCCCCCCCCCCTAAAACCTGCAGGAAATGGCACAAAACAGTTGGTAGAGGTCTTGAACCACCTCACCTCTGGAACTTCAGGCATTCAGGGTACTACGAAAGCTCACATAACAAGGGATTTGAACCTGTGACCCTCTGTTTACCATGCAACTGTCCTAACTAACAATACCTGACTATTTTCAAATTACAAAATTTTGTCTTAATTGATCTATTTTGGTGTCCATAATACATTAAGCTACAAAATGTGTTGCGTTAAAATCACAACAAGAACAACGAACAAAGATCCCATCCCATTTTATGTTTTAATAAATTTTTCTTTGCTTATTCAAAATTGACGTAGTTTTTTTGTTCTTCAAAGAGCTCGAATTTTTTGTAATTAAATAGAGTTTGTAATTTTGATCTTAAAATTAATTCTAGAAATAAGGATATTGAAAAACCTGAATTTTTCTTTCATTAAAAAAAAATATAATCAAGTGAAATTGTTACGGTCGTGAAAAGTCTAGAAAAAGCACCTAGATAGTGAAAGTGCAGTGACGAAAAAAGACCGGCTTGACTACTTAAAGTTAGTCTAGCGGGGGCGCTCACCTTTGCCAGCGTGCACTGTGTAGGTGAGGTCGGTGAACTCGATGTCGATGGGTCTGAGGACCCTTGCCCCGGCGCGGGGTCCCTCGAAGATCATCGGCGCTCCGAAGGAGTCCACTTTGACCAAGGGCTCCATGACTCTCACATGCGAGAGCTGTGTACCTTGAGCTACCACGCGACCGGCATGCCACCGACTGAACTCAAGCCAGAGTCGCGACCACTGCTCGCCGCCGCGCTGCCCCCCACCTTCGCTGCGAGCGTTTTTTTTGCGCGACCCGCCGGAAAAACGTCGGCGAAAATCGGTCAGCACATCCTTCTTTTCGTATTCAAATCAATGGAAAATCCAGACCTTTGCTAAAAATTAACAATATTTTTTGAAACTATATTTTAAAAGTAATTATTTAATAATTAATTATTCGCATTTGAATAGGTGACTTGAAGAGGTTCAAGCTTAATTTGAAATAACAGTTTTATTATTTCACATTTAGCTTTAATTTTATCCGCAATTAAGTATTTACATTTGCTAACCTTCACTCAAAAAAAGAAATCTCAAATTACAGCATGTATATTGTCTCAAAAGGATGGGTTTTATCGAATTTTTTAATTTTGTTTTAATTTATTTAAGTTTAAATTTTTTAAATACCCATGAAGGCAATGAAAATGCAGGATTTGTGATGAAGGTGTGACCACAATGATGAAAAACATCGATTATAGTAATTAACTGGAATCAACTGATCTTATACATATGTCAGATAAATTCTTGTTTCACTATCTTATTGCTTGTGCGACTTGAAAATTTGAAGCTTTCAGTTTCCGAGAAAATGTTTTGACATTCTTAATCTGATTTTATTGAATTCCTTTATTTTGGTTTAAATAAAGATATTCATTTTTTATATCAACATATTCTTGGTTTCTTTAGTATAAAAGCCATATTTTAATTGCAGGGAAATAACTGTCGTTAATAACAAGCTTGAACGTTGAATAAATTTCAAAATAAATCCATCGATCACACAATATTGATACTATAGTTTGCGATTAGATAAATCCAGGGCACTAACCCAATTTCCGTGACTGATCTGGCTTGTTTGTCTTGCGAGAGAGACATCTCGTCGTTGAATGATGATAGCAAACATTTTCTCTCTAAAATAAAAAATAAAAATATGCCAGCACGAAATAATATAAACCAGTTACCCTTTCTCAATTTGCCTTGACCCTTAGTGTTCAAAGTGAAGATATCTGCGATTATATTCTTTCATCCGCATAGCTCCCAGAATCTCTGGCGAATAAAATATTTTCATATTGTGAGAAAATTTCAGTGGCGGCAAAAATAAGAAAAATACAATAATTATATCCTAACAAGCAACCGTCTGGGCATAATTGCATTCACGTTCCTGAGAAGCTTGGGCGAAACCATCCATTTTCATTTTGCTGGCCTTTTCAGACCTCACTGTTTTTGCTTGCAATAAAATATCTGACTCTGCCGAGGAAACATAGCTCAAAAATTGAAACGCATGGTCAGTTTCTTTTCTTCTCACCGCAGGCTAAAAGCACAATACAAAGATGAGCGTAGGTTTCATTGTATGTTTTTGTAGTTTACTTGCATAAGATGTTGTACTTTTTCAGTTTTACTTCATTCACTTTGAAATGCAATTAAAGTTTAAAAAAATACTGAAAAGGCATTTTACCCTGCCCTTATTTTTTTTTTTGTTCTAGCCTAGTTAAAAGCTTGATTAATTAGCCTCCTCAAAATTTAATACGAGACTTGAATTTTATTTTAGTATAACAAAATACTCGTGTATATAATAATTTTATATGCATCATAAAAATATGAAAATATTTTTAAAATTTCTTTATTTGAATTATAGATTAGCTACCCTAAACTTTTGTGATCAGTTTTATCCAAATTTAATCAAATTCGACCTAATTCATCATATTTTATTGGTTTTTAATAAAACTAATATAAGCAGAATGAAATTTTTTTCGATAATTTAATAAAGAAATTAAATGAATTCATAACCTACGCCTCATCTCGACACCGATCTGACTATGCGAGCGCCGAAAACGAGGTTAATGGAATGCTGGGTTGAGAAAAATTGTCTCGTGAGCTTTGCATGCGTTTCGTCCCTGAAGAGTCAAAAGCTATCTGGGTGTCTTCGAGTCCAGCGCGAGCGATAACGAGCAAATCTTTGCACCCCAAAGCCCGACCAACTGCTGACCCCTCGGAGCGGAAAGAGTATCGCGAAATTAATCCAAGGTCATGTATGTACGCTCAGCCACATTTATCCAGGGACGCTTTTATATCCCTTTGTAAATCGGCGCACCAACTTATGCATGTGAGTCGTTTCTTTTATATTCTTTCGAGACGCGCGCACGAACACGCTGCTTCTATTCTCGTCCGGCCTATCGCGAATTGAGACTTTTATTTTCGCCTTCATTATCCTGATCACCGCCCTGAGACAAACTTGCACGCATTATGTATATATAATGTGGAATTAAATTGCGATTTACCTCGGTCTTGACACGGGTCGTGCATGCCGAGGAATTTCAATTACAGGGAGGAAATCGTTGTCAACCTTGGAGACTTAATTTTTGGGATAATTAGCGCGGCAGATGCCTCTGATGAAATTTAATGTACACATTCGAGGTAAAGCTTGATAGTTGTATTAATTACAAATAAAGGAAACACTGGATTTCAGAACAAGCTAGATATTTATTACTAGATAAATTCATTTTAAATGCGTGACTTGGATTGAGGCAAAAAAAATATTTTATTTATAGTTTAAATTTTTTTCAAAGGAAATTTTGATCCAAAATTTTAGAATAATTTCAATGACACAAAAAAAGTTTTGGTGATTTGAATTTAAAGTCGACTTTTCCTCGATGGGTTTCATGCGTTGTTTATTGTTTTTGTCTTAAAAAATAAAAAAACTCACAAAACCCATCGGCAAAAAGCAGACTTTACATTCAGATCACCATGAATCAATCCTCGATCGTGAAATTCTACCACAAAATAGAGTTCAATAAAATTAAAAAAAAAATTATTTTTATAAAAATAAATTTCGAATGTATCAAAAATGAAATTTGCCAGCATCGATTTTCACAAATATAATAATAAAGTCAATTAAAATAATTTTCCCATGGTTCTCTTTCTTTGGCTTATTGACTTTTGACTTTTACAAATGTTATACAAGTTATTTAACGAAAACAATGCAATAGTGGTGGAAATTTTCATAAGAAGATTCTAACCAAAAGCAACGGTATCCGTGTTACATGGAGTCTTATATTTGTTGCAAAAAAAATGCATGTTCATTCAACCCAGGAAGAGGTCTTTTACCTCAAGGCGAGATTGTGACTCGGGGAGGTCATTTCTTCTGACTAACACACACAGCATTAATTTCACCAATTGGCAAATGTTGTTTCTTACCGAGCGAAAAACGTTCTCCGAGCCACCTGTTGGTGTTCGCCGCCGTTCGCCAAGTCGGTTCGTTCTCCGCCAGATGGAGCTTCACTTGACTTTGCTGAAATTAATTAATTGACTCGGAGACCGAGACCAGAACTAGAAGGTCGCGCGCCCTTTGACCTGCACGTGTTCCAATTTAACCTCTTGCCCCCGGACAAAAAAATGAGCCAAAACGCACAATGCCGATTGTTGTTTTGTCACTGCGTTTGACTTGGACTTTAATTCATCAGTGACGCTCGCAACCGATTTTTTATATGAAAATTTTTCTCGAGATTGGAAAAATAAGCGCAGAGATGACCTAGTTGTTGTTTTCCTTCAAGTACGCTGCTTTTTTTGTATTTATTTTGATCAGAGGAGGCGCTTCTCTTTTTAAAAATTATGTATGCAAAATCAACAAAAATTTCGTAATATGTGTTGGGAAATTAAAAATATTTTGTCTTGTTTTCAGCTGATTAAATCATATCTATTACATCAATTTAGTTTTATTAAGATATTGAAATTGAAGATTGTACAAAAATTGTTTATAAAATTCAAGTAATACTTGAGGAAAAGTGAAATTGAAGTTTTTTTTTTAAAGATTATCTAATTCTACGCGAAAATATTTCACAGCAGGCAAAATCAATAGTTGGTTTTTCTTTTTTTTTAATTAACTTCTTATTGCACCTGCTCTAAATGAGTTGACTTTTGGATGTTATGCAATACCGGCTTTCTAAAATTATCTTCATTTACTCTAAAACCAACATCACAATCGGCCCTTGAAAAACAACAGCGAGCAATTTCGTACTTTGTTCCTCTCTCGAGGCGTTTGTCCTGCACAGAGTTGTCGTCCAGCAGCGCCGCTGCTGCAGTGTTTAATTATTTTCTTTATCTGGCTTTGCTGTGTAAATCGGAATTCTGGTGATAAGAAAAAGTACTTGACAATAAGAAGAGTCCCATGTGGTCAGGAGGCGTGCGCGTGTTTAATTCTACGGCTGCAAAATTATTATGCAGAAGTTGAGATGAAATTTATTCACATTTAAATCTGTGTAAGGTTTAATAATCAGTTTTAATTTTAAAATGACTAGATTTCAAAACCAGAACTAATTTTTAATGATTTTACATATATTTACAGATACCTTGCCTTGCTTTAGGTATTTAAAAGAAGATTATATTTAATTTATTTTTTGCACTAAAAAAAATCGTATGCTTAAGAATTTTAGACACATTTTTTTTTCTTTTAAAATAATATGTTTTTTCTTGAATATTGGAAGAGTGGAAAAATAATAAACCAAATATTGAAAATGAGGTTTTCCTTTCTATAGTTAAATTGAATTTAATTTTACTTAGATTGCGTATTAAAATTTGAAGATTGATTTGAATGAATAATTTGTAATGTAGAGAAATAAATATTATGTTAATCGATAATAATAAAATATTGCAAATAGCGGAAACCCTGAAACGTAAAAATTTTGTCCCATTGATTCACACGTCACTTTGATTGATAAAGCAGAAAAGTAAATCAGCAAATCAATTATTGTTGCAGAAACAATGTGAAGTTTGCCCCCGGCAGCGGCGCTCGAACAAGAGGAGGAGATGACGCAGCCGAGCGCGAAAGAGCGGTGCCGCCGCATTTGGCGTCTGACAGTCAGTGGACGAGCATGGCCGCTGAAGTGGCCACCGACGACGTGTGGATCCAGCAGGAGGACCTCCAGCAGGTCGCCACCTCCAACAACAACCTCACCAACCCTGGCAAGGTGTTCTCCAGGAAGCCGCTCAAGAAGCCGCCGCTGCTCGAGTTCGAGGACCTGCGCTACACCGTCCCCCTCGGACTCAATAGGGGTGAGTTTCTGCCCATTTCGATTTGGCCAACACGTGGTTCAAAAGAATATTTTTTAATTGAATTTCCCTCTTATAGTCGTGTATTCTTTAAGAATGCTTTAATTTAACAATTAAAATTTATTTATTTAGAACTTCTATTTTTGTACGCGTTAATTATCAATTTTATTCTCATAAACAAGGACGTGTTTAATGATAATTGTTTATTGCCATGAAAATGCTTACCATTAGGTCATTTCTAAACTCATCTGTGGATAACCTTCCCTGTTATTGTAAAACTTTTACAAAGCAAATTTTTATGAGGAGCGCAACAAAGGAAAGCTGATTTACAGCATCACGGCACCTCTATTAGGACTAGTACTATCCTGGGGCTATGCATTAGAAACCTTGAAAAATTCAAATCTCTAATGTGCTATTCGTCAGTTTGACATGCATTTAATTTATTTTAATTTACACTTCCCGCTTATTGTTATGTGATATGGTTACAGTCGTAGCAATGTGAAGAAGACAAGGTACGCCTTTTTGAAAATCCGCATCTTAGGCAAATTTTGTTTTACTGTTTATTTATTGATTTATAAATCAGGAATATTTTAAAATTTTGTCAGTTTAAAGAAAGAAACCCGGTCCTTTAAACCATTAAACTCAGCTGGTCATGGCGAGCAGGCAGCGTGACGGCTCATTCGATAATCGAAAACACTGGCGCAGCCCCCTCGTGATGCTTACTAGAGCATGTTGTGTCAATTTATACATTACGCGCAAGTGTATGTATCAGAGTGCACTTGCGAACGGCAGATGACTTAGCACGAGAGTTGAGGGCCAATGATCTCTGGTGTGCATCGCTCGCGTCTCCACACTTTCTGCAGAGCGAATTGATCAAATTGCTTCGTCGCATATCGTGAAGCTGGCGGTCAACTTCATCTGTATACGCAAAACAACACACAATCAAATTAAATTCCTTGATGTTTTAAATCTGTCAAAATAAAAGTAAAATCTTTTTTTTTAATTATCATTAATTTCCGCAAGAACTGACTGAGAGTACAATTTTTCCTCCAATTTTTGTTAAAAATTTATTAATGTCTCGATTTAAGTAGAGATTGCCTTATATTGCACCAACAAACTTAATTTTTTTATATTAGAAACAAAAGTGCTCTCTATTATAGCCAACCTTGGTTGCCCTGGTATAATATTACCCAAGAGAGGCGACTATTATATGTGCTCGCTTGTCTGCAAGTTTTTAATTGTACCGGCCAGCCAGTTCTAAGTAAATGAACAAATATTGCGCTCGGAGGAGTGCGTTGTTTGTAATTTTCTGTTGAACAATTGCATGACGCACAAGAAAAATACTCTCAAGTTGGTTTGATTGTTGCTTGTTTGCGCACGATTGACACTTTCAATGATCTCTACGGGCACGAAGGGAGATGACGCGTTTCAATTAAAAAATAATTGTAGTTTTACTGCACCTTTATTTATTCATTAAAAAATTCGATTAAAAATTTAAAATCAACTTAAAGTATTTCAATTTTAAAAAGATTATTATTAACGATTTAAATTTGATTTATATTGCTGAAATCTATCACAATTTTAAATCCGTAATTACTGTTTCAAAATAATTAGATGCTGAAATTTTTCAATCATATTATGAAGTCCTCAAGAGTGCATAAAAATGCAGCAACTTAATGCACCATAAAAGGATTTAAGTGTGCGAATAATCGCGATGAGGCGCACAAACAGACGCGGTATGACGATCGATTCACTCTTGTTTTGTAACAAGAAAACACGATCATCTTCCTGGCTTTGCTCTTCACGTGGTCGGCAAGTGCAAAACAATCCGAATGAGTAATCGAATCAAGGACAGCTGCACTTGATCTCATTTGCAGCGAAAAACCTGCTTAATTTGAGATCTCGCGCGTGATTAATAATGCGTTATAAATTCAAATGTGCCACTTGGTTGACGTTTTGGCAACTGGGCGGTAAACAGACCTTTGCACCATCCGGTGACGCGCTTGCACTTTTACTCGCTAATCGGCGCAGTATGTTTGCTCCTTAGCACGCAATTATATTAATAAACGTGCTCTAGCCGCCTTCCTTGTATATAAATCGTATCTGGAAAATTTAGATTCTTTTAGCTTAATAAAAATGTAATAAATAAAATAAAAACATTTTTTTTTAAATTTTTTTCCTTTCATCTTCATTTAAAATTGTGAGTTTTTTTTATATAAATGTATTTTTTAATTAATTGATCAATAAGCTTCGTTCTAAAAGTAAGAGTCATTCTTGATGATTCTTGAAACAATACCTGTTTTTATTTTTTTTTCTCCCTTAAAATATAATAGGGGCAATATTTTTATCCTTATTTGCAATTATTATTTATTTTATCTATCGGTTTTTGGGAGAACTAAATCTAGAAGAACGATCTTAAACATGGAAGTATAAAAAATATCGCTTTGGAACATGATCCATCTGAGCAAAGCATCTCCTGACCTGGGGCAAAGCTTAACATTTATAACCTGGATATAATGCAATTGCAAGGTACAGACTACGGAGGCGAGATTGCAAATCACAAGCGCCTCGTCGTTTTTATAATGTCAAGAGTATGAACAGCCTGACGAAAGATTAGCAAACCAAGGTTTTTTATTATCTTTTCCTGTACCTCCATTCTTCAAGAATAATTTTCAAACTTCATTGTGTAGAAATATGGGACTAATATATATTTCCGTCGAATTTTGTTTCAGGGTCAAAGCAGATATTAAAAAATGTGTCTGGCAGTTTCCTCCCCGGCTCCTTGGTGGCCATTATGGGTCCTTCGGGGGCTGGAAAATCTTCTTTGTTGGACATTCTAACAGGCTACAAGTAAGTTAATACGCTAACTTATACAATTTATACCTTTAACTGGCCAAGATTAGATCAAGGTCACTTGCAAAAAAACACGCGGCCGTTGCAAATTAAACAAGCGAAATTCGCTTGCGAAACGTAAACTGCCTTTAGAGTATTTCACTAACAGTTTTACAAGCTGCGCTCGTGGATTTTCTGTAAAGCAAGCACCAAAGGAAAAAGAAACTTCAATTATGAATGCACGTATGCTATCGTCAAATGGGGCATTTTTTGTTCCGCAAGGCAGACAATGAGGAGTGCTGACTTGCGAAAAATACAGCGCTTTGAAACGAGAGATTTTTGCAGTGTGAAAATAATATGGTGGCGATGAATTTGTACTATTTTAACGTATTGTTATCAACTTTTGCAACCTCAAAACCTTATTTTCAAAGCTGCCAATATTTATTATTTACCAGTCGGTTTTATCGATTTTTCTTTTTTTTTTAATAGAATTCAATTTTATGCATTTCATTATTTTTTTTTCAAAATACACAATTATGCAATCAGAAATATTTTATTTCAACTTTCATTCTGAAATATTAAATTAATGAATAACTTTTTTTGGCAAATTTAATTTCTCAAATATAAATGAATAACGTAGGGAGCAAAAAGTTGCACTATTTATAAACTCTCTCTCTTTATTTAAGACGAATTATTTTTAATTAATTCTCGGCAATAAGTAACTGAGAAACATTAAATATTTTCATTATGATGCTGCTATGCACAAAAATGAACTTGCTCCTGGCGAATCATCAAGCAAACCTTTTTAGAGTGACGGACCTTATTGACAACCATCTGACAAACAACTGTGAAGGTGACTTTTATATTAAATTTAAGAGGAAAGTGCAACTCACTGCAGTGATCTGCCAAATTTCCAAAGCCTTGAATCGAAATTATGCAGATTTTATTTACTTGATCTGCCTGTAGCAATTAAAAGTGCCACTTTCGGGATCAAAATAATCTTCAAGTGCTCTTACTCACGACCTTGCGCGGTTGTTATCTCTAAGGAAACACGCCTTGCGTACGCTTTACAATGTTAAATGTTAGTGCATGAAAGATTCTTCTAATTGTGGAAAAATCCAAAGTTTGGTTCATTTTTTTGTAAATAATTTATCCGAGAGTGATTGACGCGTTTGACAGCGAGAAAAACGGTCTATTTCCAGCAGAAGCAGCTGTTGTTTATCAAAATGAGGCCAGTAAACACGCTGGTTCTCAATGATAAAAGTTGGCGTAGTTGCACATCTTTCTTAATCTATGACCAATAGATTGATTAAATGACCTCAAGATGTGCCGCAGAGAGCACTGTTCACACTTGACTCCCGCATGCTCTTAATGTCTCAATTATAATTTTTTTAATCACAAACAAATGTGTTTAATGCATAATTTTTCAAGTATTAATTATAATTGATTCAATATAAATGTAATTTAATTTTACACCGAGGTTAAAAATATATTTTCCCCTTCAAATTTGGACACAAGGAACCTGATATTTATTGCTTTAATTAAAGCTTAATGGTACAATTAAAGTAAAAGATTGCGTTAGAGATAAAAACTGCAATGAAATTCTAACAGCTGCATGCAATTTCAATGTGATAAGTTCAAGCAAATTAGCTCACTTATCGTATTTTGCCCTTGTTTTCACTAGCCATTTAAGTAAAAATTAAAAATAAGAATATATTTAATGAATTAAAAAAAAAACATGATATTCAAATGAATAAAAGAAATACTTTGAGCTTAATGGAAAAATCAGGGAAAAAGCGATGCGAATAAGTCGTGAACTTTTATCAAGTTCTATGTTTGCCAACAACACTCACAATAAAATTTTTTATTCACTGCGAAATATCATTGACCGTAAAAGTTGACATTAACCGCGCGAAACCGCATCTTGACCGTCGAGGAAAAAATGAGCGCACACATTACGCAAACGCTGACGCACGCGGCTGAATTTTGGACTTGGATCAGGGTGCAACGATGTCGCCTTGACAATTAATTAATTAGAAAAAAACAATCCACGAGTGGCGTGGAGTATATAAAAGTAGCTAATTTAGAGCTCAGCAAGTCGATAATTGAGGACTTTGAAATCAATTTACATAAGCCTGGGTAACACAAACCGCTCGTTGAACATCTGGAGCGACTCATCTTTTATCTCTTGTGGATTTGCAGGATCGACAGAATGAGATCAAAAGTCAATTTTTTTCTCCTGACCAGATGTTCAAACGTGCAGTCAAATAATTTTGATTGTTTACTGGGGATATCTGAGTTTTATCTAGAAAATTTATTATTGAAAAATTAAAAATTGGTGAAAATTCCGAGTCCCAAAAAATTACTTCATAATTAATTTTTTTTTTAATTCTGCAGTGCCCTGAACAATTTTCTTCAACTAAACTAAAAATTTTATTAAAATTTTCATCTACTTACAATTATTCAATTTTTTTTTTTTTTTTTTTTTTTTAATGAGAGTGTTCTCTAATTTCATTATAATAACGCAAAATATATTGGGATGAGGAATTTGAAAAAGTGAAATTTCATCTAGTGAATTGCTCAGATTTTATTAAAACGTTTTTATTTTAAACAATTTATTATTATTTATTTAACTATTAATAAATTTCCCCCTTCTTATAATTTCCTCTCCTCATAAATTTAATTTTAAATATTTTCATTATTTCTTTCTTGTTCCAGAGTAACAGGGGTGAAAGGATCAATTTTGTCCGACCGGCAACCCCGCGTTTTGGCAGCGTTCCGCCGCATCTCTTGCTACATCCAACAGGATGACCGTCTGCAGCCCCTTCTCACCATCCAGGAAAGCATGACCCTTGCTGCCAACCTCAAACTCAGCACAGAAGTGTCGCCAAAGGAAAAGCAGCGGACGGTAAACCAAGAACTGGTAAACGGAACCATTTTTGAGATTATTTTAAACTAACCTAAAACAAAAATAAAGGTGACGGTAAACAAAAATTAATAAATGCCTGTACATTGTAAAAAGAAAATAATACTAATAAATCCGAATCTTAATTCTAGCACCCAATAGCACCACCACTCTCATTAACTCCGGCTCTTGGCACAGAACTTTAAACTTTCACTGCTGTGTAAATAAACCCTTGCTGAACGAACTGTTTCAAATAATCTTAAAACTGGTTTCTTTTACTAATGCTTCCAAATCTGTCTTCATCAAACCCCCTTCCCCCAAATTTGCTTTACTCATTTGATCATCCTATTTAGATAATGGAGATCTTGGAAACTTTGGGCCTTGAGAACCATTTACACACCAGGGCCTCGATGCTCTCAGGCGGCCAAAGAAAGCGCCTCAGCATCGCCCTGGAGCTAATCAACAACCCTCTCATCATGTTCCTTGACGAACCCACCACGTAAAAATTATTTTTTAACTAATTAATTTTTTAGATTTATGAATTTTGAATTTGTGCAGGGGTTTGGACAGCTCTTCTTGCACACAATGCATGCAGTTGTTGCGCTCGCTGGCGCAACAGGGTCGCACCATTGTGTGCACCATTCACCAGCCAAGTGCCAGCCTCTTTGCTCTCTTCTCACATGTCTACGTCCTTGCCGAGGGCAGGTGCATCTACCAGGGCGCCAACGAGAAACTCGTGCCATTCCTTGACAACATCGGACTGCCTTGTCCACCATACAACAACCCTGCTGATTATGGTACAAAAAATAAAAAAACATTTAAAAATATTTTGCACTTTTGCTTTTTTGTGCTTGTATTTTAAAATTTTTTAAGATTGTTCTACATTTCACAAAACAAGCTTTGTTAGCAATTTTTAAAGGTTAATTCAAACTTTTACAGTGATTGAATTGGCCTGCGGTGATTCCGAGAGCGCAAGTAACCTTGAAGTTGTGAACAAGATGGTGTTGGGCACTGAAAACGGCAGGAACATCACTTGGTTTAAAAACCCCGACCCCCTGATGGTTTCCATCAGCAGAAGCAATCTTTTTGCCACAAAATCGAGTGGTATAAATAATTAAAAAGCGGAAAAATGGATTTAACAATTTTTTTTTTTTAATTTCAGACGATGACGACGTCCCGACTGGTTTTTGCAATAGACTTTTGGCCTTTTGCGGCGCAGGAAAGAAAATAGACCACGCCGTCCAAGAGACCTCGCAGTGGAACCAGATCAAGGTTCTGCTCACAAGAGGATACATCAAAACAAAAAGAGATGGCGTAAGTTGAATTTATGCAACTTGAGTCGCACTGCTGTGCAGCCGGTTGCATATTTAATTGGAATGTGAGATTTTGAACAATTCATTGCAGACTCTGACGTACATGAGGCTGTTTGTGAATATTATTGTTGGTGTGATGCTGGGCTGCTTGTTTTGGAGCTCGGGAAACCAGGGCAGCCGAGTCATGGAGAACTACAAATTGCTTTTCTCCATTTTGATCCATCTCATGATGACCACTATGATGCTCACTATTCTAACATGTGAGAATACCCAAATTTGATTTAATTTTAATTGATGTAAAATTGGAAAATTGCTTTCAGTCCCTATGGAAATGTCGATCCTGCTGAAGGAACACTTTAACAGGTGGTACTCTTTGAAATCCTACTTCATAGCAACCATGATAGTAGAACTGCCAATTGTGGTGAGCACTACTCTTTACATTATTATTATTATTATTATTTTATTCCTCAAATAGATAAGATTAAATTTTTACATTAAATTAGTTTTAAACAATTTAAAAATTAAGTTATAAAAGGTATCATTATTAAAGAAAAAAAAATTGTTTTAGACTCTCGGCTGTATTTTCTTCACTGTGATCATATATGTGATGAGTGCGCAGCCAATGGAGTGGTACAGGTTCCTCATGTTTTTGCTCATCTCTTTGCTCGTCACCTACGTAGCTCAGAGCATTGGTCTTCTCATTGGCGCCCTTTTCAGCGTCACGGTAAGAATTTTTCAAATTAATTCAAATCAAATTTTACATATTTTCCCCCCAACAGAATGGCACTTTTATTGGCCCAGTAATATCAGTGCCATTGATGATGTTTGCCGGTTTCGGAGTTACCCTGAGAGACATTCCTAAATACATGGTCCCTGGCACCTACCTGAGCTACCTGCGTTACGGTCTAGAGGGTATGGTGCTCACTATTTACGGCGGGGGCCGAGAAACACTGGACTGCAACGCAAGGTACTGCCATTACCGCTACCCGAACAAGCTGTTGATGGAAGTTGCGATGGACGAGAGCGAGATGTACATCGACATCATCGGCCTCGTCCTAAATGTCATTTTGCTCAGGGTGATCGCCTTCTTCTGTCTCAGGTGGAAGATCAAGTCAGAGAGATAAAAAGTTTAGGGTGTTTTATTTAAAATAACGAAAAAACTTTGGTCGTTTTTTTGGGTTTTATATAGTTTAAAAATTCTCAAAATTATTGTGTCGATCAAAATGTGATTGTTAGGAAATATTTATTCGGGAGTAACGTCCCATTTTACTTTTCATATTTTTCAAAATGGAGTGAATGAAACATTGTGTGGCTAGTCAGTATTGCACATCACAGTAATCACCATTGTGATAATTTATTAATGGCCCTTATTTTGTATACAACTGCCTAGAACTTATTTTTAAATTTAATTGACTATGTAAATTAGTTAATTAAGCAAGTGCAGTGCTGATTTTATGAGAGGAGATATTTTTGCATGAAAAATATATCAAAAAAGGATAAAAGTATAGTTATGCATTCCAATTTGTGATGTGGCATGTTGTGCCAATAATTATATTACACATTATTTGTATGTATTTCAATTTGCGATATATTCTGTTATTTTATATCACAAATATTACAATCAAAGCTGATTATGTTGATTATAGATTAAATAAAAAGAATTATTTAAAAATATGAATTTTTTAAACAAATTTTGTAGTATTTTTACCGATTTTTTTTCTTTTCTTTGAAAATGTACTTCTCGATTTTTTATTTTTAAATCACTAAACTTTTGATTGAAGTTTTCTGTTTGAAAGAGGAGTCTAATTATAACATGTGAACCAAACGGTGCAGCCAGCGGGCGATAAACTCAGGCTGAAACTTCCGCTGTGTGCGCGGCTGTGGGAGGAATAGGCTGCTGGGAGCTGCTGCTGCTGCTCACATAGTGGTGCCCATTGTGCGCGGCGGTCGACGCGTGCGCCCTCCGACCCGCGTGCACCACCGTCGTTCGCTGTCAAAAAGAGAGCGCACAGTAGTTCCGATGTGGAGCTCGCGAAAGTAAGCGACGCCGTCATGCCGAAGGGAGGTTCGGAGGCCGCGGGTCCTCCGCCCCCGGACAGAGCCCTCCTCTCCTACCTGCCCAAGAGACAGTCGCTCGACATCACCTTCAGGAACGTCCAATACAAGGCCCTCGCTCTCAGCCTCAACAAAAGACCAGGTTTGTTTACGTCCCGGCAGGAGAGGGTGCAGATGCATGACGGGCTCGAGATATCGCAGATGCTGTTACATCACCCCTATTGCTCACTCATTTGCCGTAGAGTAAAAGCCCGGGTCGTTGGTATGCGGTTTTAAAAAAAAAATGTTTTTTGCGTGAAAAAATTTTATTCGGCAAGGAATTTTTTTTTAAAAAATGTGTATTTAATTTGCGATTGAAGAAAAATATTTTTAGAGCTTAAAAAATTATTAATTTTAAGATAAACTTTCTTTATTTAACTTCAATTATTTAATTTACCTAATGATTATTTTAATATTTAATTTAATTTTTTTCCTGTAAATTTACCATCTTGGTTTTGTGTTATTCTCATTTTATTTGTTCGAGCAGTAAAAAATTTAAATTATGTAGCTCTCACCTTTTGGTTTGAAATTGAAAACGTGCCTTTTGACGGATTACGACGCCACTGCCTGCTCTTTTGCTTTATTTTTGTTACCAACTCCGTGTCAACAGAGGAGCTAAAGGATTTGCTCTAGTTTGCAAAAACCAAGCATATCACTTTTGCTAGGCTTTTTATTGCAGTTTTTGCACGGACTATTTATATACGTCTCACTTATCGTTATTTCTCTCGTCACATCTTGATTATGTCCAGTATTTTTTTTCAACTTCCATAATAATTTGGAATCGATCCAAAAAGTGACACCGTGTGCGAGAAATGGCAGATAAAATTTATTTCTGGATAGAATGGGAAAAATGGGGTGTGATAAATGGGTTTCCAGCGCGATATAACTTGCGTGGTTGGTTTATTAATAACATTGAGGAAATGTGGAAATAACCTACACATGAACTTTATGTGCTCTTTTTGGAACTTTGAATTATTCAGAGCTGTTCAGAGCAAAATTTTACTCTCCCTAGATACGCAAAACAAACAAAGTACCAATTAAAATTGTTGGGTATGCAACTTGCGTGTCAGTAATATTAAAAAATGCATTTTCCTTCTGATTTATATCATCTGCTTGTAAACATAATATGCGGCTAATGATAGTTTGAAAAATATTAAATTTATTTACATAAAAAAATAGCTGAATACTGTTGCGGGATTTGATCGAATTTTGTGTCTTTTACTTCCGTCGCCACATAGAATTCCCCTCAATGCGTATTGGTTTTTCCGTCAAATTTGAGTTGCGAGTCGATCGATGTAGTTTTGTTGAGGCGCGTGTTGAAAAAGATTACGGGTCAATCCGATCCTTGAACCAGAAGCTCGTTGATCTAATTGATTCCGTCCACCAAATCCCGCGCGACTTAAATACAAAGTGACGCAAAAGAACGCAGCTGCACAATTGTAATGAAGCCAAGCCGAGAAGAAGTCAAAGCCCGCATTGGAAAGTCATTTTATATACGCAGAAATTTTCACTTCTGCGCAACTTTGTCGCCTCGAGATGACCGAAAACGCACTTGCTATTGAAAATTGGCACCGTTTTTTAGCAATTAGAGAAAAAGTAAAAGTGGTAAAGTGTTGAGTAATTATTGCTGTAGGTTCAATCTTCTTTTTTACTTGGAAATACTTTTAATTGGATATAAAATTTATTCAAGAAACTCTAAGTAAAAATTAAAAAATTTTCTCATCAATATAATATGGAAAAGAACTGTTGAAAATATAAAATTGGAATTTATTATAAACGAATGCGCGATAAAATAATATATAGTTTAAATTGACTAATTGACAATCGGAAAGTGGGGGCAATCGCTTGAAAAACGCCCTTGATCATTTCCTGTGGCTGCGATGGGTCGGTGCGTTTATTTATTTAAAAGCGAGCAGACGGGTCGCAATTGGAGCTCCGCTGTGTGTTTTAATTGTATTCCTTATCGGCCATTGTCTCTGCGATGGGAACACAACAAGTGCAACATTAACTCATGCACGCAGCCCTCTTTTCCCATCCACAGCAATTTGGAAATTGGGGCAGATTTTATTCCAACGTGGATAGTTTGCTTCAATTTTAATTGGGAGAGAAGAGAGGTCAATGATTTTTTTCTCCGATTGCGGCATCTCTATTTACAGAGCGCTCACATGCGATGAGGGTGTTTGAAAAAGATATTATTGTGCACCATCAGCCGAGCACATGAATCAGCCAGCAATAGGCAACAACTTTTTCGCGTCACGCAAAAATATCCCATGACATTTTGTCACGTCACTTCTTGCATATTAATTTACCCTGCTTGCGTTTGAGAAACTAATGCCCTTTGTCAATCGCTTAAGCGCCCACCCATTGTTGCATAATTATCCTTCTAGGAAAACCTACCGGGTCTGATATAAAAAATTGAATCTCCTTTCCAAAATTCATTGAAGTTCTATAAACTTTGATAAAAAAAAGTAAGTTGTTTAAATAAATATATTGAATTAATGTAATAAATCATTTTTTCATTTTAAAAATTATATAACAAATTGGAAAAAAAATCTGCAAATTTTAATTTATAGTTTATAAAAAAATGAAAAAGTAATACGAATCGTAGACTTATCCCCTTTTCCGAGGATAGAGGCCTCCATTGATTTCCTATAATCGCAACCTTACAACTTTTAGCCGCCTGTCCAGTTAGCACTTTCCAACAAGGGACAGCGACCTAATTAAGTTAAGGAGCCTAAATGGATTGGAATGGTGTCGCCCACGCGTGTGTGTGCCAAAAACATCAGTCAATAACTTTTATTTGTTCCATCTCGGGGAGACAGTTAATCCATTTGCCGGCTGTGTGTGTCTATCAATCAGCACGCGTGCAGAATGCAAAGTGAAGAGCAATAGAGAAGCGCACAAATAAAAAAAAAATGATAAAATGACTAAGAGACACGCGGTCGTGAATAACAATCGCGGATCTCCGGAAGCTTGGTGTTGATCACAGCCTGCATTTCGCTGACTCACACGATTTGCAAGTCACGCAAGTCAAAATTTGCGGGCAGAGCGAAATGACCAATTTGGGAACGAAATTAAAACGCGCGTGGGAAGTTCTCAGCAATTACAGGACAATTGCGTATTTTTTTTTAACATCACTTTTTACTTTGTCCAAATTACCAAAAAAAGGACTGCAATTTGTGTTTCAGCAATGAAGCAAATTTTGTTTGGCGTGTCCGGCGAATTTCACTCTGGCCAACTAACAGCGATTCTGGGACCCTCGGGAGCTGGCAAAAGTACGCTGCTCAATATTTTGGCTGGATACGTGTAAGTTTTACGAGCTTTGTGTATCTTACAATTAATGTGGCTATTTGACAGTGTCCTGAGCAAAACCAGACACGCAAAAATTATTTTGATTATGATTCCTGATTTTGAGATTTACATCTCTTTGGGATTAATTTTTAGTATTTTTTTAAATTTAATTTTGCATCATCGCTGATTTTAAGGGCATCAAAGTTTGGTCTGAAGATCAAAAATTGAAAAACAGGCTTCTTTTTTTTTATTTTGCTTGTTGTTTTTTACTTCACAAATTTCAATTCACATTCACACAATGAATATTAACTGATTAAAACTCTTACATCTGCTTTTTTGACCAACTGTTTTAAATGCTTATTGAAAGCGATGTTAGAAATTGTTGTGAATGAAAGTATTTAAAATAAAAAAGATTCAATCCATAAAAAAATGAAAATGTGGATTTTTGAAAAACTTAGGATCAAAAATTATGTGTTGGAAAAACTTAATATTTTCATAAATAAAACAATTATTCACATTTGTTCAACTTTGTTGACCAGAATCATTTTGAATATTTTGCTTGCCACGTTTTTCTCACTCAGGGCACCGCCAAAAAAAACATCTAGGCCAACATTGAATATAATTTTATTTTTGTTCTTTTGTATTATTTTTTCCCGGAACTTTTTTATGTAGAATATAGGAACCTCATAAAACATATTTGACCTGTATTTCCAGGACACGGAACGTGACCGGAACCATCGAAGTGAATGGCGAGCCGAGGGACTTGAACAAATTCGGTCGCCAAGCGTGCTACATCATGCAGGAAAACGAGCTGCGGCCGCTGCTGACCGCCAGGGAGGCCATGACCTACGCGGCCAAACTCAAACTCGGGGGTGGTTCGCACGCGCCCAGCAATAAAGCCATCAGTTTGCAGGTCAGTGCAACATAAAACAGTTTCAATTTTTCCCTTTTTTCAAAAAGCACGCAATTTTTGCTGTTATCAAAAAAGGAAAAAGAGGGTCATACGTGATAGCTTTTTTCTGAGAAATTATTTAACAAACAAGGAAGTTTGTGGAGCGCGATTTTTATTTAAGAAGCCGTTTTTTATTACTGTTCTTGTTTAAAGCCGCAGGAAATGGATTCCGATTAGTGAAAAATCTCAAATTTATAAAACTTAATTTTACGATACAAAAAAGCAGCTTCTTGCTGTGAAAGTCCATCTTACTTTGGAGCTTGATCTATTTTATTTTTTCCTACTGAGGTCACTCATCTCTTTGTCTGTCTTGAGATTAAAAATTTATAACAAATAAACTCTGCCAACATTGGGAAAGGCCTTGCAGCGCCTTTGCACTTTAAAGTATTGAATTAATATTGTAGGAACCAAACTGGAAAATAATATACGTCACTCATTGTTTCTACGCCAGTAAGATGTAAAATCGGTAAAATCAATGCATTGTCAATAGAATGAAGTATTGTGAAATTTTTATCCAAGAACGATGAAATATTTATCATAAAAACTAGCTGTTTATTTAATAAATTAACAGACACAATAAATGAAATATTTTAGTGTGCTCAATCAAACTTTAAAATATTTCTGTTTGCGAAAAGCTTCTAATATATTTTTGTATTTCAAAATCACCATAATTTTTTTCCCTTATTCTAATTTTCGCATCTCATTTGTTCATCTTGCACCGAGCTCTTCCAAAATAATAAGTCAACGTCCGTTTTACGCCGACTCTGATGTATACAAAGTGAGAAGATGAACGCAAAAACACACAAACATTTCAAGTGCACAGAGAGTACAGGTTTATAAATCTGCACTCACGAAATGCAAATTTGGCGGCGCTCCAAGTAGAGATCGTAGAGTGCTAAGGGATGCCTTGGCGTCTCAATTGTGCGTAAAATAAAAGCGCAGCCTCAAAGTTGTTGACCCGTCGCGCTGCACGTCCTTGACCCTGCGGTTGGCTAACGCACCGTCAGGACAAAGGGTCTCGTTTTTCCATCTCGGGCGCGCGGCCAGATCGATACATTTGTCCTCGAGTGTGTGTGCATCTGGAGCTGGCGAGTGCAAATCGATTCCGGGCCTCATCTCTGCCGCAGCACCCCGCGCCGCTCGCTACCCGTCGGCGGACGTCACAGGTGGCCCTGAGGCTGCTTTTCGGTCCAGCAGGAAATTAGAACTCCAGATGCAGATTTGATGGCCAAAGCAAACTTGCTTCTTAAGTCGTGCGCCAAATGCTTTTAGAGTGATTGTTTGCTTTCGCCCGCCGCCGCCGCCTTATTTTATATGCCATCCGATTTTTCCCCAGGGGGTTGCACGTTACGCTGATGTAATTAATGATTTAGTCAGGAATAATAAATGAGCAGAGTGATATAAATAGAACTGATTGTGAGTGCAAGACCTAAAAATGCTTATGAGAGTTTTAAGCCAAGTTAAATTAACCGTAAATTCAGGTTGTTTAATAGGTTGGAGCAGATTTTGATTTAGGCTGCTGAAATTTTTGTCTGCTAAAGACAATCTATAGTCTCATTTTTTCTAACATTGTTTTTCTCTAAAATTCAAATTTCAAATTAACTAGGTACTCAAATTTTCATTTTTAATTTTTTTTATTACAACCAATTTCTATCCAGTTGATCAAATACACTCTCGTTTAAAACTTTTTCATTATTTTTTTAATAACCAACATGTTATTGTTTTTGCAGATTGGCGAAATTTTTGAGACTTTGGGTCTCACCGAGCACCAAAACACGAGAGCCGGCCTCTTGTCTGGCGGACAGAGAAGGAGACTGAGTATCGCCCTAGAACTTCTGAACAACCCCCCAATTATGTTCCTCGACGAGCCTACTACGTGAGTACACACAAAAAGAACTCATCCCGCTCTTCACTCTTCGGCAAATGTTTACCTCTTTTTATTGCGACTCTTTTACGTCTCAAGATTCTTGAACACAGACACACGTAGGCCAAGCAAGCGTTTTAAAATTTAAGCATCAAGTAATATTATTGATGTATCGATGGTAATTTTTTTTACCTTTAAATACACAGTTTTTAATAAACATTAAAAATTAAAAAAAAATAACAGTTGAAAACTTAAAAATCATTGAAACGTTATTATAAAAAAAATTAATTGGAGATACATATTTATTTTTTCAGGGGTTTGGACAGCGCCTCTTGTGCCCAATGCATAGAGTTGCTGCGCTACCTGGCCAGGGGTGGGCGAACCATCATCATCACGATTCACCAACCCAGCGCCAGAATATTTGAGAGGTTCGACTCTCTGTACGCTGTGGCTAACGGAAGATGCATCTACAAAGGCAGCCCTCAGGCATTGCTGCCGTTTCTGGCTTCGAAGGGGCTTGAGTGTCCAGCCTACCACAACCCAGCTGATTTTTGTAAGAATTACATTTTCTTTAAATATAAATGCTAATCATTGGGAGGAAAATATAGAATTTCATTAAAAATTAAATTAATATAGTATAAAGTTCTGATATATTTTGCAAATTTCTAGAGAAAAGACTTTTTGAGTAGCATAATATTTGATTTATAATATAAAAATGAACTAAATTAAATTTAAACTAAACAAAATTGATATAATTTATTTTTCCAGTGTTAGAAGTAGCATGTGGAGAACATGGACATCATGGACTGGCCGACGAAATAGACCGCCTGGGCACTCCAGTCGTGGCCGTCCCAGAGACCTCCTCCGGTTCCTCGCGCCCTTTCGAAGATTCTCCTGCCAAACTGGACAACATCCAGATCATCAGCAACCTGCCAAAGATCACCTTCGAGGAGCGCGGCAGCGGCAAACAGAGTTCCCTGTTCAAGCAGTTTTTGCTGCTCTACGTGCGCAATGTGCACATCCTCTCTAGAGACTGCGTGAGTGTCTATTTTTGATGATAAACTTTCTGCCCCAGGAGAAGATATTGATTTTAATGTCATCTCGCGCTTAGCAGCTCTTTCAAAGTTTGGCTATTTTGGTGCTCAAACTTCTAGAACAATTCTCGCAGAGGGCGTTAAACTTTTGCGCAAACATTTTCCATCAAAATCTGAATACAAGGACGCATTATCAGTCTCTGCTTTGATAAATTACTGTCTTGAAGTCAATAATTCCCAATATTACATAAAATAATTATATTTCAAAAGGTAATGTTGGACAATTTTTTTTAACTATTTTTGCTTATTTCCTTGTAAGAATCAAAGAGTTATTTATTTTTTAAATTATATATTAAGAAACTTCGAGCCTGAATAGTTTAGTTTAAATATTTCTTGAAATGGAAATTCCAATAGAAAATGAATTAAATCAATTTTAAATTTAAATTAGAATATTTCCTTTTTCCTTAAAGGTAGAGCTAATTTTTTTTTCAGAAACCAATGGCAGTGCGGTTGTTCTGCCATTTAGGAATCGCCTGGCTGTTTGGTTACTTGTATAGAGGCGTAGGCAACGATGCGGACAAGGTTTTGGCCAACTGGGTTTACATCTACGGCACTTGTCTCTTTGTAATGTACACTGGAAAAATGGCCGTCACTTTGCAATGTGAGTTTTCCTCTTGTTCTTTGATGACTTATTTATAAACTCTATTGTTTGTAGTTCCTTTGGAAATCAGCAACCTAACGAGAGAGCATTTTAACAAGTGGTACTCCCTTGGGCCGTACCTACTGTCTATTTTCTGCATAGAAATTCCATTCCAGGTGAGTTAAACTCATAAAATGCTCCTCAAATAGAGACTAATTTATGTTCAACCTTTTAAATTGTTATTATATTCTATCTATTCTATCATAAAAAAGGTATCTTTGATTTACTTATTACTTTTTGTAAAAAAGAAATATCTGATTGAAGAGATTAATTGAAACATCTCGCTAAAATGTGTCAATATTTAAAGATATTTTATAAAAAAAAGTTTCCAATAAATTTTGTATAGTTTACAAAAATAAAATAGGTACAAGATTTATTCCAGTAAATAATTATTTTGCGCCTGAAGGGTAGGCACGGCAGTACACAGACGTTTAGCAGGTTGCATACCTCTCAGCTTTAAATCTCGCTTTCTCCAGCAAACTTCACAGTTGCTTCTTTGATTTCCAGATTGCTTGCGCTTTGGGTTACTTGAGCATAAGCTACCACATGACTGGCCAACCAATGGAGGTGTCCCGACTGGTTCCTTTCTTTGTCCTCTGCGTGCTCACGTCCTTCACTGCCCAGGCGTTCGGCTTCTTCATAGGAGCAACTCTTCCTGTCACGGTCAGTTTCAATAATAAGTTTTGCTTTTCACTCTTATTTGCACAGCCCCAATTTTAGTGCAAAATCAATGGCGCTTGACGCAATCGGAGTTATATCCGAACTATTCCGGTGCTATTTTGGTCCGCGTAAAATATTTAACGAGCATTGACGGCAAGTGCGCCATCAATGGCAAAGGTCGATTGATGGGCCGTAACACCTGAACGCGGCTTTGTCTTTTATTATTAAAAGAGAGACCATTCATTCCCAATCCGGCCGCCATTCATCAGAATTATGACAAAATGTGTATTTATACACAAAAGTACTAAAAGTTATGTTGCAAAAAAAGCTTAAGTAGTAAAATAATGTAAAAAAGCTAACCGTTTATATTAAAACGAAATACTGAATTGAAAATAAATCTAGGAATGATTGATCTCTAATTTAAATCTATTTAAGAATTCAATAAAATTCAGTATTCAATTTACTAAATATTTTGTATTGAATTCTTTGGTGTGCAAACTCAATCTAACAATGATTATATTAATTTAAAATATTGAATCTGTTTACTCTAAAACTTCAATAAAAAAGAAAACAGTAACAAAATTAGAAAAAAAATTATTGGGGGAACATCTTTAATTTTATTTGTTCACTTTTTCAAGCTCAATTTTGTGTGTGTAATATTAAAAACCGCTCAAAAATTTATTTGTTGCAGATCGCAGTGTTCATTGGGCCGTCGATAGGCGTGCTGCTGTCCATCTTTGGCTTCTGCATAATTTGGCGCGACACGCCGTGGATGTTCCGGTGGCTGTACAACATCTCATACTTCCGGGCCGCGTTCGTCTCGGCCGTTTACACTCTGTACGGCAACAACCGCGGCACGCTGCCCTGCAAAGAGATGTACTGCCACTTCACCTACGCACGCAAGTTCCTCGCAGAGATGGACGTCCCGCCGGACACTGACGTGGTCTTCAACTGCCTCTTCGTCGCCTCCACCGGCGTCGTCATGTATGTCGCCACCTACGCCGCTCTCTGGATCAAACTCCACGTCAGGTAGTTCGTTTTCTCAAATGTACATTTTCATCTCAAATAGCCACGAATCTTATTTTTGTCTAAAAAATCCAATCCAAAGTTGTTGTGTGATTTTTACTCATGTCCAATTCTCTCTGTATATCCCCGATTTTTTGATAGATCTGGAAATTTCGGGACTTTATTAGTTGTAGGAAAGACCTTTAATTTTACTGAAAATTTAAATACACATTGATTAAGAGCTGCAATCCTGGGATATGAAGTTAGCCTCTAACTAAGTAATGAATAATTATTTTGAAATTTCCAGATCTCTATCATGAATATAGGGCAACGTTTACAGGGAGAATCAGACTCATAGCCAAAGAAACTTTGCAAATTTTTGTTTTAAACTTAGCACTTTTTATGTAAGAAATCAAGAGAGAATTTTTTACATAATCTCAAAGTTCTTTTTAAGTAAATATTTTGTAATTATTTATTACATGCTGGTTTTGTATACTTCTCTTATCCAACTTTGTGCGCCACGAGCGAAAAATCATAAAAAATTAAAACAATGTTCCCTCTATATTGATGTAAATAGTTATGGAGGTAAACGATGTCTTCTATAATATGAAATTGATCGAATGACTTGAGCGTTCTCTCAAAGTATGACTGACAAAACACCATGGATTACCTTTAATGTAATATTATATTTCTACATGTAATTAAAACATTACAATGCCCCATTTTTGCAGGTTTACATTTGAATTCATTCAAAAAAATTCAGCAACTTTCTAAAAAATAAAAAATAACTAATTTTTAAAGTTTTCTATATTAACTACCCCTCAACAGTGAAAATAATAATTTTCTCTCAAAATTAAGCAGCACCTATATTGTTAAAGGCACTCTGACTTGGAACATATTAATAATTGTGAATTAAATACCTGAGAAGAAAATAAATTATATTTGATCGATTAAAATTTGATAGACTGAAAATCACTCCTGTAGTTGAATATCGGCAAAGATGGTTTTGAAAATCAAAGAGAATAATGTGAGAATTACAAATTGCTATAGCTGATACAATCCAAACCTCATGAATATTGCGACTTTGAAAATATATTTTTGTGAGTTGAAAAATTATGAAAGAGTGAATCACAATGGTGCGTGCATTTTAATAATCTCTTTGTGATCATTGTTAAAAATAATAATAATAGAGCACATCATTGTTGACTTAATAAAAAAGTGAATTTCTATGTAGTTTATTGTTTCAAATTAATATATTATCATTTTTCAGTTATTCATTCACTGTTATACAGTCTACAAAAATCAAATTGTTGTTGATACCAAAGATTTAGTTGTTTGTACCCTTAGTGTATATTATTTAAAAGTGAATAATCACTTTGTTAATTAAACTTTATTTTTGTAATAAAAATTGTAATCTCATAATTACACCGTGAATGTTGACTAACCAAACTGCAAAATACAAATTGTATAAATTTCTAAATGAGTTTGTTGAAAAATTCACTATTTGCTGTGATAATGTCTGGATCACCTGTGCTTTTGGTGGCAAACATTAGTTTTCGAGTGGGGAAAAAAAAGGAAAAACACCCTGCAAGAATTTTTGATCTTTGAAGGTGTAAGTAATAAAGGTTCAAATTAAGCGGATGTATTTCATTTTAGCATAAAAGTAAACCAATGGCCAATTTATTTACAATAAAATAAGCATACATTTTTATAGAACAAGAAAATAAAAGGTAATAATTAACCAAATTGACAAAGGTGAACAAACCAATGCAACCAATGCAAAAAATTCAATAATCTAAATAAATGTAAATAAAAAATTCGATTTAATTTCAAATCTTTATCTCTAATATTTGCATATAATAATTTCTAATTTCCCTTTCTTTTAAAAACATGGTATATTTATAAAAATTTTATTTTATTCCTCCCTTGGACTGCTCAAGAAAAAATAAATAAAAGCGAACACTGGTGATGTTTATTTCCTCAAAGAACACGCGCTTCATATTGTTCAGAGCGAAATAGAAACGGAGAGAGAAGCGCTGGTGCGGCCTCGAGAAAGCGGGGAGCGAGAGTGGCCGCCCGATAATCGCGAGCCCAGATGAGTCTGTGTGTGAAAAGTGGTGCGCGGGTGGCATTGAAAGTGAATCTGTGACCTAGATGCGAGACCGACGACCCCATTTCGCCGCCACTGCCCTCACTCCCGCCGCGTTTCACCTTGACGGCGATCGGGGAACCACTCTCGCTTTCGCTTCCGCACACCTCCAACGCCTTTCGCACGCCCGCTTTCCCTCTCCATACGATTTTTTGTCTTTTCGTCCGCAGCAGTTCACTGAACCAGCAGTCCATCACTTTTTACATTTCAAAGTCGCACCAAAACGGAAAAGAAAATTTACATTTTTAAATAAAACAAAATAATTTGATTTAATTTTATCGGCTAATTAAAATTTGACCCTCTATCTTATTTAAAAAACAATTTTTGAGGGAAATTTATGAATTTCAATTTTTATTATTAAATTTGTCCACGATATTTGTAAAATATATATAGAAGAATGATTGAACTTTTGCCATGCATTCTGCCACTGTTGAAGCTTATTTTTATTTTACAAAAATTAGAATTTATGGGAAGTTTTGACTTGAATAACTAATTTATGCTCTTTGAAATTTGAATGGAAATTTCTCTAACAAATGTAACTAAAATTATTTTTATCTTGTAATTTTTTTTTTAATTTATTAATTTTTTTTGTATTGAATCACATGTCAGATTCATGCAGCACTATCATCTAACGAAAGATGCTGCAGGTGTGGCAAGTTAATTTTTTTGCAGCCTGCCGATAATGTAAGCAAAATAAACGCTGCAATCGCAGCAGGTGACAATTCTCTCTTGGATCAGATAAGGGATGAGGCGTCTTGAAAAATGGCCGTCAGAACAGGTGTGCAAATAAAGGGATAATGCAAAGAGGCATCAAAGTGATTTTTCATTTCGAGTGGCAAGCCTTATCGGCAAGACGATAAAGTGACGCGCTGATTCAGATTAACTCGCATTTAAAATGTTATAAAAAATAGATCGAACAAAATCAAATTTTTGGGTACAGAGCAAAGTTTATTTCTCTAAAATCTTCTTAAGTTATATTTTCAAAAGGTGCTTTAGACATAAATGTATAAAATTCATAGATAATACACACAATAAATTAATTTTTTTAGTAAACATTCAAAAATTAAAATGAAATTAATAACCATAAAGAAACATAAAAATAAATTAGCATTTTAAAATTAAATAAATATTTTTCTATAACAAAATGTAAGAATAATTTTCTTTGTTATATTTTTTTAATGAAAAACCAGATTTGGAATCTTTTTAAACGTATTTTACATTATCAATTAATCAAAAATAGAAGCCTAATCCCGTGGCACACACGTTAAAATTTAGTGTTTTTTCTTTCCTCTCAAGAATTCCACGAGAGGCACAACAAAAGACAAGGCCGACCGATTAGATTAATGCAGCAGTCTGGAGACAAAGATCACATCAAATCAGCGCGGCCGAGTGTGTGAGAGAGAAGAAGTGGCCGTTTGGCATTTCTCCGACCCGTCGGGCGCGCCGGGGTCAATCAAAATCGAGCCGGCAGACTGCAGCGAAAATTGAGGCCAATTGGCAAAATCGAATAAATAAAAATCAGGTGACGAATCAAAGGTCAAGTAAAGGGTCAGCGCTCAAAGTGTCCTCGATTGTGGGAATTCTGAAAAATTAAAAATGATCGTTTTTATCGTCAGGGTGCTTTACATGAAATGCACAATTGAAATAAAATGTGTCTTGATCGTGTGGTCATGGGAGCGGGTCAAAGGTTAGTCGGGGCGGACTTTGAGTTTATTGGTGCAGTGACGTACACCAGCAAAAGCAATTTTTCTGAAACACACGTGCTAGATGTCAGTAATAAACGTCGCAAGAAATGTCACAAAAAATGGATTCAAAGGAGAAAATAATTTTATCAGAATTTTATAATAAAATCATACAACATCAAAACGTAACTGTTGTTCAAAATTTATATCAAAAATTGAATTTTAAAGCAACCAAAAATAATTATTGGCGGAGGCAATGAACGATTAATTACTCAAAAAAGTCCCATGCTTCTGGTTTTCAGAAGTTAAGCATGGAAGGAAAAATTTATAAATTGTAGTCCTGACTTTTAAATAAATCGAGAGTCTCTTTAATTAAAAAGATAAACCATTCTACCGAGTCTGAATCAGTACAATAAAAAAGGTGTAAAATTATTAATTCCAAATTTATATCTTGTTTTGTGTTTTATGTTTTGCGAGTTAGATAGCTTTGTGCATGTAGAATAGATGGCGTTGCACCGGGGCCTCGACATTTAGCTTTAGCTGGCACTGGCAGCAGTTTATTTTCCCCATCGTAACAGTCCCACCGCGAGTTCGACTCGCGCTACTCGTCGCACATCGGCGCGCTGTCAGTGAATAGGCCCCGCACCTAAGATAAGTCGAGTCGCGCGTGGGAAGCGACCCTTGCACCCCTTGCCAGCACACACCGTTCTCTGCCTCGCATCCGAAGGGTGTCCAAGGGGTGTGACACAACCGGGGTCGTTGACCCTTTCGCTCAGGGTGTGATGCGCGGGCCGAGTAGCGGAGCTGCGATGGGAGAAGAAGGCGCTTAGCAACAAGAGGATGCTCGACGAGAGCCTCCAGTTGGTGGACGGCCGCCCCAAGAGGCCGCCGCCCCTCGACATCTCGCCCGCCAGACCAACCACCCTCGACCTGACCGACGCGTCCACCAGGTCTTCGTCCTCCTCCTCGCTCGCGCGCACCATCGACCTCGGTTTTAACGACCTCTCGTACTCCGTCAAGAGTGGAATCAGAAGGGGTGAGTGCAGAATATCTCCTAATTTACTAATGGGTCAATTATACCCAAAGTGGATTACTTGCTAAGTTACAAAGTATAGTTCTAAACTTACATTTTTTAAATTTAACTAAATAAATGGCCAAGTTCCTTCAGGCTGTAAATTTTTTTAAGAAAAAATTTAAGAAAATCAACAGCAAGCAGTATTTTGGTATTTTATTATAATTTGTGAATATATTCTGTTTCAATTGAAACTAAACAAAATAAATAGATAAAAAAACTAATAAAAATTCATTACTGCATATCCTCAAATTAAATAGGAAAAATTTGAAACAATTAAATTTTAATTCCAATAAAAGCATTTATATAAATTATTCGACTGCTAATCGTTTTACTTTGGTAAAAGGAAAAAAAGTAACATAATTATGCATTGTTTATTTCATTCATTTTGAATGATTTCCTTGATATCAAATTATTTCTAAGTATTTAAACTATTTTACATTAACCATTCAATGACCTCAATTTAACAAATTTACGAAATTTCCAACAATATTAAACCATGAGTTGTTTCTTTGAAGAAATTAAATTATTAAATTTGTTTATTATTTCATTTTATTGCATTATAAAACATAATAATTTTTAATTTTTTTTCAAGCTCATTGGCATTATTTATATTCCACAATGCATGTTGTTTAGGATGTTCTTTGTTATGTTCAAAATTCCAAGACTTGCCTAATATAATTGCCGAACGTTTGACCCCAGGTTCAATGAAGAACTTTGACAAATAATGGCAGCAAAAATCATCCATTCATTTCATTGCTTATCTTTTTAATTATTATAAATTAATTTCAAAGGTCATTCCCGTTTAGATATGATGAATTTAATAAAATTTGTAACCATGGTCAACCATTCAGTTAATTTCAAGTATTTTCAAAAATGTAATCTTACAAAAAAATCAGCAGTCTAAAATTTTGACGTAAATAAGTAAATGGCAGTTAAAAAAGTCACGAAAGCTTTTCATTGGCAGAATTTTCAAATTCATGCGTACTAGGCCGAGCAGAATGAAATTGCGCAAAAAAGCAAGAGGCCATGTGCAAACAGCGTGATCGAGGTGCCTTTAATGAAACGATTTGGATTCAGCTGCCGCCCCGGGGCGATCTCGCGACCAGCTGGGGATATTCACATGTGTTTGCTGACAGCAAAGGATAAAAAATAAAATCCCTGACTGCGACCAAGGCCGCTATTCTCTTTGCACAATGAGTGTCTGCCTCATTGCTCATCCCATTATGCGTTTTGTTTCATGAGTGAGCCACGCACTTCCGCGAACTTTTTCATACTTTGCATGCGTCCAGATTCGCGCGAGCAATTTGCTCGTCATGGCCGTGTTGGGATAGAAATATGTGTAATTTATATACTGACGGAAATATTATATAGGGTGGGCGCGAACACCAAAACACAGCGGTTCGCCTTGTAGTTGCAAATTATAAACAATTAAAAACAACCATAACTAGGCCCAGCAACAGTAAGAATTAAAAAAAAACGCAGAATCTTATATTTTTTATTTCTTCATTTCCTTTTATTTGACTTGAAATTCACTATTATTTATAAATTAAAATTAAAACTCAGTTTTTAATAAAATTATAACATTATTTAATAATGTAAAGTAAATGAAATAAATATTACATTATTTAATAATATAAATTTTATACTTTTTGCTGCTTTTTTCAATTTAATACGCATTAATGTTAATGAAAATTCCTAAAATAAATAGAAAATTAATAAAATTTGTCATTTTATTTCTACTAATTAAAATACTACGACAAAACGTTAAATAAAACCTCTTTTTTAAAGCATAAATTATTTCTTCAAATAAATTAGTATATATTGGCATTAAAATATGATTATCAGTTATTGAACTTCACTTAATGATATAGATTATATTTTAACCACAATTTTTCTCAACAATTTCGGCCAATGAAAGTAATGATGAAACCACAGGTATGCCTGCAGCCTCTTTTACCGAACACGCAGCGTAATCGCAATCTTATCTTGCACAGGCATTGATTTGCAATAAATAATTTGTCAGCTGCGCCTGATCCGTCTTCGGTGTCAGACAATGAATGTGCGATTACAAAAAGTCCCTTGCCACTCAACGCTCTGCAACAAAATTAATGCAGCTGAAGTGCATATTGTATCTGCGTACGGCATAATTATGGACGACAGACAATTAGTCAGAGTCGCGCGTCACATGATCCGCTGGCAAGAGCAGAGAGGATGTAAAAATATGCACTAGGCTAATATCAGCTCAGAGATAAAGTCTCATGCGGTCCGTTCAATGATCGCTCCAAATACAAATAGTCTGTGGATTCCTCACGTGAATGGGGGTTTATTCAAGAAAAGAATTAATAGAGTTTTCTATTGTAACGATTAAGCTGGACTAAACTGCTAGAAGAACTTGAAATTCATCAATTTTATTAAAATATTGAGGGGCTTATTCTTCTTATTAAAATAATAGAAAAATATAATCTCGCTTTTCTTGTTTAATTGTGCAGCATTGACCTCTATCCACTGATGCATAAATCGCCACGCCCATTGTTTGGCACAGCCGATGGGGAAATAATGCTCCCGCAGAGTTCCTTTGTTCTTCTCGCACCAAAACGGAATAATATATCGATTGCGTCAATTATTCACAAATTTAATTTTAGCCTCTCCATAATATTGACGGCCGTATCAAACAATGTTGCCGCATTCAACAATTAAAAGAAGAATTATTATAAAGTTTAAAGTCATTGAAAGGAACGTTGCACATTTGCGAATATGAGCGATTAATCGTTTATAATTCCAAAATTTTGCACTTTTTCATCGATAGGCCGAGATTCAGTCAGGCCTTATTCTTTTTTATGGTAAAGAAGCCTATTTTGTCTTGATGATTTTATCATTATTATTTTTTATTTTAATTTTATTGTGAAATCATAAATATTCTGGTAAAATTCCCTCATTTCCACGGTCCATACAAAGCTGGTAAAGAACTCTAAATAAGAAAACGGATAGAAAAAAACCTGTGAATGAAAATTTGTGATTTTAGGAAGTTGCAAATAATAATTGATTTGCCTCATTGCTAATTAGCCAAATAGATTAATTATCTAAATATTCTTTCAGGCATTACTATTTTTCACCAGCCATTTGTATTAAATTCTGTCAAGTTCAAACCGCCCTCATTATACATACATCTCTTTCCCAACTCTGATGCCGAGAGACAATAATAATAAACAGACAAAACTTTTTCCTTTCCTCCAATCTAAACAAAACAAGTTCGCCAACGCGCATTACTCTGATCTCATTTGTACAGCGGGGTATGAAAGTGAGTCACATTATGTGCGGCCAGACAAGCAGCTGTGTTCTCTTTTTCATTGCATTTTCCGAGCAGGGAAATAACATGGGTGCGTCACGTCCTGCCGCCCGAGTGCATGTGCACCGGCGAGCTCCAATTTCTTGCACCTTGCGCACCGACCGGGTGATGATCTCAACCTCGGTGCACCTGCACCCAACAGCAAATAATAACATTGCGTGATGTTTCCTTGGGATTTGTCAGACAGACACCTGCGGAACAAGAGCAATTTATCGCGATTTAAATTGCGCCAATTACGTCGGCAAACATGCAAACGACTCTGCAATATTGCTTCACGCATAGTCGGAATTTCATGCTAATTAGGCAAAAATGAGAACTGATAACAACAAACCTTCCAGAATTTTATTCACAGCCATTTTATGCTGTCAGTTGTGTTCAATTCAAAGTAAAACCATTTTTTTTAAAGATAAAATAAATTCACTCGCTTGCGTTTGGAAAACCGTTACATTATAATCTACCGAAATAAAATTTTTGAAGCTTTGAAAGACGAGATCCATTACTCTCTTTTGATATCAACAAAAAGCTGTTTTGTATTATAATACGCCAGGCAGGGGACATGATAAGTTGCCTTTTACTCGTTGAAATTGTATTGCGTCGAATCTTTGTAGGGTTTAACAGCAAAGGATACGAGGGAGATGTGAATGCCCAGAGGTTATGCATTTGATATGACTCATCATCTCTCTCATAAACATTTGACTGCCGGTCTCGTCCATAGTGTTTTTCTCTCCAGTCAGGTTTCCACTTCAGAAATCATGTACATACATTATTTACTAGACACATATGCTACTTATTGCAATTTCCTGTATTTACCCTTGCTTAAAATGCTTCGGATTGTGAGACTTGTATGTTTAAAATAACCTAAAATTTGATGATATTTAAATAATAAATCATTTGAAATTATAGTTTGAAAGAAATAATTATTATTAATTAATTGTTATGTGTTGTATGTATTTTTTTTTTAGTGGAGTTATGGTTTGTTCTTTGATTTGAAGTTATTTTTTTTTAATTTAAACGTTATCTTTTGAATTTTGATAATATTTTATAAAATTTATATTTAATATTCAATGTAGTTTTTTTCTTAATAAAAATGAATAATTAAATTGAATAAAATTATTTAAAAAAAACTTTGAGAGTCATAGCATCTAATCATAAATTAGTGATCAATCCAGGTTTTCCTTGAAAGTCCGCAATAATTACCCAATCCTGAACAACCAGGCGATAATAAATGCAATTATGCTTGTCAATCTCTGACTGTTCATAGTCAATCGCAGTGACGCATGCCTTCCTTTGCTCTACGTGATGAGTAAATTCAATAACTTTCAACTCTCTTTTGATGAAAAACTTTTATCCACATTGCCAAATGCAGCCGGTCAAAAGTCAAATTTCAATAAAGGTCGACCTTGGCCGATGACGTTTCAGCCACCCTTTTTTTATATCACGCTTCTTACAATTAAAATAAAGGCCGAAGTGTTGTTTGGAAATTAGGAACAAAAAAGGGAAGCAGAGTGTCACTCTCGTCATTTGTATGAGGAGTGTAATAGTGTAATACTTTGGGCGGAGGTCTCGGCCAAGGTGATCGCCGCCAGATAAATTTGATGATGCGTCTACTGACCTCGACTGACTTTGAAACTGTTTCCGCCATTGTTTTGAAATATTTCGAAAATTGCCAGCCACGAAGCAAAAGCAAAAACAGTATAAAATCGCCGCGGGAAGTATAGAGAAGATGCACGTTTGAATGATCGGAATTGGTCACGTTCGCAGATGCCTGAATCGCGTTAATTTTTTTTCGGTTTGATTTTTTTATCTAGCCACTGCGTCCCGCGCCATTTCAGCGAGTTTTATATCTCTAAAGTGGTTCCACGTGCGGTGCTTGCTATCATTCTGCGTGGTTCAACACGAGCAGAATTTGGCGACTCGCGAAATTTATATGCGCTGATGATAGACGCGTTAGTCACAAGTTGCTAATTAATCGCTTATTAAATAACTGGTCACTAAAATTGCTCCAACATGGTCTAATTCAAGGAAAATTGAGATGAATTAATTTTTTTTTTTTTTGCAATTGTGAAAATCAAACAAAGTTTCGGTGATCTCTATTATAAACGAACAACAATTTTAAGCCCTTTTTGGATTCGTAAAGCCTTAAATTATTTAATTAAATTTCATTTTAGGCAAAAGTCTAAGGAAATCCCAGTGACAAAATTTTAGGAATTAAAATTTACCCACAACTCACACATTTCTTAGTAAAAAATTTCCATAAAATTCTCCAAGACCTTTTCAAAGCAATAATCACAAGCGGTCATAAAGTAATTTCTTTGTACAAGCACTCTTCGTCAAATTGCAAGTTATATTTTCTCATCAAATAATAGTGTCATTGCCCTTACAGCCAATTTTCATCTGGGCGAACGTGAGTTTAATTTAGGAAAAAAATTACATAACGCGTCGAGTGCAGAGGCAATGGTGCCTCTCTCTGATAGTCCAAGTGTCTAATATGAGCCGCGCTCGCACATGGGAACAATCCAATCCAAAGACCTCAAGGATACAAACGGTCGCTCGTTTGAGACCTTGGTTGGCTCTTCACCAACCCGCAAAACGATACAGCTGCACCAACAAATATAAAACACAAAAGCAGCAGGCGACCTTTCGCGCGAAATCGCGGCGCCGCTTTTCATCGCGGTGCCCGCTGGTCTGGAGCTCTGCTTTTGCGAAACCCCGGCCGTCGTTTGCGACATTGACAATTGAATCTTGGGCGTGGGTGAGCGCGCGAGGAGGCGCCGAGTTCGTTGACAGGCTAGAAATAGCATCCGGACGGAAAGGGTCGCGACCCTCGGCACACGTGTCCCCTTACTTTAATTCTTCTTCCCATTTTGTTGTAGATTCAAATGAATTTCCACTCTGACGTTGATAATTGAGAAAATATTAGTGGTTTCTGAAATATATGGACTTTTTCATTTTAAATTCATTATGATATTTTGCAGTTATTAATTTTGCAAATTATATATTGACTTCAATTTTAAATTTTTCATGCCAAGTGAGACTTTAATTAAAAAAAATTGTATTTCGTGTGTTTCAGAGTCGAAGGCGATTCTCAAGGGTGTGAGTGGCCTCTTTCCAGCGGGGGAGCTTTCTGCAATTATGGGTGCCAGTGGGGCTGGAAAAAGCTCTCTCATGAACGTCCTAGCTGGTTACACGTAAGTTGCTTTTCCCTGCTCTGAATTTAATCTTATAAAAATCTGCTGACTTCTCTTAGCTCCAGTTATTTTTGTTCTTAAAATAAATTACTTAATGATAAAGGTGTTTCCAGCCGAAGAAAGATAAAATGGCCAGAAATAATCCAGGCTTATAAAAGTGATATATCTACGCAAAGAGTCGCGCTTTTGTGTTGGTTTTGGGATTTAAAAAATTGATTGCGAAATCAAACAAGAACGGCTATAAAGATAAGAGTTGTAAATTTATAAAATTCTTTTTAACTGTTTTATCTTACAAATTTTCAACAGCAGTAGCTACTTAAACTTCAGTTTCTTTATGGTTTTTGAAATTTACAATATTATGTTCATTCTATTTTATTTTTTATTTTTGCCACGATTCAATTTTTAAATTAGTTTATAATTTTTGTTTTATTTATTATTATTCTTCTCCGTTCAATTAAAAGGCAGTTATAAAAACTGCAAAATACTAATTTAATAAAATTTGTACATTAATTTTTCTAAAAGTTTGCAACAATGTGGACGAATAAAAACAACAACAACAATAATAATAATAATTAAATTCAACGCCGAGAGAAACTTGCGCAGCATTTGCACCGCGGGAAAATGACGTGCCTCTGTTTTCTTGCGAGTTAAATGACTTCTCATTTATTTTCAACTGCGCAGTGCAACTTTGTAATACGTCGTCACCGCGGTAAACAAATAAACGCACGTGTGAGCAAGCTTTGATTATACCAGCCAGTCAAGATCCAGTCCAGAAACACTTCTTTTTTTTTATTTCCATGACAATAAATCAAATGCTCTGTTTACACTTTTTCTTTCCTGATTTGTGATTTGTTTGCGAAGGACTGACGGCGTGACTGGGAGCATCACAGTGAACGGCGCCGTCCGAGACACGGCCGTTTTTCGGCGCCACTCTTGCTACATCATGCAACAGGACCAACTTCAACCCCTGCTGACGGTGCATGAGTCGATGCACGTGGCGGCCGAGCTCAAGCTGGGACAAGAACTGAACAGGCAGATGAAGCAGAGCTGGGTGGACGAGATCCTCGACGCACTCGGACTGTCCGACAGCAAGGACACGCTTGCTGGTGATCTCTCTGGTGGCCAGAGGAAGCGGCTGGCCATCGCCCTCGAACTGGTCAACAACCCTCCGGTCATGTTCTTCGACGAGCCCACAACGTAAGATCTGTTATTTTATAAGAAGTATTAATTTCCTCAAATATTTCAAAAACTGAAAAAAAAAATAGATATTATCAAACTTATTTTTTTTTTAAATTTACTAAAAACAATTTTATCTGTTTGTAAATTTTCTAAATCGTGAATCTCAGATTGATTTACGTAAGTATCAGCTGAAATACAATCTGCATTTTTTCCACATCAAATCTACTTTTTTAATCAAAATTATGACATTTGTATGAAATTCTCTGTTTTCATAGGCCTCATTATTTTTAACGTTTTATTATAATATCAGATTTAATTATTTCAATTAAAATTACATGTTTTCAACAAAACACCAGCTGAAAAAACCAATGAGTAATCAAATAAAAAGATCACTAAAAATATTATAAAAATAAATTTTTTGTTGAATTTCTTAGTTGGTAAAAAAGGTAATAATTAAAAAATATATATTATTTGGTAAATTTTGATCCACCAGTGGCTTGGACAGCTCTTCTTCAAAGCAGTGCATGTCATTGCTGAAGTCTCTGGCCCGCGGCGGCCGCACCATCGTCATTTCCATCCACCAGCCGAGCGCCCTGATCTTTGAAACCCTGGACCAGTTGTACGTGATGGCGGAGGGCCGGTGTCTCTTCAGAGGCGATCCGCGCCAGCTGCTGCCCTTTTTGAAGGACGCGGCCCAACTCGTGTGTCCTCAGTACCACAACCCTGCAGACTACAGTGAGTTTCTTTCTTTCTTTTGACACTTGGGAAATTTTCTGATAAAGAGCAAAAGCGATTTCAATTATCATGTCTAGCCGCCATGCTTAATGAGGTTCGAGTTATGAAAACACGAAGAAGGAGAGAAGAAAAAATCTGATAAAGAGTCGTCTTGTAAATTTCATGTACAGTACGTCACGTCGAACTCATAGGTCGCTTTTATCAGAATCTATTATCAGAGGCACAGATCATGCCTCCCTTGTCAGATATTATCGCAAAAGAATGTTTTTATTTGCAAAAATTTTATATTGGGACACACAAAAAATTTGTACAGTAATAATTTTTTAATAGATTTGATTTAATTAGTAACCATGAGAGATAAATCATTGCAAATTTAAACGACAGTGAGTTGAAATGTTAGAAAATTGATGAAGCTTGGTTAATTTATTTTTATTTGTCTTTAGCATAAGAGAAATAATTAATAAATTTTACTTAAAAGTGCTTCTATTTACCCCCTTAATCATACAAAATAATCATATTTCAAATAATAATTATATAAACTGACTTAAAAGAACTAGACAATATTAATAATAATAAAAAAAAATTCTTCATTGGACACACTTTGAAACGCCGCCACTGGCAAAGACACAGCCATGAGCACCTGCGTTGCTTTTTTAAAGTCTGCTTCAGTTTCATATAGATTTGTACTTTCCTGAAAATCGCATAGAATTATTTATTAAGTACTTTACGGGGAAATGACAGGACAAATGCATTTTCGGGTAAATGCATTTTATGGGAAATGAAAAAATAATTTAAGACAAATTAATAATAATAAATAATTTTCAAAACATTTAGGAGGTTTGAAATTAGGGGCAACGCTGGTCTCCTCATTAAAGACAGAGAAATACAGTACTTTAGACGCTGAACATGAACAAAATAAGCAGAACTTAAGACTTGAGACAACACCTTATTAGTTAGTCTCATTTTAACAGACATGAGACAGATAGGTACAAATTGTTTGCACTGCAGTGGGCGCCAGTTTTTCCATACCAAGAAATTGATAAAAAAAATTATAAATTTAATTAAAGCACCGATTCAAGTGACAGTGCACATATTCAAACAATTAGATGAGATCCACAATTATTAAATATATTTAAACATTGTAATCTAAATAATTTCAGAAATATAATAATTGCAGATTAAGCCGAATAATAAATTTAGCTGGAAATGAAGCTAAAGAAATTTTAATTTCAAACAACAATTGAATTGATTCAAACATAACTATAGTTTTATTGTTGTTTTTCTTGAGATAATTAAATCAGTCATCTTCATAACCACGAGAGTAAAAAACCAGCTCCTGGAATCAATTGTACACGAAGCGTTCAATGGCATTTAGTAATTCCATTGGCGATGCCTGGATCTGACTCCAAAACGAATGATGAGCTCCAAGGCACTTCATCTTTTCAAGTCGGGGAGCATGGACTGGCAGCAGAAGGAGAAATTGGAGCAACTCGGCAGGCTGGGCAGGCTGCTCATGGTTGGAGCCAAACTTGAACTTCTTGAGTTGCTGCAGAATTTTTCCCTCGATCAGAGGTCGGTGCAATTGAGTGCAAACCTCAGTTGTCATGGTGAAGCTTTTCCTCATTATGAAGCACTCAAGAAGGGGAGCTGCAAGAACAAGGGCCATCAGTTGAGAGGCATAGTTGTAGCTGAGCCCCCAGTCCAAAGAGAACTCCTTCAGGCTTTGGAAGTGACTGGCATTCAGTTGGTTGTTGAATGGCTTTGACTCAACGTTGAGAGTATAAATATCTAGCTTGTGCAGGCGCGGGCAGAGCATGAAAATGTCACACAAATCCAGCGGGTCGTCCCCATACTCGCACTTCAGTATGAGTTCCTCCAACTGCTTGCCACATAGGGTCAAAATATGGCAAACAAGACTTCCCCTGTGATTATGTACTTTCAATACTCTCAAGTTGGTCAAGAAGATACAGGGTGCTGGGTCGCCCTCTGGTTCCTCAGAAAACTCGAGATGTGTCAAGTAAGGCGTGCGTTGAAATTTGATAAAATGACAAGTAGTTAAGCGCTCGAGTGGAAGGGGCTGCCCTGGATCTCTGTTAGGGAGATCATCATCTGTCACATCAGTGATGTACAGTGTGTCTTCAGGATAAAAGGAGCAGAAACGCAGTCGGGGGAAATTCTTCAAGCACGCCACTTCAAGATTTCTGTTGGGCATCTTTTAAAAGAAAAGAAGTTTTATTATTTGCAAGATTAAAAACCAATGTTTCAACTTACTTCTCCGACGTATCTATCCCTGTGAACAATCAGTACTTCCAACTTCTGCAGACAAAATAAGTTGGGAAGCAAACAGGAAGTGACGTTTTTCAAGGAAACGCCGAGGGTGATCAAATTCGGGAAGTGCTTAGCGATCCATGCCATGTCTTCCTTATCACACTCGTACTGCTCAAGGCTCATGTGCTGGAGATTGGGCAACTGGAGCAGGAAGTCCTTGACATCTTGAAGCTTGAATTTTCCGATCCCTTTCACCAGTCCCTTAGGCTGCGATGGAGTTAGCCTTCGATGCTTTCGAGTGTCTGAAATTTGCTTCAAATTGGGACACTTCCAAACAAGCAGCTTCCACATGTCCAGGTCGCGCTGCTTGTCTAATTTGTGGTAGGTGGAGAAGACTATGAAATCAAATTTCTTAGTAGCAGCGTCCAACAGGCTGTTCAGCATTCCAAAAATCAAGTCTTTGACCAAAGGCATGGTGAGCTGCTTCTCCCTTTCAATATGCCCTTGGCTTGCATCCGCTCCAGGATTTCGAGTTTCAAACACAGAGCTGAAGAAAAAAATTAAGCTAGATAATTGCAACAAAAACAATAATACTGTGAAAAGCACTTACGCAAGTGCAGCAACAAAGGTGATGATTGGATTCGGACGTCGTAGCTGATGATTGTCCGCATGGCCAATTCCTTCATAGGCAAAAGATTTTCAACTCTTGACCTCTTTGTTTTGGCAATCGCCAATGCATCGTAAAGCGTCGAAAACGTTACCAAATCGCTGCAAAATTAGTAATCAGAGATCAATCATCGCAAATTTAAACGACAATGTTATAGGACAATCAATTGATTTTCTAAAGGCAAAATTATTCATTTTAAACTAGAAAATTTGAAACTCACCTGGGTTCCATTGCGAATTTGAACCGCAACGGACTCGCAACGAATTTCCAAATTCAAAATTGACAATAATTCAAGCAACAATCGCGTTAATAATTTCTTATTCCTTTTGTTTGTTGACATTCTAATCAGCAGGCAATGCCGCTGGCAATGAGCTTCCCTCTCCCTCACTTATTCCACTATTTGCAACCCCCCCTCTTCCCCCTCAACTGCTGAAACTCGGTGCTTCTCGCGGCTCTGTGCATATCATTTATCTGTGATATTTTTTTCCCGTTGAAAACATTTTAATTTAAAAAAAATCGCACACTTTGATCATTGACAAAAGTTATTTTGTAATTAAATCTGTGTTTCATAACTAGGATAGCCAATAAATCAGATGCCGAGTTGAAAATGTCTAAAATTATAAAAATTAAGTTATAAATCAATTTATTATTTTATAATTATAAAATTATTTTAATATTATAAAGTTGAGCAACAACTTTTAACAATGAAAAAAATAAAAAAAAATTCATTTATTTTTTTATAAAATAATCAAATTTAGACAAGAATTATTATCAATTAGTGTTGTTTAATTTATTTTTGAACATGTTTACTGCAGTCTGAAAGTATTAAAAATTAATTAATTTATAAAAATCAATATTTAGCTTGATATGACTAAACCGAATAAACCTATTAATTATTATCACAATTTTTAACCGCTTCACTAATGTCATAGTTATCTAGTTTTTATTCACCAAATAGTTATTAGTTTTGTCAAGAACGCGTTCTCCTTCGGGGCCTTGGGGCCTTAATAGAATAACGTCCAGGCGAACTAAAACCCTTCCCTCAGTGGAAAAAATCCCACTCTCTGCATTACTTCAGTTTCATTTCTTATTATCTCAATTTCACATAAGAGTTGATTAAATTGGTAATAGAAAAATAAAATAAATTAAAATTCTAGTCCTTGAGATCTCAATGGGAGACTTTGGAGCGTACAATGAAAAACTCGTGGAGGCCATTCAGAACGGAAAGTGCGAAAAGTGGAAGCGAGAAATCTACGCTCCGACGCCAACTATTTTCAGTAAGATTTTATTGTCACTTTAAAATGTGCGCAATAAACATTGAATTTTTACAGAGTCGACAATAAGCAGCGGCCTCACAACACCAGTCAGAGCGCCTTTGCTGCCCACGGGACCTTTGGCAAAAATGATAGGCAAACTCAGCAACGGCGCCCCCATGTCTCTGGACAACAACTCATCGCCCTGCACTGGCGGCTTTCCAGCGAAACCTTGGACGCAGTTTATCATTTTGACCAAGAGGAATTTCTATAGGCTCAAGAGGGATAAAGTGAGTAACTAAACAAAAATGTTTAGATTAATTAAATAAAATTATTTGAATAATGCTTATTGGGATAATTGGGTAATAATAAGTCAATTGGGGCTTGGGGCATTAATTAAGTTATGTAAATAATTAAATTAAATAATTTATAATTTCATATTAACATTAAAGTAATGAATTCTTGTTCTCCATCTTTGTGCAATTTTTCATCCTTTTTTTAAATCAAGGTCAAAGTTTGAAAAGAGTCTCATTCATCCTTTTTTTATCACTGCAATTATGTTTAACTGGTTTAGCTCTTTATTTCTAGATGTAAGATGTAATGGTAATATATTTAGAATTTAGAATGATGGAATCTTTCTTTAATTAGGGATCAGATGGGTTTTGCCTGCGTTAGCGTAACAAGGTTGAAGGTGCAGGCTATGACTTTCTGTCAAACACCCTATCATCAATTCCCATTTGAATCTTGGAAAGATCAAACACTTTATTGTTGCACATTTTGGTAGATTCTTTACCGTGTTCCTAAACGTGCGTCCATGTGCGCAATTAGTTCAACGAAATTTTACTTTCAGTCAAACTCTATTTACAAAATAGTGATTTAAACACGCGCGCTCTAATTGTAACTTCATATTTCAATGATGTTTTTTTAATTATTTGGAAATTTTTAATTAAACTAGAGATTTTTATGTAAAAATTTATAGAGTTTTCTGGAACGCCATCTGTGAAAGAAATTTTAACTATGGAGTTTCCGCTTCGGACTCGCCAGTTAGAGCTGGGATAAAAATTAGCTGGTACACACGAACTGGCAATCTGATTAGAGTGCAAAAGCACCGGAACCCTCGTGGCCTTTGCCTAATGGATATAAATTAATTTTTCGTGTTCAATCAAATGACGCACACAGAGGAGAACAAGAGCGCCTCATATATGTATAACAAGAAAGCGCGCAGCATTATAAATTTATAATGATAATAAGAGCGCTTAATTATTTTATCATGAACAATATAAATTTGATTTAAAAACTAAACAATTTGTATAAAAAATCAATTTCACGCTATAGTAAAATTGTAAAAATTTAATCAGGATTTTTTTTTTTAGTTTTTAATGAACATGCGACTCTCAATGCACCTACTGGTTGGACTGATGATTGGCGGGCTCTACTATAACATTGGAAACGAAGCCTCCAACGTCTTTGATAATTTTGGCCTCATTTTTTACAGCGTGGTTTTCCTAATGTTCACATCACTACTTTCCATGATTGTCACTTGTGAGTCATTATTGCTTTCCCCATAATTTCCAAAATAAGTTTACAAATTTCAGTTCCTCTGGAAATGCCAATAGTGGCCAGGGAGCATTTCAATCGATGGTATTCTTTAAAATGTTATTATTTGGCTGTGACACTCGCCGACATTCCAATTCAGGTAAAAATTATTTAAAATTATCACAAGTTTTCTCACTTGCGGATTTAGATTGCGTGTTCTTTAGGTTATACGACCCTTGTCTACTTCCTGTCTGCGCAGCCTTACGAAGCCAGCAGATTCTTGATGTTCTCAACAATGGGCCTCCTTGTGTCATTTGTGGCTCAGAGCGTGGGCCAAATGGTTGGTGCAGGACTCAGCGTTGAGGTAAGAAAAGCAATTCAGGAAAAAACTACATTGAATTAAAAAATTTAAAAAAAAAATATCAAAAATTTTTAAAATATACCACATATTTATCTGAGAAGGAAAAATAAGCAATTATTGAAAAAAATTAATTTGGTCTTCTTTTATAGAATGGGGTGTTTTTTGGTCCCCTAACAAATCTGCCGTGCACAATTTTCTCCGGCTTCTTCATCCACATGAAAGACGCGCCGAAGGCAATGCACTGGTTGTTTCACACGTCCTACCTCAAGTATGGCCTGGAGGGCATGATGTTGGCCGTGTACGGCTATGGACGCCAGAAGATGGACTGTGAAGTCGAATACTGCCACTTCCGGAAGCCGGCCAAGTTCCTCGAGGTGTTGGGCATGGAGGGCGGCGAGTACTGGCTGGACGCTGGCGTCCTCCTGGCTCTTCTAGTCCTTATCCGCTTTGCCACCTACTTTGTGCTCAAGTGGCGCCTCAAACATGCTAGAAACTTTATCTAACGTGAGAGAGACGAACAGTAGTTTTCTGTTGTGTGGGTTTTAAATGACTGATCTGTTTTTGGTCTGGAGGACATTCACTATCTAGCACAGGCTTATAATATTTTTCGTTACCCATTTTAATATATGTCAGTATTTTAACCACTGTTCTGTTTTCCAGATGTACTGCATTTTTTTTTTGCAGTCAGTGCAGTTTTTCAGGCTGAAAAAGATCAAATACATATATTTTCTATTTTATTATGATAACTGTGTTAAGTACACGCAAATCAGAGCCATTTCTGTGATTTTCTATTAAATGAAATGAAAGGGAAATTTTGATGTGAGGATGTGTGAATCACATTTCCTTCAATATTTAGGATTCACAATTGTAGTTTTTTTCTGGCTAGTATTAATATTACCAGAAGTATACGTGTAAAAAAAGCATTAGAGACAATCCTGATAATTAAAAATTATTAAATTAATTAACCTAAAATAAATATTAGCCCAGCTGAATGTTCCAAATACAGAGCTTTGAATGTACGCAAATCAAAATGCAAAAGAGCTGCCAAATACGCCTTGCATTATTAGCAAGTATCAATCACAGTGTTAGAAAATAATACTCAAAATCATTGTTACTCTCTTAATGTGTTCAATGTGAGCATGTTGATTTACAGTCGTTTCCCCCTGGGACCACTTCACCTAAGTATGAAAAACCTACGTAATTGACACCTTGCTATGCATGCAAAAACAGAATGTGAATTGAGTATATATTTATCATTATGTACAAAGCCATGTAAACGTTAAAATAATTTATTCATCTCTCTATTATAAGAGGAATGCCAATGATGTAGCCGTCAAGTAAAATAATTAATTATAAATTTTGCAAGTGCAAAAAGTTTGCTCACAGTCATATTGAGGGAAAAATTCAATCAGAAATGCTGCTTTTGTAATGAAGATTTTAAATATACAACTATTTTGATAGGAAAATTAAAAGAAAACAGACTATAAAGAAGTTTATTTATTTATTATTTCCACATTTAAAAAATTTATCGGCTAAAGTAAACTCTGCTTCTGAGGAATATGTAGGCTAGTATTCGTAAAATTGCAAAATGAGCCACCAAAACGCCTGTGCCAAACCAGTAGTTGGCATTTTCCATTTCCAAATTCTGCAGAATGTCATGCGGATTTCTGTCTCTGCAGTATGCTTGGCTGATGCAGGGAAGAGTTTCTCTGTTGAAACCGTAAACTGCTAAAACAACACCTTCGAAGCCATAGCGGACAAAGCAAATGTCCGAGATCCAGCGGAGAAACGGGTGCATTGCGCTGAATCGCAAAAACACACCAGAGAACATCACCAAAGGAACGACGAGTACTTGCGCAAAGAAAACGCCGTTCTAAAATTTCAGTAATCTTAGTGAATAAATTATTTTGCCCTCAGAAAAAAGACCTGGATGTTCATTGCTGACCCAACCATAATTCCCAAACTCTGCGAAACCAGACTTGTGAGCAAAGAGGAAAGAAAGAACATCCCAAATCGGTCCCATTCTAATGGCTGTCCGGTAAAGTAATACGCCGGTGCTGTATACAATAGGGTAAAAGCCACCTACATTCACAGAGATCATTATTTTTTATTATTATTATAAAGAAATGATAAAACCTGAAATGGAAAATCGCACAAAGTCATTGCTAAATAATACGGCCGCAACGGATACCAGCCATTGAAGGTCTCCTTCCGCAACACAGGCATTTCTAGAGGAACTGCGAATAAAATTTTATAAAAAAAAATATTATAAATAAATTTTAATCCATATTTACATGAAAGAATTGAAACGGTTAGAGCCCCATACATAACAAACAGGGCGTTGAAAAAGAGGAATCTCACGTTGGTGAATACTTTGGCAGCGTCTTCCCCAACGTCATTGTACAAAATACACACGACCAGGCCAACGATTATGTAGGCACTCAGCCGCAAGTACATCAGAGTCTGGGAATAAAAGATAAAAATGCAGCTCGCAGAACAGCGCGGCAATGCGGGTTGCCTATCCGTGACTCTGCAGGTGTTACCATTACCTTGTCTCGCCGGGTGAAGAGCGCAGTGCGGCGGAGAATGGTCCAAAATTGGGTCCACTCAGAAGTTGGGTACGGCTTTTTAATCGACTCCAAAACTTCCTTTTCCTGTAGAAGGGTTGAGGTCACTGAAAGGTCTTCCCTGCAGGGCGTCAGGTCGTGATTTGCGATCAAAGGAAAATTTATGATTTCCACGTTTTCTGCTCCCGCTAGATACAAATTATAAGATATTGATACTAAATCAATTTATAAAATTTAACCGTCTTGAATGTTGAGCTTTCCATTATCCACAGCCAAAGAGAGCTTTTCAAGATTTTGGTTCTTCTCACCAGAAGTTAATTCGATTACTTAAAATATAACTCAATGCTTTTGATTTATTTTTAATTAATTATTACTGTAATTGGCTGGGTTGTAAATACTGAGGCAGTAGAAGCCATTTGAAGCGAGCCAGGGTACAAGTTGGCTAGTACTACCCTGGTAGACGCATTGACCCTGGGCTAGGGTGTAGAGTTGGTCGAACATTTCAAAAAGTCGGGCGCTCGGCTGGTGAATGGTGCAAATTACGGTCCTACCACCTCTGCTCAAGTCTTTTAAAAGTTTGATGCACTGGTAACAGGAAGAACTATCCAAACCACTACAATTTTAATTTATAATGTAAAATTATTAATTTTTTAATTTAATTTTTTGCCTAGTCGGTTCGTCAAAGAACATGACTGGAGGGTTGTTGATCAGCTCTAAAGCAATACTCAGTCTTTTTTTCTGTCCTCCAGACAATTTTTTTGTGATGCTTTGCTTGTGGTCAAACAGGCCTAAAGTTTCCAGGACGTTGTCAATCTTGATAAAAATTATATTATATATATAATTTTTTAATTCAATGTTATAAAAAAAGCACATACAACTTGTTGCTTATTACAGAAATCGTCTGGCAGTTTGAGGTTGGCTGCGAGCGTCATTGCTTCGGCCACTCGTAAATTGTCGTGCAATTGATTGTCTTGCATGATGTAGCAAGACTGCTTGCGAAAGTGGCTCAAATTTCGCTCGGTGCCATTTACTGTGATCAGTCCTGACGCCCCATCGGTTCTTTAATGGAAGTTAATTTATTCTATTTGAATCGACAAGTGCGTCAAATTAATTTATCCCCAACCTGTAGCCGGATAAATTGTTTAGGAGAGACGATTTTCCAGCACCAGACGGGCCCATAATTGCCGTCAATTCGCCGGCGCGAATTATTCCACTGACCGACTTCAAAATCAGTCTCCTGTCTAGAAGTATTTTTTTTTTAATTAAAATAAAATTTGTTATAAAAATTTAAAACTTTTCTTGTCATCCGTCACGTGATAAGTGAGGTTGGAGAACGCCAGTTCAACAGGAGGTTGCTTTGGTAAGTGGAAATTTTCCAAGTCGCAGGAAATTTCTTCATGTTGTGCAGAAATTTGACCATTGTTGTTGCCATTGGGACTCCGCACGTCCAAACGCGGCGTCATTGTTTCTTCAACTGGCGTTGCTGAGGTTTCGCGACCAATTATTGGAGCATCGGAGAGCAGATAGGGAGCACCACAATCTCACATTATAAGATATTTATATAGCCAAGGCAGCAGAGCGTTCACGTGGACTGAAGTTAATAATGGTCGATGGACAGACGTAGAGATAATTTAAAATAATCACGAAGGGCGAGCGACGAATCGCGCTTAAACTTTGATTGATTATAAAACAATGTTGGCAGGTGCAACTTTTCTTATCAAGGAAATAATCTTCCTTGAAGAACTAGAATATAATGATGGAGTTGAATCTAGAAAAAAATCAAAATTTTAGTTCAGTCAAAAAATATTTAAATACATTTTTTCAACTATGGCTCATACTGTCTACATAATACAATCAAATGCCAGTTTAGAAAGTGTGTGGTGAGAATGCATTTTGCTCTCGCCACTTGAGAAATGATGAATAATGGTTTATTGTGCCGCATTTAAGTCCAAAATCCACCACAATGTACAAGTATTTGTCCAACAATCTTAGGCGCACAGGGCAAGCCGATTACATTCAATCTCCAGCAGAGGTCGCTGATCAGTTGTGAGCCGCTCTGCTCTTCAGCGGCACAGTTTCGCCGTCAACTCTCGTCAGCGTGAGTGTCAAACGCGGCGCTCAAGATGTTTTGCATTCACTCGCTCCTCTTGTAAAAAATATTTTGCAAAAATAAGAGATGAAATATGGATCTGCAGAGCACCACGTTGGCCATTGAGTTCAGGCACCTGACCTATACTGTCCGGCACAAACAACACTATTTGCCATGTGAGCCATTTTTAGTTATTTTGATTATTCCCTTTCCTTTCACTCACAATCAATAACAAAAAATGAATGACTTTCGTTTCCAAATAACTCTTGTTAGATCTTCTGTAATAATTTTCCAACAGTCAAAAATTGTATTTTATAAAATTTAATTCCCAATATTATATGTTATTGGGGCCGATAGATTCCTTTAATTTATTTACCGTTAGAATCTTCACGCTATAATTCATTGTCAGAAGCATTGTACCTACAATGTTGCTTCGCTCTCTCTTTTTGCATTAACTTGATTAATTTAATTTCTTATTATTTTTGAAAATAATATCACCAAAGCAAACTAATAGTAAATCAATTTCATAAAAACATTTCCCTAAAATTCGTCTTCTTCTTCGTTTTGTATATTTTTCTTGCATTCCATTGATTTAAGTATTTTATTCTTACAATGTGGCATTTAATTAAAATCATTCTCTGCCCGTATGCGAGATAAAAACAAAAGCCGATTAAGATTACAACAAAAACAGACTGTCTAGATATATAATATAATTTATGCAGCTCCTCGGCGCTAAAAACAAAAGCTTGGCAAGTTATTGGGCAAGAGTGGCGCGCGGCTGCTTAACTCAATAATTATTATTTATTATGCATCCTGCTTAACTACGCGGAAATCATCTGTTACATAAAGCAATATACCACGCATGCATTGACTGTTAAAAATATACATACCCTCTCCACTTAACAACAATGTTAACTCTGCAATTTCAATTATCTGGTTAAAAATTACGATAATAGTAGTGGCTTGAATATTACAACTGCCTTTTGTATGGTTTCAGCGCACGCCTTAAATTACTTGAATAATTTGAATAATTTTTTAATTGTTAAGAAGTTTGTATTTTATTAAATTTCCAAATTATTTGTATTTGCCTTATTAATAGAATTTAAAACTGATATCTAAAAAAGAGAAGTATTTACATTAATAAATGACACAAAAAACTTCCTTTACAGAAAGTTTTAGAAATTTAATTTTATTGAACTGCTTTTAAACAGGTTTTCCTAAAGGCGAGTCTGCATCTACCAGGACGGAAATCTTGCACAACATTAGTGGCAAATTTAATGCTGGCGAGTTGACAGCGATCTTGGGTCCGTCAGGCGCGGGGAAAACGTCGCTGTTGAAAATCTTGGCAGGTTTTAGGTAAGGCCGCGAGTCGCATAAATTTTAATTTTAAACGCGATTTTTAATAAATGCAATTTTTTGTTAGAACGTCTGGAGTGAAAGGAGAAATTCTGATCAATGGCGAGAGGCGCGGGATTCAGCACCGACGATTGTGCTGTCTCATTCCACAAGACGCTGCTTTGCTGGAAAACTTAACCCTCAGGGAAACCCTTCACGTGGCCGCCAAACTGAAACTGGGCAGCTCGCGCAAGAGTAGAGCTTTAAGAGCCAATGCTGTGAGTTGAATTAAAAATAAAAAAATTAATTTAAATTTTTTCCTGAAGATTCGAGAAACGTGCAGAATTTTGGGGCTGGAGGGCTGCATGGACACTCAAGTGTGCTGCCTGTCAGGGGGCGAGCAAAAGAGACTGTCCTGCGCCGTTGAATTATTGTCCGACCCACCCCTCATGTTCTTTGATGAGCCGACAAGGTAGATTTAATTTTATAAATTATTTTAATTTTATTTTGAAATACCAATTATTAGTGGATTGGACTCTTTTTCATCAAGTCAAGTACTGGCGCACTTGCGAATTTTGGCCAGAGAAAGTCGGCGGAATATTGTGTGTTCCATTCACCAGCCTAGCTCAAAATTATTCCAGGTCAGTCTATTAAAGAATTAAGATATAGTTGTGCAATTATTACGTAATTTGCTTTTCAGTCATTTGATTCCATTTATGTGCTCTCTGAGGGTCACTGTCTCATCAAAGGGTCAAGGGAGTTGATGGTCCAAAATCTGGCCAACATGAATTTCTACTGCCCTCAATTTTACAATCCAGCTGATTACGGTACTGTTTACTTAAGATAAAATTTAAATTTTCATCCTGATGATAATCTGCATAGTTCTCGAAGTTGCTGCCGGAGAGAGGGGTGACATTTCTGCACTGATCGGCAAGGCCTGTGAGGCGCTGCCGCGGATTGAAAATGTTTCTGCCAAAGAGACTAGTAATAATAGTTTTATATCCAGGCAAAAAATAAACTCAATTTTAGGTTTTATGCTTCCCAACTTGGAGACTGATTGTGAGAAAACTGAGAATGACACCTTCCTGAGCTTAGGCCCCAAAGCCCCCAAGCATGTCTGCACCCTGGGGCAGCAGTTCCTGATTCTTTTCTCAAGAGCACTTTTGACCACATTTAAGGATTTGGTAATTTTTCTTTCATTGTGAAACCTTTTCTTTGTCCGCTATTTTGTGCTCTGCTTTTGGAGACGAAACACTAAAATGGGGTCAAATGGGTTGCAAGAGATAAACTCACTGTCTCTGAGAGCAGACGAGGTCCAAAAACAAACAAAAAATTACATATGCGCCTCTTCCGCAGCATATGGCTTGGTTGAGATCGGCAGCCCATGTGATCATCGGAGTAATGCTCGGCTTCGTCTTTTACAATATCGGAAATGACGGCGCCAAAGTCACTGGAAATGTGGGCCTTATCTTTTTCATGATGCTCTTCCTATTCTTCTCCAACGCAATGCCCACTGTGCTCACTTGTAATAACAAAAGTACAATTTTTAAATGTGGAATTTTTGAGCAACATTTTTATTGCAGTCCCCTCAGAAATGTCTGTGATGTTGCGAGAGCACCTGAATGGCTGGTATTCCATCAAGGCGTACTATTTGGCCAGGTCAATTGCTGACATTCCTTTACAAGTGAGAAAAAAAAATATTTTTTGGAGAAATTTAATTTTCCCTCATTTTCAGATCATGTGCCCTACTATATTTTTGCTGATTTCCTACTACTTGTCAAACCAGCCAATGGAGTTCCACAGGTTTGCCCATTTGTGGTTGGTTGGGATTCTTTTAACCCTTTTGGCCCAATCCTTGGGGCTCTTCGTTGGGGCTGCGTCCGACGTCAAGGTAAATTTTATAAATTCAATTTTTATTGTACTATAGTTTTTTTGTTTTATAATTTTAATAGATGGGTATATTCCTGGTGCCTGTGATTTCCATCCCGATGCTGCTTTTCTCTGGCTACTTTGTCCCCGTGGCCGACATACCTGTAGCGCTCAGGTGGCTGTCGCATTTGAGCGTGTTTTATTACGCTTTCGAAGCTTGTTTGACTGCCATGTATGGATTTGAGAGAGCGCGATTGGAATGCAGTCGGGACTATTGCCACTACATGTCTCCTAAAAAAATCATGATTGACCTCAACGTCAAAGAGGAGAATTACGCCAGCTGCATTTGTGCCCTTGTTGGATACATTTTGGCGCTCAGGGTGCTGCTGTACTTGACGTTGAAGCTCCGAGTCATATTATCAAAATGATTTACTGTTACTTTTTATAATTTCCAAAGGATAAACTAGTGATTTAAATTTATTTCTTGATGCAGCAATAATGTTATACAAATTTTATAAAATGTGATATTTAATGTAACATTTTTAATTTTTATATGATGAGCCCAGATGAACAAATGAACTAATGCAAAATTTCTATCTTTAGTGCAACAACTTATTATTTCACAGTTTCCTAAAACAGTGCGCGAATTTTTATAAATATTAATAATGTTTTTTAAATAAAACAGGTATATTAATAAGAATAATTTCTAACTACAGTGTTTCAATTCAACCAAAACATTTTTACCTTACACAGATTAATTAACTTTTGTTAAATTTTTATGGAATACAAAAACTTAAGAAATTGATAAAAAAAACTTTTAAATTAGAGATCATATATATAAACTGACCGAAAAATTTCTAGCATAAGAAAAGTGCACAAGTTGGGAACGTTTGTCAATAACACATTTAATTGTTAAGTAACTAGAGATTAAAAATTATTATTAAGCAACGAAAAAATTAATATTAAGCAAAAACGTTAGGCCAAAAAATAATAATAACTGATGCTCCTGTTTACAAACAGCATGACATTAAAAAAAAACGCGCTTCTCTACTTTCTCCATGGTATTCAAAAAAATGGTCTAGTTTTTTTTTAACCGCAATGGGGTCGGGGATTGAGATAATTTAATCCATGTTCACAATGACTTCAATAGATTATTATTTTTCCTAATAATTCCATCGTATCGTCAATACTCTTTTATCCAATTAATCTGATTTTAAGTCTGCTGGCTTACCAGATAAAAAAACTGACGTCCAAAATTAAGAACGTTTTAGGAGTATAAATGATGAAGTATATTTATTTGAGTGAAGTTACAAGTCCAGCCAACTCCAAACGGAGTTATCGGCCGGTGCTTATTTGACTGGAAAGCAAGACTTAAAAGCCAAGCAATCCAGTTCTATACACATTGTTTTACATGCGAATTTTTACAATAAGATCTGGTTTCTAGTCTGAAAGTCACAACTGAAATAGTTTGCTATAAGGAAGCTGCAATGAAAAGACTAACATTTTTCGCCCTCTTTGTGGTCGCAGCACAGGTTGTTTCATTTTTTTTTCTTCATTCCAGAAATTATTATTTTCTTTCTGTGTGTGACATTATAGGCCTTGCCTTTCAACAATTACCAGTTCCAGCATAGGAGCTTGCAAAATCCAGTTTTTCGGCAACGTAAGCATATAACTAAGCTAAAACTGACTAAAACTAACTAGTCATTATTATTGTATACCTGCAGTGAGTGACATATTATTTTTTTTTAATAGTTAAATAATTTAGAAAATTCTATCTGTCTGGAAAAAAACTTTTTTTATCGATCGACACTAATCACAATTTTTATTTCAGAAAGATATTTGTATAAACCTTCCACACCAAACATAGAACAAGATCGACAATTCCACGCGTTGATTAACGTGAACAATGGTGGATTCTGCAGCGGAATTCTGGTTGATGCAGACAAAGTTCTCACCTCTGCACAATGCGTAAAGGGGTAAGTGCTGAGGTTGAATTCAAATAAATGATTTTAAAATAATTTTTTTTCTTTTTAAAAGTGGTTCTACTTTTGAGATTCGTCTCAACCGGCGTGACTTGTACAATGTGGACCCAAGTGAAAACGCTAACGAGACTAATGCTTCGTCGTCCAACGCGATCATCCACCCTGAATTCATGCGCACCTTTGAAAAAGCTGTGAATGATTTGGCGCTGCTGGTGCTGGACACACCTGTTAGCATTACCCCTGTGGCTGTAGGGGGTCAATTTTTTTCAGACCCCTTGACTGAGTACATAGATGTCCCTTTGGTTGGCTATGGGCTAAGCGATGGTAAAATTACAGTTTAATTATAAAATATGAGTTTTTTCTTTGATTTTTATCTTGCCGCTACACATTATTGAATTTTAAATATACAAATGTTCTTACAACTTTATAGTTATTTATTTCTACATTGAAAAAAATATAACAATTAAATTAGGTCAAATTAGGGATTTTTTATCAGAACTTCATGGGTCTTCAAATTTTAATGTTAAATTTGGTTTAATGTACAAAATATTCTAAATAATTGTTTAATTTTGTACTAATTCTAGGCAATTATAACTGAAAAATCCTTTTATTGCAGATACAAATTTTGACGGCAAAAGCATGCAAGGCTATCTCCAGTTGCATTCCACACACTCGAAGCCGATAATTGAATGCGTTGGTTATATACCAGCAATAGATATGTCAGGGAAGCATATGTGCGCAGAACCTGCTGGCCTCAGCTCCTGCTTTGTAAGCATTAAAAATCATTGAATTTTTTTAAAAACCCACCAAAATATATTGAAAAATTTCAGGGCGATCCTGGTTCCCCTTTGCTTCAGTACAGTTCATCAGAACCAGGATTTGAAGTGATTGGAATTGCTAGTTTCGGTTCCCAAACGCTGTGTGATCTTTATGGCATCACAGTTTTCACTTATGTTAGAAGTTATCATGATTGGCTGGCTGCAAACGGAGTTCCGATCACAGGAAAAAAAGTGTGCCAGGATGGGACCAGCCGGCTTATTCCGGCCCCTGTTTAGGCCTGTTTTTTTCCGGAAAAAACCCGGCTTTTTCCGCACAAGAAACAATACTTGATACTATAAGCTATAATTGTATTTTACCTGATTTTAAATAAAAACTTCCTTTTAATTTATTTTCGTCGTTTTTCAAATTATAGAAAAAAATATTTAATTATATTATTTAACATATTTTAATAACAATAATTTAAAATGTCAAATAGAAAAAAAAATAAAAAAATGCAAATTTTATCGTTAATAGATTAATTGTAAACTAATATAAATATTATTTTACAATTTTACACGACTATCACCGTGCAAATACTACATATCAAAGAAGCGCTCTCCTAATACACACTCAATTACATTGTATAAAAAAAATACATGGACGTACCATGTGGCCATGTGCATTATTTACCGTTATTTACGTAAACGTACAATATAGCATCGAATTATATTATGAGAAAATGCTTCTGGTATGACATGTACAAAACGTGCTCTTAGATGTCTCTAGCATCGCCGTTCGAAAGTTCAGAAAGTTGCTCGTTGCTCATCTGTTCGGTAGAGATAAATAAGAGGCACGACTTGATTAAAGGTGCTGTTAGTTTTGCATTTTAATTAGAATTATCGTGACCAAGCGATTTACTACGATGGCTTCTCTAGTTAAGGTAATTATCCCACTCTAATATTCCGAAAAATGTTGCCAAAAATCCGCAAAAACAACCAGAATTTCCAGTTTTACATAAGGGGGCCAGAATTCTGCTCATCGGTTTTGGCTGTAAAAGTTAAATTAAATTTGGACATTGGCCAAAAGTTCGTATTCTTAGATACGGTATAGTTCAAAGTATCTTTTGAATGAAGGCCTGCGTGAATTTACCGATTTATTATGTAATTAGCATAAACGATAACGTGACAATGTTAAATTTTACAGCTGGCGAAATCGACTCTTCGACCTGGAATCAGGGCCATTTCCACTTCTCTACCTTCAGCAAGTTCGGAGGTACCTGCCTGTGGCTATGCTTTTGGTACGATTTTCAAAAATTATATAAAGAAGTTTTTTCATAAAACACAAAAACTAGAAAATCTAAATATTTATTGAATGTATTACGTAATGTTTAGAATTATGCGCATATTTTTTTTTTATCATTCAGGGACATTCGAAACCCTTTCTCAAACGTCACTCTTTATTTAAAAATTTATGCAGTCATTCAATGACTGGTAAACTTTTGCTCCAAGTATATTTTACTGGAGAAGATGCTACGTTTTTATGACGAAACCTTAAAAATTATTTAACATATTCTTATTTGCTGATAATGTGCACAAAAATCAATTATCGGACTGCTCAAGTTCCACGGTGCACAACAAACCAAAGTGCAAAGTGTGCAGAAGAGGTGTGGTGTCATATTATCTAAAAATGAACTTTGTTCCAAGTTGAGACAAATAATTTTATCAAATTTTTTATCAGATCAAATATGGTATTTTAGAGCCATCACAAATGCTGTTAATTGTTGAGAAAAACAATTATTTAAAAGTGAAGCAGTTCTTTGTCCTCATTTTAAAGCAGTTTTTTTATAAAAAAACACATTTAAATTACACAACTTGCCTTACTTGCCTGTTTTTCACTTTTGAACATTTTCTTGATTGCTCCTTAAAAATTACGGTGAATAAAAAGTAAAAGATAAATGATAGAGAACGTTCTAACTAAAACACGAATTATTGCAAAAAATAATGGTATAGAAAGGTCAAAATATATTATAATTTTATTAAAATTTAGCAACGTATGTTAAGAATTATGTTATTCAATCCCTCCATTGCATTTTATTAAAAGAATCACTTTTTAGAATATTTGGTTGTTAAAATTTTCCACTCATGAGATATTAATTCAATCAATTTTTAATCAAAACTATTCATTAATGTAATTCAACACTGAAAGTTTTTTTTATTTTGATTGCAGAGCTGAATGATGAGCAGAAGGAAATCCAGTCCTTGGCTCGCAAATTCACTGCCGAGGAAATCATTCCAAAAGCGGCCGAGTACGACAAGACCATGGAATACCCATGGCCAATCGTCAAGAAGGCCTGGGAGGTCGGCCTCATCAACAACCATATCCCTTCACACTGCGGTATTTTCTTTGCCACTTGAATGAGAATAAATTTTTTTCAAATTAACAAAAAAAAGTTGCCTGGCTCCGGAGCAGGCAGTGCTGTGCAAAATCCTCCTTCCCTGCACAGAATCAGGCTTTTGAAGCAGAGCACTGCTTGCAGGGGGCCAGGGCATGGGCGTTTTCGACATCTGCCTCATTGCCGAGGAACTGGCGTACGGCTGTTCCGGTGTAATGGCCGCCGTGCAAATCACCAACATTGGTGTGAGTATTAACGCTTGTGTGCTTGCGCAGGTGGCATGAACCAGGGCATTTTCGATGGTTGTTTGATTGCCGAGGAGCTTGCTTATGGTTGCACTGGCATCAAAACCGCCATTGAGGCCAGCGGTCTTGGCGTAAGTCTGCACCTGTGTGCCCTCTGTGTGCTTTTTTTATTGTTTGAAAGGCTAAAAAATTGCATTTATAATTTCTTATCTTTGCAGCAAACGCCTGTAATTATTGCTGGAAACAAGGAACAGCAGAAGAAGTACCTGGGACGTCTTATCGACGAGCCTCTTGTTGCGGTTTGTATTCTATCCAATTCTATCCATTAAAAATATTTGATTTTGTTTTCTGAGGATTTTTGATAGAATATAATTTGAAATTCATATTATCTTCATTTATGGAACTATAAAAATTCTCAACCTTAAATTTATATCTTTCCTCATGTATTTTGATGTTCTTAATCTAATTTGTTTTCTATGTCTCAAATAGGCATACTGTGTGACTGAACCTGGTGCAGGATCCGACGTAAACGGCGTGAAGACCAGAGCAGAAAAGAAGGGCGATGAGTGGGTTATCAATGGCCAGAAAATGTGGATCACAAACGGTGGCGTCGCAAACTGGTCAGTTTGAACAATTTCGCAGAAAGTTAACTGAAACTCGCCTTCGTCAAATCTTAGGTATTTCGTTTTGGCCCGTACAAACCCTGACCCCAAGGCCTCTGCCAGCAAAGCCTTCACAGGATTCATTGTTGAGAGGGAAACCCCTGGAGTCACCCCTGGCAGAAAAGTAAAAAAAAAAAGAAAAAAATAGACTGTCGTAAATGATTAATACAAATTTGAATAAAATAGGAAATCAACATGGGTCAAAGGTGCTCTGACACTCGAGGAATCACTTTCGAGGATGTCCGTGTGCCCAAGGAGAATGTCCTGATTGGTGAAGGTGCTGGTTTCAAGATTGCCATGGGTGCCTTCGACAAGACCCGTCCTCCAGTAATTAAGAAGTAAAATACTTATCAATATTCTTAAATTACACTTTGTAGGTTGCTTCTGGAGCCACCGGTCTTGCCCAGCGCGCCCTTGACGAAGCCACCAAGTACGCCCTGGAGAGGAAGGCCTTCGGCGTCCCAATTGCTTTCCACCAGGTAAATTGAAAAAAATGAAAGAATTAAAAAAAAAACAATTTTATTTGTAGGCCGTTGCTTTCATGCTCGCCGACATGGCTATTGGAGTTGAAACTTCCCGCCTGGCCTGGATGAAGTCTGCCTGGGAGGTGGACCAGGGTCGTCGTAACTCTTACTATGCTTCGATTGCCAAGGCTCTGGCTGGAGACGTTGCCAACAAATGTGCATCTGACGCTGTCCAGGTTTGCGATCATTTTATAATTGCCTCTGCAAGTTATTGAATCTTTTCGATTATCAGATCTTTGGTGGAAACGGCTTCAACAGCGAATATCCCGTTGAGAAGTTGATGAGAGATGCCAAGATTTATCAGATTTATGAAGGAACTGCTCAGATCCAGCGCCTCATCATTTCGCGCGCCATTATTGACATGGCCAAGGCCAAGGCGTAATCAGTCTAAAACTTTTACGGGCTCATTTTATATTCCATCTGCTGTGAAATTTATTTGAATACATGCCTTTGTCATCTTTATGGTTTCGCCAGTTATTTGTTTTGCAGAAGTTATTTTAACAGACTAATGTATCATCATGAGACTGAATAAAAGAAAAAATTGCACCAAGTTATTTCTCAAACAAAAGTATACTAAATTTTAGTTATTGATTCTTTGCTTTGCCCTTAAATATCAACTTATCAACCAACCGCGCGGTGCACTTCTATTGGTGATTCATTTAGCTTATCACAAAATTCAATCGCATATGAACAAAACACAAGTGGTTCAAAATTAACATCAACTAGCTGACTCTCAAATTCAAATTTTTGTCATATAAAATTTGATTTAATAAAGAAAAAAATAAATCTTTTGATTAAAAGAGGCCATTATTTCATTATTACATCTTACATATTCCTTTGAATTTCTTGCCTAACAGATAAGAAAGTCAAGTTCGAAGGGATACAAAATTAATAATTTAATCATTTGTAAAACTAATAAAATATTTAAAAGTTTCAAGCTACATGTGCGGAGCTAAAATAATTTAATTGCAAGCTTGGCGAAACTTGCCGAATATGGAAATAAAGTCTCTCCTCCTTTCTTCTTTTATAGCTAGCTATCCTTTTTTAATTGAAATTAATTTTTTAAATAATCGTTTAAATAAATCTACTAATTTATTATTTTGAATTAAACTAGACGCGTAAATTTGATAAATTTTATGTGAAAATTTTAAATGTATGGTTAATGGTTATAATTAAAATATAGAGTTGTTTCTATTTCTATAATACATATACTCGTCACTCAAAACGCATAAAATGAAAAAGTTTATAATTTTTATTGTGTTGTGCACACCATTCTCTATTTAATCGTACGAATGTCAGCCTTTTCCCGCCGCGCGCGGTACTCAACAAGTGGTTGTGGCAAGTTGAAACAAGGTGGCACTACTATGAATTCTCGCGCCGTATATGGAATAAATTTCACTTTCAAAACGATTTTGTCCTCGAAATTTAAGAAAAAGTGTTTCAAAACCACCTTAAAATATGGGCGAAATTTTCAACATAATTTTAGTACTATCGGTGGCTAGTAAAAAGCTAGACTCGCGGGAAAACGCTTACATTTTCTACGACCTACTTTTTGTGACGTAACAGGGCTAGTCAAAACACTTTCGCTACTAAAAAGCCCAAACTGCAAACTAGAGGGTCAAAAACTAACAAAATGACTAAATTAGTAATTAATAGTTTATTTTATTGAGGTGTTGCATTTTTTCGTGGGCTGAAAACTCGAATTTGGTGCGTAAATAGACGCGGAGAGCGAAAGTGATTTGACTCCGGACGCGCTCCGTCTGCCCACCACCTAAACACAAGTGAGTGCTTGTGGCCTAGAGACCTACTTTCCTCGTCGTTCCCATTTTTTATTGCTTTTTCACACGTACGGAAAGCGAGCGGGGCCTTGACATTGGGCCCGAGTTCAAGGTTAGTCGGCAGTGTCGCCCGGTGAGCGCCGATCGGCCCGAATCACGCGCCCGCGGAAGATGCACGAGGAGGCGAGTGGCGTGCCGATAAGCAGCTCGACCCTGGTGGTCGCGAGCCAGCCCGCCGCGGGCCCGGCCCAAGCCATCCAACTCGTCATGCCCGAGCCCGGAGTCGAGTCGGCCGACGCCGACGAGATCATCGTCTTCAGCTCGGCCGAGTCTTCGGCATCCGCCTCTGCAGGTGAGTCCGAATTCCACGAGCCCCTTCAGTGCCCCCACCCGCCCCAGCCTGACACTTGTTATTGTTGCACGCTCATTATCCCTACATAGATCCTCCTACTACGATTCTAGGCACCCAACGTTTGCGAAACGCATCTGCCATGCAGGCGCGGTCGATATTTATTTCAAAAGTAATAAATACAAATTTCAGAGATTGTTCTATTGGCATTTTTTACTGGTTTAAAAAAATTAATATTATAATTTAAGATTTTTAATTTGAAATAGTTAGATGCAGGGTTAATTTTTATATTTTTTACAACATACGGTTGGGTATTGTTACCCTTTAATTAATTGCAATTAGAGGGTTGAAATGAACTTAATAATTATGATTCTTAAATAATTTTTTTTTTAATTTTTAAGAAGGCGCTAATTAATAACGGCTTATTTGGTTTTGAATTCTAAATTCACTTTTTAAACAATATTTAGCTTTTAATCAAAGGTTTGTTAAATCTGGAGCATTATATTATTTTAAAATTTTTATAATAAGATTTGTAACCTTAAATCAAATCAAACACTTAGCAAAATAATATTATCGGCAATATCAAAGTGAATTGAAATTTAATTAATTTTTCCATTTTTTTTATCTATTAAAATGATATATTTCATTTTTAGAAATATATTTATGATTACTTACCCTGAATTTGAAATTAAACACATTTAGGCATTTATAAAATAATACAATTTAAAAAAAAATTATCTGGGGAAATAAATATGCATGTGAAAAAAAATAAAGCTTGCAATGCTTGACAGCATAAGGTGTATTACGCGATCCGAGAGTGAAATCGGAAGCGCATAATCCTTTTGAAAGTTGGTCGTCGAATGGAAACGAAGCGTCGCGCATAAGTAGGCCGCATTACTGCAGGCAGACGCTTGCTTGGTTTTCCTTTTTGCAGAAAGCAAAAGTTGTTATTGTCTGGTGTCCTCGATCGGCCTAGGTCAATCTCGCGGCTGCGATCTTCGCGGACAGCCGGAAGGGGAAACGCTTCCTGCGCTCGAATTTTTTTCATACATTTGCAAGCGAAAAATTGTGTTTTTCTCGTCGGGAGTTTGATTCTCTTGCGCGCGGATGTACACCTCTTTTTCGCCGCCCGAGGGAGTTTCTTTCTTTCTCTCTTTGCTTGAGTGCTTTTTTACCTGGTGGCAGGTTGGTCGGTCGGCGGTCAGGTGCGGTTATCGTGACGGCCGCGGTACGAAATCTCAGCAGGACCCCTTCCTCCCGCTCTATACACGTCATTATCACCATCTCGAGGGATAATTCCGAACGCTCAGAGTTTTTGTATTTATTGTCCTACACCTTTCTCGAACTGAAGGAAAAGAAAAAAAACACCCCTTATTGATTGAAATAACATAATTTTAATCTCCACTGCGATAACCTTCAAAGAAAAAAAAAATATGTACTGCGCCAAAACACCGGCGGTGTTAATTGTCTTGGTGGACTTGTTTCGTCTTTATTGTTTTTATCGCAAGCGAGACACGCCAACCAACCTCACTGAAATCAACATTAGCGCAAACATTTTTATCTAGACTGATTCCGAATCGCTTAAAAGTTGATTTCAAAACTTATCAGCACGTTTCTCAAGTGGATGATCTTTTTATCAAACTCCAATTTTCAGATCCAAACGAAACGAATATATGTTTCAAAACTTGTTCATAATTATCTTCTCCAATCTCTGAAGTAAAAAAGGATAAAACAAAATTTTTGTCATTTTTTTTTTATTTCTTTAAATTCAATGATTAAAACAATTTTGGTGCTTTAAAAAAATCTGCCCAAAAATTGTCAAATTAAATTAATAAAGAAGCATCCAAATGACAATTTAAAAGCTCAAATTACAAGAATATATTCTTAAAATGAAATATTTATCTAGTTGAAATCCAGAGGTTGCAAAACCGTGCACCAAATTTAGTTAACAAGCTGGAGAAACAGGTGGAATTTTAACACCCATGCCTCTGCGTAAAGTTATTTCCTCCTGAATGCGTGCTGTGTTGACTCGACTTAATTGTAACACCAAAGGCGACCGTTCCGTCCATCCTCCCTAGCTTTAGTTGAAGAAACACAAAAGTCGGTCTCGGTTGGTGCGTCGGCGGAGAGAGGAAGGAAGAGCACCGATTAATTACGCATTGTGGCCCCTGGTGTACCGTTAATTAATTGTGTGTGATAAAGGGGAGCTTCGAAATTGAGCCAAAGTCGAAAATAATCGTGCGTTATATTCAAGATTGTCAGGCACAGATAGTTCAGGCAGACGTTAATTTAGTGGAGCGCCGCCGGGATAGGAGAAAAGAAAGAAAGATAACAAAAGGTTCCCGGCGCGATGACAAATCAGATTCCATGCTCCATAGTGGGATTTTTCCCAGCGTTCCCTGAACTTGATAGGAGGTATAACGGGACGTGCGGGAGGGAATCAAAAAATTCGGCGTTAATGGTACTCGCGTGCAGTGTGACGCATGGGCAGCGAAGGGCGTGAAAATTTTTAATTCGAAGCAGGTGTGAAATTAGAGAGAGCTTCGTTTTTGTATTCAACTTTTTCTGTAGAAACGCATTAGTTTCACCTATGATGAGAAAAAACGGGAAGTTTTTAGGAAAAGGTTAATGCACTATTTATTGTAAGGAGAGAGACTCCCTGTTTGGTTATGGAATGAAAAACATATAATATTTAAAAGAAATCTTCAAAGAAAAAATTAAAAAAAAAATTTCTGTTATTCCAATAATTCATATTTTGTATAGAAGAATTGTGTGAATAAAAAAATAACTAATAGACGTTTGGATTTTATTTGCAAACTTTTATATAAATTTTAATAAAATAAGGATATTTTTTAATATTATCATAAATATTTTATGATTATATATTTTGCAAAATTATATTCCGTGTAAATGAAAAAAGTTTGCCTTCACTGAAAATTAAATTCAAATTAGAATTAATTAATTCAATTTGCTATCATTGTGGTTAAATTATTTTCAAGATCACTTCCTTCCCCTTCTGCTAATCTCGGCGCCGCAGAGGCCAAAAATATGACAAGTATACCCAGAGGATAGTTTGGGCGTACGTGCAGCCGCTTTTGCAGTTGTTGCAATGCACTCGAGTCCGTCATTTGACCTCCAAAAGAATTGCAATGGGCGGCCAATGACTTCAGCACATTGTGTGGCGCGCCGTGTGTGTATAATTTACCTTTATAACACCGCGAACGGACATTGCAGTCACAACAAATGCACACGATGTTATTTCGCACGCTGAAAAAAAATATATGCAAACGGCCGCGTAGAAACGAATATGCACTCCATTATCAGCAGCGCACCTGATAAAGCGGCTCGTCCTTTTGTGAACGTGTGTGTGTGTGTGTGCATTCGTTTTTGCTCGCGTCCAATATTCAATATTGTGCACGGCCGCTTCTTGCACTGCAGTCTGTC